ATCTGTTCGCTCTGCTTGCTCGGCTCCAATTCCAACCGCGCATGCAACAATAATATCTCATCAACGAAGGTGGGGAATGATTATCTCTCAATGCTAGAAACTGTGACCTGTATTAGCGCCATACCACAGCCCATGGCGCTCGACCTGGATTTCAATGTAGAGGTCATATACAACATGTCTGATCATGCAACTCTACTCTTGTCCGAATCCCAATGTCTCCTCTACAGCAATGGACATCTTGTGTTCCAGAGCTTCGTGTGTCTTGTACGGAGGTAGGTCAAGACGGTTGAAACTGGGAAAGTTAGCCAGCTACTCCGAAAAACAAAAGCAAGAGATGAAAGACGTCAGAGACATACCAAGTGTGCGACTTGGGCAATGCGTTGGGATCGCCCGATTTCTCGATAGTGAACCGGCGAGGCCCGTCCGAGCCTTGCAGATCTTTGAATCCGTTGACCGGAATGCGCGAGGTACCAGTGGTGAACTGCAGGAGGCGAGACTTTTGTTCGGCGTCCCAGCTGCGGACAATCTTCCAGAAGTTCTGGATGACTTCGTCCTGCTCCTGGTAGCCGCGGTAATCGGTGTGTTTCTTCCAGTCGTCAACATCAATATCCGCAATACCACCAATCAACAATTCCAACTCGCGCTCGTCGAACACGTTGACCAGATCGGCCGGAATCAGCTCGTTGAACCCAGACATGAAGGCATTGAACTGCTCCTCCACCCGCTTCACAATCTTCCACTCAGTCACCAATCTATGGCCGTCAGCGAAGTCCACTAGCTTACAAGCACGAGCAACTTACTCAACATATTCATGCTTGTTCTCGTTCGTCACCGGAATGTCGCGACCACCCGGCTTCAGGTCAACAGTGGTACGCTCGCCGAACTTCTCGTCATCAACCGCGAAAGTCAACTCCAAGACACCGTCGATGTCGTTCTCCCTGCTATGCGTTAGAATGAATACTCAGGTCCCTCAATCCAAGGCACTTACAAAGTCCATGTCAAGTTGCGGTGCAGGTCCTCATCAACACCCTCCATGTCCTGGAGCGAGACCTTCTTTCGCAGCATCATCTTATAGAAGGCACCAATGAAGAACGAATCCAAAAAGCGACGATGGAAGATGGCCAAGCCGACAACTCGTCCGATGAACTTGAAGTAGTTCAGGTGCTCCGGGTTCACTCCAGAGTGGGGATTAATTTGAAGGGTATAATTATCGTGCGCCGAATACTCGAAAAGACAATAGAACGGGTTAAACATTTCGTGAGAAAGGAGGAAGAAGAATTCACTGTATTTGTCAGATCCTGTTTGACTCTTAAGAGGAAACTTGAGTAAACTTACCGTGAGAGACCACCATAATCCAAACCATCTTCGCCATCGAACTTGATCATCAAGCGCTTCTTGAGATCGGAAGCGCTCTGCCGCATGATCTCGGCGTATGAGTCCTCGAAGATGTTGTTACGTCGGACCTTGACGTGGCACTGTCCAGACATGATACGCAATGCCGGTTGAGACCGGAAGTAGATCAGCTTGCGTCTGAAGTCACGCTTGTACTGCGGTACGCCCTGATCCAGGGAGGAAGGCAAACGGGGATCATCCCACGTGGTCGTCTTGGTGTTGTGATCCACGAAGTACACTCGGGCTGTATTCGTCAACCGCATCTCCCATCCGCTGGGCAGCGGACCCAACTGTGACACCGGCTGCTGCTGAATCGTGGTATTGGTGCCATTGGAATTCTGCCCGTACATGCGAATGTACTGTTGACGCCGAGGATCTACCCACGTCGTGGTGCGGGTGTTGTGGTCCACGAAGTATGGCCGGCCCTCGGGTGTATTGCGCTGCTCCCATCCGGGTGGGAGCTCACCAGTGCCTGCAGTGGTAGCTCCCGTCGCCATCATAGAAACTGCACTGGCGCTGCCTCCTGCCGGAGGTGTTTGAGCCTGCGGCGGCGCCGGCTGCTGTTGGCTCTCCGCCAGATTCGGAGAATTGGCACCCGTGCGGTCTTCGGGCAGCATTCGACTCTGATGGGCGCGACGCTCCAGTTGCATATTGGCTTCGCGCTGTGTACGCTGCGTGTGTTCGTTGTAGTTCGATGATGGTCGAGTCCAGGTCGTGGTCCGTGTGTTGTGGTCAACATAGTAGGTCCGCCCCAGATTGTCTTCTCGGCGCTCCCAGCCCGCTGGCAACCGGCCCTGACTGTCCTCAAACGAGCTCAGGTTGGTGCGAGAGCCTTGCTGACCATTGGCTGGTGCGGCCGGGGCGCCATTGGGCGGCGGAGCAATGATGCTGGTCGGTCGGGTAGTTGAAGGAACACGCTGGGGGTTCAGAGACGCAGTGGAAGCGGCGGCAGACGAATCGACCGGGCCGGGACCGACAGGAGGATGCGGAGACGATACTGATGGGACAAGTCCACTGGATGTCGATGGCTGAGCATGTGAACGGTGCAAGCCATTGGCCTGGTTGGGAATGGGGGTGGTGAGGTTGGTGGACAGATTGATGATAAGTTTTCCATGGACGACCAGATGATCGTTGGATTTTTTCAGGTCGCGGGTGAGCATTTCTGTTGCAGGCAAAGCAGATGCCTTGCGTCAGCCCCGGAGATTCAGCATGATAAGAACATAGCGACTCACCATCACCACCCATCTGTAAATCGATCACGTCGCCAATCCGTACATTGATAACACCAAGAAATCCCTGATCCTTCTTCTTGAATTTCTTCTGATCGAAGATCTGAATTGCGAGAATACTGTCCTCATTGACTCGGCTGCAGAGAACCCCGCCGTCAGTTTCCGAGACCAGCAGTTGCACCACGCGGGGCTCCTTACAGATCAAACATCTCATTCCAGTAAGGGTTCAGCGTCTTCTTGATTACCGATGTCGTGTGAGTTTGCTCGCCCCCGACGGTGGCCACCGCAAAAGGATCGGGGAAACCTGCAAGACGTCAGCCCAGAAACCTTGGCTTGATGAGTTCTCCTTGCGGCACTTACGGAAGACATCACGCTTGTATAGACCGTCCGCGGCGATAACTGCAGAATCAGGCTCTCCGTCAGTCTCCATCCATTCGTAGGCGCCATCGTAGACAGTCGGCAAAGGGGCATGTGCTTCTTACTTGTGACCCGAAGATTTGGCTGACTACAGAAAATATCTCTATTAGCATCCATTCGAATCCGGATTATGCACGCATGACACTTTTCGTCAAGGAAAAGATCGTGCCCGCTTTAAGCAAGGGAGGAGGGGGGGGGGGGGGGGATGAGGGGTTGGGACGAGGGAGGAAAGAGGGGGGGACGCTTGCACATACGCAGGCAGGTTGGAACCCATCCTGAACTGAACCGATCAGGGCAGGCGATAATGTGCCTTTGGATGCAAAAAAGCCGATCCGGGCAAGCCTCAAAGGGTGATTCGCGGCGTGCGCATCCACCGCTGTCGACAGGCACGAACCCCAACAACAGCAGTCGAGTCGAGTAACGGTGGTGATCGTGGTAGTAAGAAGGAAAAGTCGGTGGGCGGGGGGTGGTTGGAAGGGCGTTGGAACTGTTCAACTCAATGGGAAGAGAGGGGAGGATCCGAAAGCGATTCGAAGGCGAATAGATTGGACGAGGGAAAAGTGGTGGATAGGCGGCGATAAGAGGCGTTTTCAAGGAGAGGAAAAGAAAGAGAGAAAGAGTGAGCGCGAGCACTAACTTAGGCTTGACGATGGAGGCGCGCGGACTTCTATGGGGCTGAGCAGGGCAGTCTTGACGTTGCGCCTTCGGAACCAATCACGACCGAGCGAGGGGTTGAACCGGGAGGAGCAACTGGTCTGTAGATAGACGGTAGGTAGTAAGAATGTCCATAAAAGAAGGAACAGGTAGTGACAGCCTGAAGTCAGACGGTAAGTAAAATCTTCCGTAAGAATCCTACCTCCCCAGAGGATTCGTGGAAGAGAGAGTGGTAGTGGTGTGGTTGGTGGTTGTGGTCGTGGCAAAGGGAAAGGGAAAGGAGGGGAAGTGCAGCAGTGGTGGTAGTGGTGGTGGTGGAAGGAGGGAGGAGAGAGAGTACTGTAGTAAGAGAGCCCGAGAGAGCGAGAAAGGAGTAAGTCAGCCATCAATGGCGGATAAGCTACAGATTTCACTACAGCTACCTCACAACTTCTTGACACCATCTCACTACACTCACCTTGAGATTGATATTTTACTCATCCTACCAATGTCCTATGAATCGAGCACTATTCTCTGGATTCGTTCCCTTTAGGGCTACAAATATCAAGAAACCGTCAACTTGAGTTTTCTTCCCGGAAAACATGGGAAGTAATGAAGTAATCGATACCCTGCGACCTTGCCCCTGGTACACCTTCACTATTCGTTGCATTATTTCCCAAACGACAAACCAGGGGAGGCGAACAGATTAGATTTTCAGTCGCATCATGGGCACAGCAGGTTGCACTGGGACGAACCTAGGCGATGGAATAAATAGAACAATACTTGGTTTTCCAGCCAATCACCCGGCCTCAAAAGGACAGTGATGGCCTGCTTAACAAGGCAACAAGATTATTTCCAACTCACTCATATTGTCTTTCTCCGGTCTCACATCTCTCGGGCTCTATTGACCGAAGGGAAGAGAAGAAGAAGAAGAAGAAGAAGGAAAACCCTTCAAGTAACTTGTTGAACACCTATGCCCCCTTAACTGCCAGATTCTCTTCTCATCATCCATTACGACTCTTCTTTGATGGTGGGGACCCAATGAACGTCGCAATTCCGGTTGCTCTGCTCCGCTTCCTTAAACAAACTCGTCAGCATCGCCGTCTAGACTGGCTGAAGTACCGTCCGTGCCGGTCCTTACCCGGATTGGGGGCCATAAGGCCATCAGTTCAGGTTATCATGCCGTGGCTAAACCGCTGTGACGCCATCCCTCATCTCCCTGTTCATTAGTCAGTTCTACGAACCGAGACCATAACAGATCGGGACCCGGTGACAGTCATCCATGATGGCTTTTTTTAGTGAAGAAGCTGTCAAGAAGACTGATTTTTTGGTGCAGATTCCTATTGCGCTGCTTTATCTGCTTTGACGAGCGTAGTTTCATGACCGTCCTGGTCCTTTTGAGGGGTGGGTTAGCAGGCAATTCCTGCTCGTAAAGCAATTCTCTGTAGCTAGATGATATCACAGGTATTCCGCCCGTCTGCCCCGTACCCAGTCCGAGATTGCCAGAAAGGTTATCATACAAAAGTCCATTCCAGTAGGTTGACTCCAAAGACAATTAGAAAATAATGAAGTTCCTCCCTTTATTCCGAGAAACGCGCACACGTGTGCATCAGAGCTACCACGGCCATCATAGTCAACCCGGACGCCTTGGTAGCGCTGGGGCTTCGTGCAATGACCTCTGTTCCTTGCGCAAACGAATATCACCCCATATACACTGAACTGGTGCTGGACGTTTCTCTAGTAAGGCGCATAACCCCGACCCCGGCCGCGATAACCTCCGCGATAACCGCCGCGAGGCGCGAAACCTCCGCGGTGGCCCCGACCGCCACGGAAGCCACCCCGTCCGCGTCCTCGGGTCATACCCGGCAGGTTGGTACGCTTGGGAACGACCTACATCATCAAAGTATTCAGTCAGTATCGTTCATGGAGGGAGGAGAATCGATTGCGAGAGGAAGTACCTTTAGGTTCCGGCCGCGGAAGACACTTTCGTTAAGTACAAGGGCTTGGGCTACCAGACTGGGCTCTGCAAATTCAACATAGGCATATCTGTAGTCGTCCAAAATTAGCCAATCTTGTGACACGACTGGATTCAAGGCGCTGCAACATACCCCTTTGGCTGTCCGGTGAACTTATCCAACAGGATGGTCACCCGGTTTATCGAGCCACAGCTCTGGAAGTGTGCCTGGATTTCCTCGGGGGAAGCACCATAATCCACATTGCCAACGAAGATACTCCGGGCGTCAATCTCTTCTTTGTCCTCGCGTAGGCTCTCCGACTGCTGATCGAGCGTGGCTTGCATCTCGCGCAGCTTGGCCGCTTCAGACTCCATCTCGGCTACCCGCTTCTTCATCGCCGCAATTTCCTCCTGTAATAGACAAGAATGTTCGGGTTAGCACGAATGTCATAATTGCGAGTGTGTAAATCAAATGAGGGCAGCGAGCGGGAGCCAGCGCTGCGAATCTCAGCGAGCAGCTTCAAGCTAAACGGGACGGTTTTTACCTCATCGTCACCTGCTTCCTCCGGCTGCTCCAGGTGCTCATCTTCAATCTTGTGTTCTTCTGTCGCCATGTTGAATATTGGTGGTGGGTTTCGATTGTCCGGTCGTGTCCGTTTACACCACTGGGTCGCAAAGTGAAAGCTCAAGCGGGCACCGATAGCTTCCCGCCGGGTTGGGGCTGGTCAAGTGAGCTGCGGGTAGGAAATCTGCTGGAAAAATACAAGATCCGATAAGATAGGCGCGATATGCAACTCCCAGAACTGGGTGCGTAGCGGTCGGTGGGGAAAAGGACCAAGGCAAAAGCTGATTCAATGGAAGACTGGAAGTCGAGTGAAGTGAACGTGATGCTTGCGTTTGATTGTCCCCGAACTTACTGCCTGCTCTTTCCGGCTTAGCTCTTTGTCAACTGGAACATCCGCCGCCGACTCGGTCGTCAATAGTCGAGTATTGGACTGCGGCGCGCGAAATGCTTTCGATCATCACTGTATTGCTGATCGCTGACTACTACTACTACTACTACTACTACTACTACTACTACTACTACTACTACTACTACTACTACTACTACTACTACTACTACTACTACTACTAGGTATACAATAAAATTGAGTGGTTTTATAGGACCAATAGAATTGAAGAGTATGCTGGGAAAATATTTCTCACACCAGCCTCTTGTTCCAAATCCAGTATATCTGGCGTTTAGAGATACCCGATCACAATGACACACTACAGCGAGACTAAGTACTTGCAAGAACGAGTCTAACAGCCTTTCGGCCATCATCAGTGCAACTCGGAACGAATTGAAATTGAGAGATTAACCAGGATTCGGCCAGATTGAGGTCATATCGTGTGATAATGCGATCTCCGATGACTTGGCCAAGCAAGCCAGTACTCGATCCTGGTCTCTAGTTGAAATGCGCTCATCAGCTTGGCTGCGAAGCAATGCGTGTATACGCACTAGAGCTTTTGTGCCGTCGGAGCAGGAAAGGAACGACCAACAAGGAGGAAGTCATTATCGTGTCAGATCTATGGTTATGTACAAGAAAAATAGATAGAAGTGTCAACTCATGAAGATGCGATGTTGTTCTTGCGGTAAGATACTTTCTCCACCGCAACCGTCTCAGCCCCGTTGGCATCCGTCTTCAACTGGTAAACATAAAGCACGAGAACATCTCCTTGGATCTACAGCGATGATTAGCATCAGGTTGCCTCAGCCGTCTGGGGCACATCTGCAACTCACATCCATCAAGCAGAAGCTGGGGGTGGGCTCATCTCCCTCGGCCCAGTATCCTGTGCTCATCGCACCCGTGGCACTGCCGGGGTTGATGAAGAATCGGCCTTCCAGCTCGAAAGCCTCGAAGCGATGGGTACCACCCCACAGCAGAATATCCACGTCCATCTGACGAGCGGCGATCAAGAGAGCATCCGCATCTCCTGGAGGAATGATCGTATGGCCATGCGTAAATCCGATGCGCAGGCTGCCGTGGGTCACGACTTTCGAGAGAGGAAGGTTGGGGGAATCGACATCGAAATCTCCTTTGACCAGTTGTAGGTCAGGCGCCACCTGCCGGAGGAACTCGAATGTGTTGCGATCGGTCAAGTTGCCGAGACAGAGAATCTGGCCGATCTTGCCCGGCGTCAAGAGTTTCTTGAACTGTGTTACGATTGTGTTAATGAAGGGTAGGTGGCAATTGTCAGGAGGGCCATGGATTACGGCCGAGCAGCAAGTCGCACCTTTGCGGGAAGGTCCTATATAAGGATGGGTCCGAAAGTCAGTCAACTGTTTGTTGTTGCGGGGGATGATCAACAACATACGGGAGCTCTGTCAGGGATGAATAGGTCACCAATGACCAGGACCAGGCGCGAAGTCATTTTGAACGGTGCGGTCACTCAAGGCCCAGTTTGAGATTGAGCTATGAGTCTATGAGATGTATAAGCGTAAGCGACTGACGGGTGCAGATGTTTGGAGTGCACAGTTGTCTGATGGAGATATCAATTAAGCTACCTAACGTAAGAGGGAGTGACTATCTAGGCTGGCGCCCCTATCGATGGAGCGGCGCGGGGAAAGCTTAGGCTATTCCACCGCCGATGCCACGCGCCTGACAGCCCTATGCCCTAGAAGCAGGACCGGTTCGGACTAGTCCGGACTGCTTACAACTATGAAGCCCGCGTTCCTGCGTGCTGGTCTGCATCTACTGGACTGTGGAAGAATATAGGAACTGGAAGGATGTGGGAAGAGTGAACAAGGAACAAGAGTGAGCGAGAACTACCTGGTATCTTGCACTATTATACTACAGGGCAGTACTGGGCCTGTTCCTGATTCTGCCACCAGGAGTAAGAACGGCAGTTTACATCGTCATCCATCCTCAATTGCGCGAAGTACGGAGTATACGGAGCAAGTAGGCGGGCTCGCATAAGTCCTGCAAGCCAATAAATCGTCGTTGCTCGGATATACTACCCTCATTCTTGCTCAGACACTAGTTCCATGAGTCAATGCAATGTGTCTTTAGTTTCTTTCCCCAATTGATCCACGGCAGGGCCCGCCCGTTGGAGGCATCCGTCGCTTTACGGCCGATAGAAGGCAAGGGAAAAGGGAAATAATGCGCCAAAGGGGGAAAGGAACCAAACCAGCCATTGAGAGCTGAAATAAATCTCCTCGATTGACCAACACACCTGGGACTTTTTCTCCCTGTTTGTAATTATCGTCTTCCAATCCCGTCCTTTCTCCTCATCCTCACATCCAATTCTACGTCAGTATACTGTACGTATACACACACCATCGATACTCTTCACCCTAACAAATCCATCCGGAAAGCCAACCGGCGATCCCCGACCCTTTCCCCTCTTCCTCCTCCCCCCCGGCGAGCAGCCCAGTCAACGCCTGCCTGGGTCTCTCTCTCTATCTCACCAGTCACCAGTCACCAGCAAATCCCCTCCCCGCGGGCTCTCCCGTAGAGAGCCGACCTTTCGGAAAACTGGCGGCCAAACGGACGCAGCAGCGCTTGAGCCTGATCTCCAGACACCTGGATCAGCGACTCCCGCTGCCTGAGCTTAATACCCCGTTCTCGACCGAGAGGAACTCCCTCGCGCCAGACGACCTCGAATATAAACCCATCGATCGCTCCGTTCCTTCTTCCATCCCTCCCTCTCCTACCACTCCATCCTCCCCCCCGCCCAAAATGTCTTCCCAAGCCCCCCACAACACCCTGCTCATTCCAGGGCCCATCGAATTCGATGATGCTGTCCTTCAGTCTATGTCTCACTATGCGTAAGTCCGATTGCCCCTCCTTCCCACACCCCCTCCTCATCACTATCCGTCCATTGAACCATGCCTTCTCTCTACCCCTCACTAACCGCTATATGTTCACTCCAGTGAGAGTCACGTTGCCCCCGGTTTCGTTAAGACCTTCGGTGAGACCTTGTCTCTCGTGCGCAAGCTCTTCCAATCGTCCAACCCCGCCGCTCAACCCTTCGTCATCTCCGGCAGTGGTACCCTGGGCTGGGATGTTGTAGCTTCAAACCTGATCGAGAGGGGCGAGAATGCCCTGGTCCTCCACACCGGCTACTTTGCCGATTCGTTTGCCAACTGCATTGAGACCTACGGGGCCCATGCCACCCAGCTCAAGGCCCCCATCGGTGAGCGGCCCTCGTTCGAGGAGATTGAGCAGGCGCTCAAGGCGAAGCCGTACAAGATCATCACCATCACCCACGTCGACACCTCGACTGGCGTGCTGAGCGATATCAAGCGCGTGGCCGAGATCGTGCGGCGCGTCAGCCCCGAGACGCTGGTCGTCGTCGACGGTGTGTGCAGTGTCGGCTGCGAGGAGATTGCGTTCGACGAGTGGGATCTGGACGTCGTGCTGACGGCCAGCCAAAAGGCCATCGGCTGCCCTCCTGGCCTGAGCATCCTGATGCTGTCCGGCCGGGCCCTTGACACCTTCAAGTCCCGCAAGACGCCCCCCGCCTCGTACTACGCCTCCATCGGCAATTGGCTGCCCATCATGCAGAACTACGAGAACTTCAAGCCCTCTTACTTCGCCACTCCCCCCACCCAGCTCGTCCACGCCCTGCACACCACTCTGTCCCAGATCACCGCCCGCCCCATCACCGAGCGCTACGCCATTCACCGTCATGCCTCGGACCGCGTCAAGGCTGCCGTCGCCGAGCTCGGCCTGAAGCAGGTGGCCGCCACCCCGGCGAACCAGGCCCACGCCATGACCGCCATCTGGCTGCCCGAGGGCCTCGCTCCCCCGGACGTGCTGCCCGGTCTGCTGAAGCGCGGGGTGATCTTCGCAGCGGGTCTGCACAAGGAGGTTGCCACCAAGTACATCCGCTTCGGCCACATGGGCGTCAGTGTCACCGACCCCGCCCGGTCGGACATTGACAAGGCCATTGCCGCCTTGAAGGAGGCTCTGACCGAGGCCAAGCAGGCCAAGGGACTGTAAATAATCCATGAGACTGCCATATTGAGCTTAGCAAAACTACGAACAAAAATTGCAAAACAATTCTGAATAAACATGCCCCTTCGATTCAAAATCCCAACGCAATTCTTACTCGAGTAGTCACAGCACTTACCCCACCAGTTAGTCGTACTCGTAGATTGGCGCGCCCCCGATCTCGGACCAGTGGTGATCCGATAAGCGATAGGGATGACCTACCGAATTGGGCAGTTCTTTCCCGCCCCCGGCCTCAATGATTAGACGCAACTCAGTAAACTATCAGCATCCATCTCTCGTAGAGTGCTCAAGTAGAATCCAAGAAGGGAATGAATCTTAGCCCTAAAAAAGGCATGTAAACACATCCTTTGATCATGCCAAGAGCACCGAGTCCTTGGTCAGTGGAACAGACCTTAGTCGCGGCCCGAGAGGACTATATATTCCGGAACCTCGGGATTTCACAAGCTTCGCATCACGCTTCTCAGCGAATTCCGCAGTGATTCCCTTTCTCGTGTGAGTAGAATGTATGTAGCGATTGGCGAAAGTATAGCGGTAGAGGGGGGTATGGATGGGCATGCTGAACGAGATATTAAGTAGAGGCTCAAGAGAAGATAGCCATAGGATCACTCTCCCTCATGCCTCTCTCAGCTTTACAAGAGCAGAGACATGGGGATCGAAGGACTATGGATGCATTGTAAGATTTCCGTAATAACATCAAGCTTGCACAACATTTCCGTCAGGGTTTTCCTTTTTTTTGTTTTCCTGTTTTCTCTGTGCAAAGGGGGGTTTTATTATTATATTAATGCCATAAGTCACTCCGTCACTGCCACACTCCGGCTCCTTTGCCAAAGCTAAGCTTCTGTTTCCCCTCTACGCAAGGCTAGAAAAGCCCGCACATCGGTTACGTATTGTAGAGCTTCTAACATGGGGACGAGGTGGAGCAGCCCATTATCCGTCGGATCATTAATCCAGCCCTCAATGGGGATTGCGTTATCTGCGTCGAAGGTCAGTGGGGGGGAGCTTCACCTAACATCCGCGAATGCATACGCACCTTCGTGAAAAATATAACTCATAGGACTATTGTCCAAGATCATCACTTTACTCAGGTCTGGCTCAACAGAGCTGAGGTCTTTAATGTATGCGCCGTTGCGAAAGGTACAATGTTGCCGGTAATACCGCGCGTGGAAGTATTTCCGCTCCTGTTCCAGCCAGTCGATGACCGGATCCGCGTACTCTTGCACACTCGCAGTGAAAACCACCAGCTTGTACCATTTACACACCTTGCGCAGAAACTCATCACAGTGAGGCCGTTTGTGGACATAGTACAAGATGGGATGTTGCGGACCAAGCGTGGTTGGAGGCCCGCCTGGAGTCAGAGCGGTCGTCATGGGCGTGGACAACTTGACTTCAACCATGTGGCCGCTGGACATGCGGCCACCCTTGGCTAGGGAGTGGATGAGTGTTTCGTCGAGATCGAGGACCAGAGTCTTTTGCGGGCTTTTCGTGCTGCGAAGATTGGCCGTGTAAGAAGGTATGCGCTGGGGAATCAGAGGTCGAGGAGGAACGGGTGAATGCGGATATCGAGTGACTCGATGGACTGACGGGGAGGTCGGGGACTTCAAGCTATCAAGATTGACAGCGCCCTGGGATCCATTCTGCGATGTCTCTCGCAGATCCGTGCTTTGCGAACGACGCTGCCGGTTCCGCTTGAACGCCTCTTCATTATGAAGCTTGATTCGAATAGATCGTCGAGGAGCGTTGTCGTCCGGTGCATGCTCTGAGCCGGAGGACTTGGACTTGACGGACCGAGAATGACTGCTGCTGAGTCCCTTGGCACTTCGCCGATCCCCCTCCGACTCGGAAGTACTCGAGGCAATTGATTCGCGTGATCTATGAGCTTTGGGTCGTCGTGAGGTTCGTTGTTTGCCGTTTGTTGGAGTCCCTCCTTTGCCCGGCGCGCCAGGGCCCGGAACCAAGCGGCCGATTTTGCGGAATGGAGCCAGTGGAGAGTAATGCCCATCATCTTCGCGAAAGCAGTTGACGACAAAGAATCCAGGCGCTGCTAAGGTTGACAGAATGAACTTGATCGTCTCGGCAATCGCATCGAACAACCGGTGCACGAATAGTCCTATGGTGCTGTTTGTGCCCAGAGAGCGATCCTTGGATAGACTTCGTAATAATGGTGATTTCTCGTCAAGCGTGTACTCATGGTTTTCAAGATCATCTGGCGCGCCGGGCGTCTCATCGTGGCTTTTCTCATGGTGATCCGAAGCATGGAAGTTGCTCTCACTATAGGACCGAAACTTGGCGAGATCGCCTGGTTCAATTGTCCGGGAAATCTCTCCTTGCGAGCGAGATCGTTGACGACTTCTACTGGAACTGGTAGGCTGGCCAATCACTCGGGACGACAAGATGTTCAGCGAGTTCATCTTCCGACGTGGCCCACGGGTGTCCGGGCTGGCGCAGGTGTCTAATTATGTTGAGCGGAGGCGCCGGTCAGCACCTGGTTAAGTCACGAAGCAACTGGAGGTAGAGATGCGATGCACGAAAGAGGAAAGACATCGAGCTGTACCGACCTCAATGCGCCAGTCGACAACCCGTGCTGATAACTGTTGACGGTTGACCCCAACTGGTTTTGGGCTGGGCGAAATTGGTGAGTGATAGCCGTCGCCGGAGTCCTCGGCCTAACCGACGGGCGGATAAGCGGGATGGAGTGAGGGAGAAAGAGGATAGGATAGGAAGAATCCTTGTAACGTTTGTAAGACGACTATATACAGACAGTCGAGGACGAGGGTGTGAGTTCTAAAGAAAAGGGGAAGGGGTAGAGAAAGAGAAAGTGAGAAGAGTTGAGGAAGACGCCGAGGAGGACGAGGAGGACGAGGAGAGAGAGAAAGAGGTGGTGGAGGAGGAAGAGGAGGAGGGAAGGCAACCAATCCATAGTTACCGTATGTATTATTTGATTGTATGTATGTATGGGCTGCTGCTACTGCTCCGGCTGCTACTGCGATGGTTCGTTGGGCCGAGCGGGCAAAATCTCCCTCCGTCACATCCCACTTTCACTACTGGCTCTTCCGCCTTTCACTTCCTCCTACTCTCCCCTCCCCTCCCCTCTTTCTTCTCTCCCTGCTCGGCTGCACATTCCTCTCTTCACCTACCTCAACTTCGTTTTCCAGAAGGAAGCCTCATTTCTTCGGAAAATTACTCTGAGGCGACCAGTTGCGAGCTTGACAGCTGTTGCGAGCGCGCTAACACTTAACGAGTTTCCCTGGTATGCGACTTGTGCGACCAACCCGATGACTCCACCGTTCTGCCTCACTAATGCTGCATATAGCTCAACACACACACCATTGAAGCTTGGTGACCTTCCGTCTCAATTAGACTTTGAATCGCCGGATCAGAGCACTTGGCAGCCTAATTTCCGAACGTCAAAAACAAAATGCCTGCTACTTCGGGGCCCTTGACGCCCGGTCTGGCGTCCTTCCTCAAGACATTGAAGACCAACCACATTGATACATCCATTGACAACCTGATCTCGTGCGTCTCCTTCACCATGCGATGGCTGGCTACAATCGATATCGACGCTGTACTGACATACCCTCAGGCTTCTTAAGCGCAGACAAATCCGCCATTCCAGATCGTGTGCTACTGCGACCGCCTATCTTCTGCGCGGCGTTATATCGGCCTCTAGAACGAACGACGCCAACAAGCTGATTGAGAGAGTGCAGCATGTTGGAAGACGGCTTATGGCAGCTCAGCCCCGGGAGATGGTGGTCGGTAACATCGTCAGGCGCGTGCTCGGATTAATTCGTGACGAGGCCGAAGATGACCGTGAGGGCGACTTCAACCTTAGCGAAGCTGGCTCTGAAAGTCAACCTCAAACCCCTCGTGGTCTCGACGGTATGGCCTCTGCCTTGTAGCATGTCTGGTTTAAGATGAATCCGGGACTGATGACGAACGACTACCATAGATCCCACCGATGCTCTTTCCGCTCGCCATGACGGCTCCGACCGTGGCGCATCGAGACAACCCTTGCCTGCGCTGACAGCCGCTCCGATCTCGATGTTTAGTCTGCTTTCGCACCCCGAATCCGAGAGCTCCCTGCCTGGAACCCCTGTGTCCGCGTCGCCCTCCGGTCGGCTATTAGGCCACGCGCCCAGCAAAGACATTCGGGCTGAAGTTCTGGACGGTATCAGCGAGATCATCGACGAATTGACCCAGGTCGACGATCAGATTGCGGCCTATGCTCTGGACCACATTCACTCCAACGAAATCATCCTCACTCACACCTCATCGACCACGGTCCAGAAATTCCTGCTGAAAGCCGCGGCCAAGCGGAAGTTCACGGTCATCCATGCCGAAGCCTTCCCCAACAACCACGAGGCGACGCACGCAACGGTCAGCGGGGCCAACCCCCACGACGACGAACTTCTGAGCACCGAATCCTTCCAGAGGCCTTTGATTGCTCTGGGCATCACCGTCATCCTCATCCCTGACTCCGCGGTATTTGCGCTCATGTCCCGTGTCAACAAGGTTATTCTAGGCACGCACTCCGTCCTGGCCAACGGTGGACTGGTCGCCTCCGCCGGTACTCGGGTCATCGCTCGCGCCGCCAAGGTGCATCAGACCCCTGTTGTGGTGGTGAGCGGGGTGTACAAGTTGAGCCCGGTCTATCCGTTTGACTTCGACTCGTTGATCGAGTACGGAGACGCTAGCAAGGTCATCAGCTACGAGGATGGCGACTTGGTGGATCAGATTGACGTGCAGAACCCGCTGTACGACTATGTTCCGGCGGAACTGATTGACCTCTACATTACGAACTTGTACGTCCCCCTTCTTGTGATGGTTTTCGCCTCTTTGGGCCCGGTACTGATCACTACTTCTCATTTAGGGGAGGACATGCGCCATCTTATCTGTACCGTATTGTGTCGGATCACTACCGCAAGGAGGATATCAGTGTCTGAAGCCTGGCCAATAAAGGCAAAACCAATTAAGAAAAAGAATCACAATGGCAAAAAAAGCGGGGTTATGAACAATTGGATTTCTTATGGCTGGAACAGGTCACATGCTAAAATGGATATAAAAGGCGTAAGGAATTATCATAGACAATATAAGAGACGATACCCAAGGCGTTACACAAAGGAACTCATCGAATGCGGTTTACATTGCCCTAGTATGAGTACAATCTACCATATACAGCACTACTACATCAGGGGAGTACAGAAGGATGTTTTTTTTTTCTTTTTTGAAGAATTTGATATTTTAGGGCCCTTCCCAAGGAAATCAATCATGGCGCCATGTTTTTATGGATATAACAATCGTAGTGGAAGCCGCAAATATTGGGTTTGTATTTGCAGGGTGTCTTCTCAATCCAGCCCTTTCTTTGCTTTGAACCATACAAAAAAGGAAAAAAGTTCCAGACCATAGAAAAGAAAAAAAAGGTTCGCCTCCCAAGCCGATCGTTTTGTTCTTGCTATGGAATGGGCCCCCCCGAGAGAGAGATCCCCTCCGGAAAAAATATCATGATTCCTCCGGAGTAGCAGCCAGCATCTTTCGTTGCGTTGGTGGTGGGTTGCTTAAGAGCGGGGCTTCTCCTTCTTCTCCTTCCAGAGGGCCATGAGACCGACACCGGAGACCTTGACGACCTTGAAACGGACACCGGGAATATCACCCTTGGCCTTACCCTTACGACCGAAACCGGCGAGGAGGACCTCGTCGTTCTCATCGATGAAGTTCAAGCAACCGTCGTTGGGGACTGTGGAGGGGGTTCAAGGTCAGCGGGATATTCAGTGGTGGGGGTTTGTGGTTCTGTGTGGTCGCTGCGATGGGGATTCTCATTGTCGCCACCTCTTGTCCTTCACATCGCATTCATGGCACAACTCATGAATTATTCCAGATGTCGGTCTCCGAAAATCCACCACACAACACACAGCAAACAGTATTAGGAAAAAGGGATGACCCACCGAAAGCAGTGACCTTCTTGCCGTTCTTGATGAGCTGGACCTTGACACACTTGCGGATAGCGGAGTTGGGCTGCTTGGCCTCAACACCGACCTTCTCGAGGACGATACCCTTGGCGTGGGAAGCACCACCGAAGGGGGAGGACTTGTAGGCGGTACCGAGAAGGCGCTTCTTGTAGTGCAAGTCGGCCCAACGGTTCTCGCGACGGGTGGTCGCGAGCTTGCGGGCGGCGTTCAAACCACGGGGCTGTCCCTTACCCATCTTGTCGGATTATGTGCGAATGAAAACTGTAGCAGGAAAGAAAAAGCATTAGATGTCATTCCTTTCTTTTCATTGGGCCATCGCGTGATTCCAAGTTTTCCAAGCCCCTGGGAATATGCGCGGATCGTGAAATGTGCATGGCAGTGTGTGTGTCCGCTGATGCCGTCCTTCTTTTCATTGCTCGGTATTCGATCGGATCCCTCCTCTTCTTGATATTTCTCTCAGACGCATCCTCCTGCTGCTCGGGAGTTGAATAGACGGGGGCGGAATGGATATCGAAGTGTCGTACTGATGGATATTGACGGCGAGAAATATCTATCGGCGGCGGGACTCTTTCCTCTCTCTCTCGGGGCGATTGCACTTTCGATCTCACGCATAAAAACCGGGGGGACATGGAAATGGAAAACCAGACGCAGAGAATGATAGCAATGATAGGAAAATCGACAATACGTACCGACTGATGGAGATGCCGAAAGGCTGGATGGGCGGATGGTTGTCGAGAAGTCGAAAGGTCAAAGGGGGGTCTTCCTTTCACGGCCGGCGGTCGCTCGACTAGATCGAAAATGTTCTGCTGTGCGCCTTCGCCCTAAACGGCCGCTAAGCGAGCCTGCCCACGGCTGACCTTTTCTCCGGCCCGATTCTGCGGCTCCTCACCGCCTGCTGATTTACTCCATTCTGGAAGGAGTCGATAACGATAAGACCCCGGATTGAACATTATGCATGTTATCTATCAACTGCCCCTAACTTGCCGTCCCTGACGGACTTACACAAAACTTGTTAACTACAGTCTACAGTCTCATCGCTATCAGGTTATTGATCTTCTCACTTCTCATTCTACAAACTTGGGCTATTACCCAAAGTCCCAAATATAATGCCTTAATTCTAATCACCCGTCTACAATCGAACCCCAAACCCCAAAACCCTACACACAATGGCCTCCAGCACTCTCCGCATGGATCCCAAGATGGATCCCCGCATGGAAACCCTCCGGAAGATAAGCTCCCAGCGACTTCCCCCACCAGTCCTGTTTCAAGGGCCCCCCTCCCACAATGCCTCCAACATTTCAATTCCGCCGCCCCCTGCAGCAGTCGGCGTCAGCCCCGGGGATCGGACAGGGCCGGGGCCTGGACCAGGCCGAGGAGGCAGTCAATCGCCGCCGCTGCATCGGAATCGGTCCGCCCGCGGCGGCCTAGAGGCCTCTGGCGGCGGCACATTTGGCTCACCCTTCCTCACTCGCAAGCAGTCCAAGGGGGACATCGACGGCTCCGATGCGATCTGGCAAGAGATGCAGAGCGCGCTGTCGGAGGTGGAGCTGAGTGCCACCACGGGCGAGCATGTGTTCGGGGAGAAACATTCTGAGGCGTTGGAGGATCTCCGGGCCAAGCAGCTGAAGCTCGCGCAGGCGTGGGCGCGCAGCGAGGCCGCCGATGACAAGGCCGCCGATGCGACAGAGGCGGCTCCGCCGGTCAAGGGTGCTGCTGCTGCTACCTCGCAGGGACAGGGGGCGCGGGGCGTCGCGGGTCCTGGCGTCTCCGGGGAGCCGGCTCCCGTGGAGGATGGCGGCGCGGCGCGGAATCTGGATGAGGAGACGGAGAAGGATATTCTCCTTGCGCGCGAGAGACGCGAGGCTAACGATCGGTACTTCGATCGTGTGAACAATGGCGTGCTGGATGTCGTGGCCAAGTTGGAGGAGGTCGCGCAGGCTATGCGTGCTGTGGAGCGGGAGAGTCAAGATATCTGGAGCGATACTGATAGTGTGAGCACGGCGACAGAGACTACTGCAGATGCGGGCTGAAGAAGCAGATGTGGGCCCGCACTCGAGTTTCCTCACCTATATGATTATCTCTGGCAAGAGATCAGATGGTATGACATTTGCGCCTGCAGGTGGCTTCCATGCTACGGACCTGGATTGGGTACTGCTGGAACTGGAGTTTGACGGTTCAAACCAAAAGCCGGATGCCACTGCGCAAGGAGGGCAATATCTGACCTTCGCCGCGTCTATCTATACTAATACCGATCATTTGTCTACACCAGACTTCTGTCGTTTCAAAACGACGAGCAATAATCAATCCGCAACAAACACGGTAGAAGAACATCCCAAACTTTTCAAAGTACCAACAACGAAATCAAGGGTATCAGAGACACAAACCACACCCGTTATCATACAAGCCCAAGCATAACACACATACTGAAAAAAAGCCACCCCTCCTAAGAAAACCCACATCCATCCTCTCTCTACTCGTTCTTCACCAGCCTCACAGCGGAGCTCCACCCTTCCACAGCCATATCCCGCACGTCCTCCCAGCTAGCCTCGTAAGCCTTGTTCGCCAAGGTCTCCACCTCCATGTTCCAGCGGTGCTTGAGTAACTCGGACAGCGTCGGCTGGGTGCGTTTGGGCGGCAGCTCCTGCAGCTTCTCGGTCTCGCTGGGAATCAAGCGGCGATCGTAGGCGCCGGTCGACGAGGCCAGCCAGGTCAATGCGCGGGTCTGGTCGCGGATCGCGTTGCGTTGCTCAAGCCGATTATACCGATGGACTTGGACGGTCAGGTAGAGGACGGTCGTGGTCAGGGCGAATCCACTCGCCTAAAGAGCTGGGATCAGTTTCGTGGACGACGTGTGCAGGGATGTCTAGGATCGAGGAAGAGCCTCCGTGGAATCGGTGTCGAGGGTGGCGTCTGACTTACAAAGCCGGTGAAGAAGCCCATTTGGAAAGAATTGCCCGTGGCTGGCTGGAGAGTACCGGGTCGAGTTTCGCAAGCCTGATGCAGTGCTCAAGCAGGCGGGGAGAGAAGGACGGAAGGAGGTTGCAGCCTGGCAAGGTAGTCGAGATGGTGGATGTGGATGTAAGGATCGAACAGGCGACAACACAATAGTAATTTCTGAATTCACAAGACTGATATCTCTCCGGATATCCAAAAGAAGTAGAATTATCCGGAACGTTGCAAATAATATCAGAAGTATCGCTTCATTGCCAGTAAAACAGTCGCAGCGATTCCAACAGCGCGGACCGGAGCCAGCCGTCGAACCGCACTCCGATTGGCCGATGCGGGCAAAAGCCGAATCTTTTGCTTCTCTCGCAGAACTTCAAACCGCATGAAACGATAACCACCAGACCCAGCCTGGAGCCTCAACCCACTCACTCACCCACCTTACACCACTATATATCCCCCTCGAACCCGGCCATTTCAAATCTCACCCTCACTTCGATCGGATATACACCTCGAAACCGCACCATCCTCTCCACGCCCAACGACCGGGTGTAAGAGCAACCAACCAACCTACAACCCACCACCACACCCAAATAAATCAGCACAATGGCCGGAGGCGCCGCCAAATACCGGCACCTGAGCCGCAAGTCCTCGCACCGACAAGCCCTCCTCCGCAACCTGGTCACCTCCCTTTTCACGCACGAGTCGATCACCACCACATGGGCCAAGGCCAAGGAAGCCCAACGACTGGCCGAGAAGCTGATCACCTTGGGCAAGAAGAACACTGAAGCCAGCCGGAAGAGCGCGCTGGCGACATTTTACGTGCGTGCACCGCCCACTTAGCCTTTAAACCCATCCCCCCCCCCAAGCCCCATCCTTCCCCCAAGAATCCATACTAACAAACCCCGGAAAAAAGACCCCCCACTCCATCCTCCCCAAACTCTTCGGCCCCCTGCGGGAACGCTACGCCAACCGACCCGGCGGCTACACGCGGGTGCTGCGCGTGGAGGCCAAGAAGGACGACCAGGCGGAGAGCGCGATCCTGGAGCTGGTCGACGGGCCCAAGGACATGCGGTTCGCGCTGACAGCGCGCACCATCGCGCGCCAGCGCGCCCAGGGATTCGACACCCTCAACGAGATCACCGCGCTGAACGTCCGCAAGGTGACGCGGTTCCGGGACGGCGGGGTCGACGCCCTCGAGGACGCGGTGCAGAAGTTGAAGCTCAGCGGGCATGGGGAGAAGGCGGCCGGCACGAATGGCAGTGACAATGGCGAAGGCAAGGGCTTTGGTTGGAAGGGGCGGAAGCAGAAGGTCAAGAAGGCTCCGCTGGTTTAGACATAGAGAGAACGGGACGGGATTGGATTGGATTGTGGGGAATGGGGTTGAGTTCGGGTCCTGCCAACAAGGAATTCACAGATTGAGTGAGGGTTGGCATAAGGATTGAGCAGGAGAGAGAGGGAGGGAGACTCTTGGGTGATTTGGATGGTTTGGATGGGGATGGTGGGGTTTATTAGCAGCGACGCTGGTCCGCCTTTTCTGGCTTACTTTTTCTTTTCTCTCTATTTCATTTATGTACCTTATATCATCGTATGTTGTTTTTCTCTGCTGCTGCTTCCTTCTCAACCTAACTGGACCAGTGGCTGGCTATGACTGTATTTCAGCTGACTAGGCTTTTCTGAAAATGATACTGTTATAACAATGGAGTTCGCTCAATAGTACTCATTACTTGTGAATTACCACGACGATATAGCCTAAGAACGGCGACTAATCTGGTTTCAGCATCGATTCAATCATACATTTATTGTGTCTAAGCACTGTCACCCATTCCCACACCAGCAAGATCTAATGAGATATAGCAAGTTTTAAAGTTACTGTGACATGCTCGCATGTCAGTAGCTAAGCTCCACCAAGCGCCATGGAAAGCCCAGTCTGGTCTGCGCTGTCAACTAAACGCAGACGCAACAAAACCCTCACACTTCGGGAATCGGCTATTTGGGCAAGCCAGAATAGGCCCGCACTATCCATTCTTCTCATCAACCTGCCCCGAATTGAGGATCGCCGCACCAGACCCTATCACACGTGCTTTGCCACGAGAAGAAAGTATGTGCACTTTTGAAAGTATAATCAGTCTATCGACCGAACAATAGTACTAGTTAGAACACGGGTCAATTTGCTCGTGGTAACATAGTTCCTCCTGAAACAACGAGCGGACCATTTTTGCTGTTTAGCGAATTGCTTGGGAAAGGTGTAGTTGCGGTAGGCCCATTTCGATGCTTCATGTCGAATTCGGATGGCACCTCGGACGGTGGTGGCTTGGGAGGGAGATGAGATGGCGTTCCCCATTTGGCGATTGAGTCTCGCCCACCGGAGGGTATACTACGAGGAAGACTCTGCCCAGCGGACCCCAATACATCCGGACCCTTGCTGTTGACATCCTGATAACCATTCCACTGTGGAAGGACCCCGGGCTGCATGCCTGTGTACGGGCCCATACCGTGCTGACTGCCCTTAGCAGGGTGCCGTGCTAATGTAGCTGCTCCACCTGGAACAAACGAGCGGGTTTGAGGGTTGAAAGGAGACCGACTAAAGCTTCCAGGCATAGGGTGAGAGCCTGAGTGAGGCTTAATGGCAGGACTCATTGGCTGGCCCGGATATTGAGCATAGGGATACGAAGTAGGGGTAGGCGGTTGGGTCTGATAATTTGTCCAAGCGGCCGGAGCATGCGGAGGGGGATGGTTGCGATGAGACGGAAGAGGATAGCCGCTAGGATAAGGTGGTGTCGACCAGCCAGGCGTCTGTTGATATTGTACAGGGTTGGGCATGGGATAGCTGCCAAGCGCAGGCGATGATTTTGTAGACGCCATCGCCGGCGACTGAGTGATGGACGCATATCCTGTAAAAGGAGACTGCTGAGGAACAGGCCCATTTTGCCACGGACCACTCGGCGTCATTTGGGGAGAGACAGGCATCGAGTAATGGGGCATCGTGTTCTGAATCATAGGACCTGGGTACATGGCGCCGGCCTGCGCACTAGGTGTATAGCCCATACTGGGTGGGGATACTCCAGGTCCAACCATGCAGGGCTGGTTTGGGAAGGACGGATCATTCATAGCCATACCATACGGCACTGAACCGTTGCCTAACTGCATCCCAGGGTAATATGCATTGAATTGAGACCGAGCTTCGAAGCTGTCGTCATGCGGCGTTTTCTGTCGGTGCGTCTTCTTGCGTCCGCTGGTTGAACTTGAGCGCGACATGTTGGCGCTACTGTCGCCATTCGCGGTTTCTGTAGCTGCCTTTGTGTCAGGGAAATCTCGGAAGATGCGCTCGCGCGCTTCCTGGTACTTGGCTTCTCGCTCCTCTCGAGTAAGAGCCAGCCTATCTTTCGCCGGGGTGGCACCTGTAGATGAACCACCACGGTCTCCGTCGTTACCGCTATCGCCAGCTTCCGATCCATCTTTCGAATGACCAGAGCTTGCTGCAATGCTGCCCTCAGTTGAAGGTCGCTCGCTGCCCGCACGTCTCATGATTTTCATGGCAGGCATGGCAGGTGGCGGTGTGCTGTTGTTGGCAGCATAAATGATGGAAAGGGGCGTGGGCCTGACAAGACATTAGTGCACAGAAACCATGCAAGAAGAATATAAACATACAGTCGACAAAAAGGTGTCCTGTGAAGTCTGACTGACGTGACGTTATTATCCACGAAGTGGGTCAGATGGTAGTAGTCGCCCAGTTTATGAGCCAAGAGTCTCCCAAAAGCGTTGGAAGGAGGAAGTTCCAGTGAATGCTCCCTATTGAACAAGAATTAGAGCCCAATGTACAAACAACACGACACAACCAAGAACTTACTTAGAATTCTGTATGAAATGCCGAACCTTCTCTTCTAGCTGTAGAATCAGAAGACGATCCTTAGGGGATTTCATGGCCTCAAGAAGCTTTTCATCTGGCTCAGACGGAAAACCATGTATGGGTCGTCCAGCTTCAAAGGCCTCAGAGTTGGTGGTGATAAAGCCGCCGGACATCGCGTCTGGAAGCAAAGCACCGTTACTGTGCTGAGTGCCGTCGGGATATACTGGTCCTGTCGGCTGAAGTATAGCCCGCGGTCGTTGCATGTCTCTAAACCCGCGAATACCCGAATCGGATCCCGTCAACGAATTGGGTGCGCCAGAAGCAGGCCCGGAGAGAGATTCTTCCTCGTCAATGGCTTGCACGCTAGCACTATCATCAGGACGCAAAGAGTCCTTCTCGTCCATGGCAAATGTGGTGACTGACGCCATGCTCTTCGAGTCAAAACTCGTCGGTTTCGTCGAAGAACTCGACAGATGGGTGCGGTCATCCTCGTCAAAGGATGTCTTCCGTTTCAATGATCCATTTTCTGGATCTTCACTAGAAAAATCGGGACTATCATGATATTTCTTTTCCGACAAATCAATGCCTTGTACAGCTTGGGAGAGACCGTCAACGTTTCGATCGCTAGTAGCGGCATCGTCAGGAGCGTTGCTAGGGCCTAGCTGGCCAGAATGAATGTCATGGGAGCAGTATAGTTCGGAAGATGATGGGATTTCGATCGACTGGGAACCATGTAGCTCGTCAGATGGCATAGAAGCTACCGGTCCAAATGGTGGAGGCATCGCAGCAATCTGCGAGGGCATGTCAGGCAAGAACCGGGGCATAGATCTAGTTGTTGCACCAAAACCGACCTTTGCAAAGGAGAGACGGTGCTCGTCCCTCGTAGAACCTTTCGATGCCATTATCATGCAAATTCTTTCCGCCGGATCTGAGGATCTCTTTCTAACGTTTTCTTTCTTTGGTGATAAAAACGAACGAGCCGGGAACCAACGGCTGAATAGAGAATCCCAACAAGAGAAAGCGCACGACTGAACTTAACGCGTTCAGGAGTTGGCGATAAAAAAACCGGAATTCGAACTGATCAAGAGCCACTCAAAGAACCCACTTCACACAAGCCCAAAAAGAAAGACGGCACATCTCTGGGAAACGTAATTCGCCATAAGGAAAGCTGCTTCGAGGTTAGAACCGCGCAAAAGACTGAGAGCCGTTGCGTAGCTAAACGGAGAGTAAGGTGACTGACTGATCGATCAGGGGAAGAAAGCCAGTGACGAAAGACGAGTGAATGGCCGGCAACGCAGTTTTGATGAGAAAAGTGACTGGTAGTACACGATTGTCAGAATGACCGAACCATGATCCTCTTCGATAGGCCGACTTGTGTCTTTGTGGAGAAGGTGAAAAAAAGGTTTGTATGGTTTGGGGAAGACGGAGGAAGAGGAGGGGAGGAAGAAGAGGGAGTGGGGAGAAAAGAGAATCTTCTTACAAGAGAAATAAAGAATAGGGGGAGCCTGAAGACAAGCAACCACCCTGGGAGAGCAAGTTGAACGAGACCGATGAACAAACAGTACAGTACTTGAGATCAGTACTGTGGAAGGGTGTAGTGTGGCCCGGAGTGGGTGGTAATGGTGGTGGTCCGTCGCTACTATGCGGGTGTGGGTATGGGATGGATTCTTTTGGGCTGAAGAACGACAGGAAGCAATGGCGGGCTGGCGGCAGGCACGCAGGCAGGCAAGTTTAGTCGCGCGTTTAATTTAGAAGGCTGTTCCGGCCCACATGGTTGGCTTAATCAGCCGCGGAGGTCAAAGCCTGGAAAGACTGTGGACTGGCAGTTGGGATTCCATACTAGTAACTGGAACAGTAACCTTACATACTACGGATACCGAGTATCAAATCTGAGTCGGGTCGGACCGTGAGCTACAGGCGAGGTAATAAAAGGGCTGAAATAATTCCCCTCCCTGTCGTTCTTGGTGGTCAGTCACACACTTCCACTTCGATTTCTATCAGCCAAGTCTCTCTAGCCTCGACCGGATCGAGGGCCGACGATCTGGATGATGAATCGGTATCGAAATGCCCCCGGGCTTAGAGGCCCTAGCAAGGCAACAGCCAGCACCCTGTGCCAAAAATGCTTGCAACGAGATATGTACCCATTTCGCGCTGATGCCTCTGGGTCGCAGACTGACGTGGTTTAGCACGGCACTACAGCTATGAATGTAAAGCCACCGCGCAGGAGCGGCCTTACATGTCTCGCCCATCGCGCACGCAGCAGCTGCAGAACCCAAAGCTGCGACCGCAACTCACGAATGATGCATACAAGGACGCTTTGAACACGTGAGTCTACCTCGGCTTCACCTGGCCTTGACTCTCATGTCGTCATCGGAGAAATTAACAAGACAATAGAAAAGAGTCTAACAAGGAGCCCTTGACCAGGCATGAGGAAGAAAGAGGTCGCAAGAGAGATTTAGACCAGGTGGACCCGTTACACAGCCCAACTCACTTGTCAAAGCGAGCACGCTCGGCTTCTTCGCTTTCAGCAAGCTCTGTATCAACGATCTCGACAAGTCGGTCCCACTCACGGTCGCCTTCCCGCCGCAACGAGCGGACAAGATCAGTGTCCTCCCGACCTTCTGGCCACAGAAAGAGGCGCTATAGTGATGCATCTTCCGCTCCCTCCGTTGCTTCTTACACGTCGGGAGAAAGAGGTTCTCGGTCTAGGTCGCGTGAGTGGTCAGATGACAGAAATACTCGACGAAGACGGCGCGCTTCGAGTCCAGAAGAACGGGGACGTCCCAGGAACATGTCGCGAGATGGTGGACGAAGGGATAGGTCTAGAAGTCACAGTGTCGATCGCAGTCGAATGGCCAAGAGCAGAAGATCAGTGAGTCCCTCGCTGGCGACTGGTAGCGACTACCCAGCTCCAAGCCACCGCAAGGCGCAACCCCGTGCGGAGCCCGTGAGCAGTGGCGGCGGACGTGGCCCCGGTCAGGGTCCCCCTCCGCCCCGGCGGGAGAGAAGTCTCAGTCCCTACAGCAAACGCATTGCACTAACTCAGGCAATGAACCTGGGACGTTAGGTTGCTTATGGTCTTTGGTTAGAGCAAAAGTCATTGGGGAATTTGCGCGGGCGTATTGGCGTTCTAGCCTCAGATTATCATTGAGGCATTGTATGATAGGAGAGTCGTCTGTGGTCATTTGCAGAAATCATTGAGAGCATAATGTATTGTATTGCTATGCAAAATTCCGTAACGCCTTGCGACTATTGCCCCTGACCCCAGCAGAAGAGCGCCTGATAGATAACGAGATGAAACCGAGTCGTACCACCACATATTGTACACCGTTCCTAGGGTATCAAGATTATGCCGCACCGTCCTCCTCAAGCTCCCTCCGTTCCTCTTCCTCTTCTTCCCTTTCTCGGACATGAATTCCCTCAACCAACATTTCGCCCTCAATGCCCATTTCCTCCCCCTCTTGAATGTTGGATCCTGCGCTCTTGGCTTGCGCGGCCCGCTGCGCATTTTCGATACGTTGGCGCACCAGTCTGGCGATGGCGTTCTGGGTTCGCACATTCAGGACGTTCATTTTTTCGTCCAGGTCACGTTTCAGATCCCAATTCGGCTTCTTCGGCTGCAGCTTAAATAGGTCGATTGGTTGGTCCTCCTCCGCATCTTTCTTCGCTTGTTCAGCGGTTGCTTTAGCGATCTCCGCAGCTTGGGCTTCCACGGTGATTTGGCCATCATTCGGGGCTTGTTCGAATCCAAGCTTGGGTCCACGAGTTTCCGGGTCGTAGTTTCTGCCGGACAGGTATTGCTTGGTCACGTCTGGAGCAGCATCGTCGTACTCATCGTTGGCGGCCCCAGCTTCTGGTTCGGGCTCTGGTTCGGGCTGTTTGCGTTTGAGGGCAGCAAGCTTCGCAAGCCGAGCTTTGCGCTCTGTCGCAGCGGCATCGAGAGAGGCATGGTTGGATGACATGGCTGCAGGGGAGATGTGCCAGACGGAGAGAGCTGTGGATGACCAGGTCGAGGAGGGGGAGGGGAATGTGGATTGCGCAGTAGCTGAGAATGAGCAAAGACAAAGGCGGAATGATGTATATCTTTCTGCCTTTTCACAGCTTCGCGATCTCAGCAAGCTTCTCAATAGCCGAGATAGAGATTGGTCAAGACGGTGGTGACACAAATCAAATTGAGGTAGTAGTAGGTAACTGCAGTGGTTGTGATTTAGTAGTAGAACTGATTGTCGGCAGTGATTTGCGCGCGCCACAGCCCGGGATTCCATCAGCCACACTTTATCCGCGCCGGAGCAAAATCGGGCCCTTTCTTTCCCCGGGTTCGCCGCGAGAAAGAAGTTATGCAACATTTGCCCAGTCACCCCTCCCCAGTTGTTGAATCCTCACGGTGTTTCTTGTGGTGTTTTGCTCAGCTGATTCATGCAAATACATAAAACCGAGCACTGAATGTCATTCAGTCCGCATCGCTTCTTGCGCCCCCGCTATGGTGCTGGGTTGCCTTCCTATGCACTGCAGCCCCGAGTCCGCCCCGGATATTGGTGTCGCCAGAGAGAAGGACTTCAGCATACGAGATGGCACATCCATGATGCGACGCCCACGAGTAAACAAATCTCGACGGAGTCTGACTCAATACTACATGAATCAGCACCTCCCACTGCGCCTAGTGGTCTTGTAAACTGCAGTCTTGGCCAATCTCGCAACACAGCGCAGTCTTCGTCCTCCTCTGCTCATACCGCCATACCCGAAGCTGAAAGCGATTTACTTGACGACTCATCATTTCCGCCACCTAAGCCACCCCAGGTCTTGGATCCTTGCGATCCCTGGAGCGATTATAGGGCTTTGCGCACTCCCGACTATTACAATGAGGGCAGTCGGCGACTTCGACACAATGCACTTGTGGTGAATGGTGGCACCATCAGCTACCGAGAGAGAATGGTGGGCGAGGACGCGTTTCACGCTGATGAAGAAATACGAAAGTCATCTTTTTTCGTCGGTTCACCTAGGCTTCGGAGGTGGAAGGTTGCCCGCAATGAGCTGTTCAAAGCTAAATACTTTGATCGGCCAGTGGCGCGGGAGGACCTTGTCGAGGAATTTCACATGCACAAAGCGGACAAGGAGCTACTGGCGATACTGCAGAGTGAAGAATTTGAAAAGTTCCGCGAGGAGTGGGAGCCAAAGGACATGGCCATCAAAAGTGAGCACTGGATGAGGCTGTCACTCTGGCTTATAGCAAATTCCCCGGAGCTTGCTTTGAAGTTTCTCTACATAACCTGCCAAGGCGAGCAGAGGCCGCTGCATGTCATGGTCTGCGAATGCCTGCTTTTCTTGCGAAACTATCCAGATTTACTTTCTACCTGGACATGGGAGGGGAAGACCTTTGCCGATGTCCTCGCCGCTTGCTTAGATCCAGAACATTGGCCAATCGTCTATGCATCACAAAAGGGTATCCGTTTTTTCATCATGGGAGCAGATGATGAACGTGTTCTTCAAGCCTGGAAGCTCGCACACGAACGACAAGTTTACACGTCCGCTGAAACCTATCTTGCTTACGCGGCTCGCTTCACCAAGATGAAGAATGTCGATTTGGCCCTCGCAGCCTTGGACCATGTACGTCAGATCGGACAGGTTGGCTTGGAGATGACTTCTCAGCCAGTCAAGTCCCACGGCTGTCTGTTGTTGCTGCTCGACTCTGTCGAGGATGGTCCCAACGGGCGGAATTTCCGCATCCTTCCCAAGCTCCTCGAGATGGGCATGCGTCCTGACTTGGAGATGATGGATCTCATTCTAAGAAACTGCTACAGGACAGGGGATGAAGAACTTGGGCGCGATATGTTGCATCATATGCAGAGCCAAGGTTATCCGTTGACGACATACACCTATGTAACGCTATTGTCCGACGCCACCCGGCGACTGGACCGACACGAAATCGATCGGTTACGGGATGAAATTGACATGGAGGGAGAGGACATCCGGACCAACAAGTTTGTCCAGTCCAAATTGTTCCACGCGTACTTCTGTCTCAATGTGAAGGACCAGGCGAATCGGCCTTCCGACATAGACAACAAGCACGCCTTTCGCACTCTACTGAAGATGTACAATGAGATGTACGATATTGTACCTTTGAAGAAGCTTGGGATTGTTCCGCAATATTACCAACCGCCAACTACTGAACGAACCGCGGTGAGAACCTCGCCCGACGCCGTACCTCTTTTCCTCATGATTGCGTCGTACCTTCGGTGCAACAAGCATGTTTCTGCCACTGCGCATGTCTACGAACGCTTTATCGAGCTCTTAGAGAAAGAGGACCCTGTCATTTCTTCTCTAGCTAGAACAGATCACACTTGGCACGAGTTTATGCATGCATGGCGTAATGACGTCCGAGGACTGCGCCCTTCGATCCGCCTTGTTGATACCATGCAGCGTCTCAGTAACGAAGGCAGTGTCAGCCCGAATAAGCCACAGTTCCGGCCCAAGCCAACAGTCTACATCTGGACGACATTGATATCTGCGTTCCTGTGGAACAAAGAACCGCGGGCGGCAGAGCACGTCATCGAGATGATGAAGAAGAGCAAGTTCAAGTTCAACCAGATCTTCTGGACCACCTTGATCGACGGCTATGCTCGCAACAAGGACATCCTCAAGGTCGCGGAAACAATCCGAGCGATGGAGAATGATGGCTTTGAGATGGATGCATTCTGCATCAAGGCGCTGCGCCACATTCAGGATCCGGAGCGACTTTGGGAGGCCGTGGAAGAGCTTGACAAGGAGACCGACGAGCAAGTAGACCGAACCACGTTCGAGTCACTCACCAAAAAGTCGCGTCTCGACGAGATTCAGGACGACCAGGGTGACCCAGATTGGCTGCTCGACCAGGGTCTTCAACGCTTGAAGGCCAAACAGGCCTGAAGGCCTCATCTCAAGCAGGCGCAGAATCAAGATACCCCACTTTTTTTTGAGCAATTCGGATTCATTCTTCAGCATAGCTGGTGTACATGGTAGGGAGAGCATGGTTGTTACATAGAGCGTTTTGCGGCGTCCAGAAAGGCACAGGATATACCTCGTGGAGTGAAGTCACATTTCTTCGATATCATGTACATATCCATCACTTCTAAAATTCAGGAAGAAAACACATCAAGCTTCATGCTACACAAAGGGCATGGTGAGAGTACAAACTTCAAATTAACGCCACTGGCTGATGTAAAGGACAGTATACTACCATGCTATTTCCTGTAACTCGTGAGAAAAGCAAGACACCTCGATCAGCCGCCGAAGAAGATCGAAACCTAGATGAAGAGCTGTCAGCATCTGGAACTCGACTTTAGAGGGCCTATCCCTCTTATCATTCGAGTTAGGGGAACTTACAGCCATCACCACGCAGCAAATACTGACGTAGGGACTGAGCCGTTCACCGATGCGAGCACATTTCCAGAAGATACCGAAGAAGCTGCGGGCAGTGTTAGAGAATCTTCGGCCGGTGAATGAGAGAAAAGGGTGCCAGTTGATGAGGCCCTGCTGATAGCAAGCCAACACAACACATACCCATTTTGATTCCGATCCATAATCCCCGGCATGATCGAGTGGGCGTAGGTGCTCGTACAGATGATAAGCAGGAAGACCAGCAGAAGTGACTGGAAATTGAAGAGAGCCGACTGCGAGAGCCATCAAAGTCAGTACCATCGCTTGTGAAGGATTCTTCCAAATTCACTGCGCTGCATCTCACTTACCATCTTGACGAAAGTGACCGAACCAGCTGCCTGGCCTTCTGTTCTTGTGTTTCTTCAACCGCAAGCTCGCGACCAAGGGGCCTTCTCTTCTTCCTGAATTACCTCACTGCAAACACAACCTTTCCGCTGGAAGACTTGCGCGAGGATTTGACGTCTTCGAAAGAGCACACGATCGAAAACTAGTAGCTGGTTTCACGACCTCGTCGTCATCATATCGATCGATCATCCTTCGACTGCGGAGGGGGAATCATTCTGCCAGCATGTCGTCCGGCAGTTACCGCCACCGCCTTCCGGGGTCGAGGCCCGCGCTCCGCTATGCGCCGCCGCCGCGGGTCCGTCCTACACCCCGTGTTACCTGGGCTACTCCTACAACTACAACAAGACCTTCACCACCACCTCCACCATCCCGACAACCACCATCCTCATCCGCATCGCAGACCTCAACCCCGCGCGCTGCTGCTCAAGCGCACCCTCCAACCCGGACGGTCTCGTCCGGTCCACCCCGCCACCGCAGCACAGGCCATGTGTCGAGTAAACTCGCCCCTCCTTGGCCCTGGAACCCCGAAGAAACAGACCTAATTCACGCCGGATATCGACCCGCCTACCCTCCTCCCCCCCTCAAACCCGACGCAGCAACCGAACCAGCAGGAGCATCCGCATCACCAACACCCACAATCACAGCCACCACCAAACCCAAACTCAAATCCAGAGCCACTACCCCCACCCCCAAGAAAATGGCCGAACCTCGAGCACGTGCCGCCCGGCACAAAGGGCAGATGAACTTCGCCTCGGAGCGTACGTTCTTCCCTTGCAGCCCCAGAAAGAAAAAGAAAAAAAAAATCGAGATACTAACGGTAGAAAAAAAAAGTCCGGCTCCTCCTCCTCGCCTACGGCGACCCAAGCCCCCACCCCTCGTTCCCCTCCGAACCCCTCCCGGAGACCGTCCGCGTCCTCGACGAGATCGTCACCGACTTCGTGCTGGAGATGTGCCACGGCGCCGCGCAGTACGCGAGCTACTCGCGCCGCCAGAAGATCAAGGTGGACGACTTCCGGTTCGCGCTGCGCCGGGACCCCAACAAGCTGGGCCGCGTGCAGGAGCTGCTGCGCATGGAGCGCGAACTGAAGGAGGCGCGGAAGGCGTTCGATCAGAATGATGATCAGGTCGGGAATCTTAAGGATGCCGCGGCGGCGGCCGCGGCCAAGAAAGGTGCTGGTGGTGCTGGTGGTGGTGGTGCTGCTGCTGCCGCCGGGGACGAGGATTTCGGGGCCGCGGAGAGTGTGGATGGGAGGAAGAGTAAAGGGAAAGGGAAGAGGAGTGCTGCCGCCAGGAGGGATTCGGATGTTACCGAGGAGGGCAGTGTGACGGCTGGGATGGCGAAGAAGAGGAAGGTGGGTGGTGGTTGAGTTTATTGATCTGGTTGCATTCTTTTCTTGGCTGGCTATGTTGTTGTCACATGGCGTTCTTGGGGTTTCTTTTTTACTTTTGCCCTTATATTGGAGGGCGGGGCTGGCTACTGGGATTGCATTGTGCCTCGGGTGTATTTATATAAAGTGATATCCCATTATTCATTTGTCATTGACAGGGGAACGTTGATGATAACAAATCAGCCACTGCAGAATCAACACGGATTTGTTGTTCTGGCATCAATGGTTCAAAAATATATCTCTAACCTGACGATAAGCCCGCCAATCTCGAACTAAACCCCGGGGCTATCTTATCAGTTGCACCGCCACACCAGTCAATAGTTTATATATCCAGCCTTACAGCCAGCTCTCAATACTCTAAAGACCCCAGGACTACACCTTTACTCTGTTCAGGTGGAAGTTAATGAAGCATGCATGCAATAATTTCTCTACCCTAAACAAATTCTATTTTCCTCAGCTCGCTGCATAAAGTACCCCTTTTTGTTCTCTTCCTCCCATGAGTGGGTTGCTTTTCCAAACATTCTGAACAAAAGCCAGACGGACTCCCAAGACGCCGTGCTCTTTCTCTTTTTTGTTTCCTGCTCCCCAAGTCCCGTGGAGGGGGTTGAGTTGCTTGCTTCCCAGGAGATACAGGTCAGCCTGGAAACCAGCTGGCTGTATGCGATTGACAAGCACGGAACTATCCTCTGCAAACCGGAGCTGAATAAGGGCACAGTTTGCAAGCAGACAGACATCCCATGCAAGATCAAACGAAAGAAAGTTTCCAGGGGCAGGGGGTAAGTATGTGTGGAAGGGGAACGTTGTATGTATAGAAAGTGCCGGTAACGCAGCCCAAGCTTTCTCAAGCTTAGTCCAGATACCAAGCAAGCCAGGAAATCAGGCTGACCAACATGAAATTGCGGAAGAGTCAAAGAAACCGTCAATGAGATTAATATGCACGGAGAAGAGACCAAGTTGAGACAAAGAAAATATGTGAGAAAAATGGTGGTGGGACGATGGTTGAAGAGAAAAAAATGGAAGGTATCGTTTTTCTTTTGTCTTAAATCGGAACCCTATCATAATATCCTCTTTACGCGCGAGCCTCCTCGCCGCTCCGCTCTTGAGTCCGCTGCTGACCACCACGGCCTCCCTTGCCGCCCCGCTGTCCGCCGCGCTGGGGGCCGGACTCGCCGCTGCCTTCGCCGCCCAGGGTCAGCTGTGCGGTGGCTAGCCGGTTGGACAGCTCCATCTGCGTGCGGATGGTGTTGGCCAGGTACGACACAACCAGGACGTCCTGGATGTGGTTGTTGCTGCAGGAATTGGGTTAGGTGGATGCTTTGCTTGATACACTGAGGCAGGCAGGGGGAAAACATACAAGTCACGCTCAATGTCGGCGGGCTCGACCTTAGGAGCCAAGGCGAGAGTGTTGAGCAGGTACTGACCCATGGCCGTGGAGGCGGGGGCCTCCTCGTCGATCACGGACTCGACGTAGCGGGAAACGCGGTCGATCATGCCGAGAACCTCCTCGATCGCGCGCTCGAGGGCCTCGATGTCGGTGAAAATGTTGGCGGAGCGCTCCTCGGCATCACGGGCAGCGGCAATGGCCTCGAGACCGCTCTTCTCGGCCTCGCCGTAGCGGATCTCGTAGGGAACGGGGATGAAGGCAGCGCTGTCGGCAGCACGCTCAGCGGTCACACCGACGGGGGCAGAGATGTAGGCGCGGGTCTCGATGTCCTTGCCGGCCTCGGTGGAGACGGTCAAGTGAACGGCGGGGTGAGGCCACGTGCCGTCGCCCTGGCCGCTGTAGAAATTTTGGATCAAGGCAGAGAAGGTGTTGAGCTCGGACGAGGTGGCGTACCAACCCACGAGGACCTCCTTGGGGTTGGCCTTCAGGTGCAGGGCGAGCATCTGCTTCTGGTATTCCATATCCACCTCAACCTGGTCTGTCGTCTCGGTGTGGCCCACGGCGAAGGTGCTGCGGATTTCGACTTCGGTGCCATCCTCGGACCTGGTTCCCAGAAGAGTACCGATGACACGCTCCTGGTCGGCATTGCGACGGAGAGAGTGGTCAAGGATGGAGAACAGAGCCTAGCAGCAACCATCAATCAAACCAGTTCCGGGTGAAAGAACTTCAACGAGACAAGCTCATGGTCGACCTACCTGAGGTTGAATAACAACATTCACAGGGGCGGTCGTCGGTGCAGACCCCACTGCCACGGGACCCAGAGGGCGGGCGAGATGGACGAAGGAATCGGTGTCAGCCATTTTGGTTGGAGTGATAGAGGGAGAGAGAGCAGTGGTGGTAATGATGTTTGAGAGGAGGGGAGGAGGTTAGATGGCTGGTTCACACAGTCGGAGTTCTCTCTGTTTGTCTCCGGGGTGGGGTTGTGATGGTGGCTCTTCTGGGGAGGGAGGATTAAATCTTCTCTTTCCGCCTCTGGGCTGCGGCGGACGGAGGAGGTTCTGCTGCGAGCCTCAAATTGTGTGTGCGCAAAGGGAATTTCGCGCTAAGATAAGATAAGCCACCGCCGCCCAGATTCAACCCGCCGTGAAAAAAAAGAGTTTCTGGTCGGCTTTCCGCCTGTTCACTAGCTAGAAGTTCATCGGTCAGTCGCATTCTTTTTATTTTTGCAATTATCCACAATGGCTCCCCCTCGTGGTAGAGGTAGAGCTCCTAGAGGGCGCGGAAAGCGGCCCCGTGGCGGCGTTAGTCGCAGAGATGCCTTTCAAGCATCCCGAGTCGACGAGATCCAGTGAGCGCTCCATCATATTCGCATCTAAGCACAAATTCCGGCAGCTGACTGGTTGTGGCAGATCGGAAGCCTCGTCTGACAGTGAGAATGGCTCTTTCGACGAGCCCATGGAGGATGCAATGGTCGACGAAGAACTCTTGGACCAGGATTCGTCCGATAGCGAAGAGGAACCGGACCAGAAGGGTCATTCCTATAACGAGTTGTTGCAACTACTGAACGCCGGCAACGACGCCAATGGACCCGCTCGCAAGAAGCGAAAGACCGATCACCGCAAAGCCGAGACCAAAGAGGTGATCCGCGATGACGCAGAAGAGGACGAGGATGAGGCTTTGTTGGGAGAGGACGATCTAGAGCAACAAGCACCGTCGGACGCAGAGGACGAAGACAATCAGCCCGAAGAAGAGGCAGAGTTACAAGCAGACAGTGATGATGAAGATGGTAGGAAGATCTGGAAAAATTGTCGATAAACGGGATATCGCTGATGCGCAGCAGATAATGATCCTTTCGACACCCACTTCAACACCCTCAAAGAGGAGGACTTGAACAAGAAGATCAAGGCTATTGAGGAGAACAAGTGGAAGAGCACCAAGAAGGAACTTGCCGAGGGGCTGAAGTTCGTGCGCTCCATTCCTGATACGGGCGACGATGCATCCTTGTTGGCCGCAATGAAGAGCGTCTCGAGCGTGAAGGTAAGCCAAATTGTACCGAGTCTCCACATCACCAGATGGAAGTCTAACACACATCAATGCGCTTAGCTCAAGAGGAAGCTTAAGGCTCCTGCGACGGAACATATCCCCAAGATCGATGGCGATGCTCAACATCTTGCCCCCTACATCTTCGGCTACCAGGATGTTCTTTATGGCGCTCGTACGGCAGACAACGCAGCTCACTTGCGAGATCTCCTGGCTCTCCATGCGACGAATCATGTACTGAAGACGCGCGACCGCGTCCTCAAGAACAACGCTCGTGTGGCCAAGGAGCAAGATTCCGACCTGGACGTCCGGGATCAGGGTTTCACCCGGCCCAAGGTGCTGTACTTGCTACCCACCAAGCAAGCCTGTGTGCGGGCGGTGGACGCCATCACGCGTTTCTTCCAGCCAGAGCAACAGGAGAACCGGAAGCGACTTCTTGACACCTTCTCGTCTGCGGACGATAAGTCCTGGGAGAACAAGCCGGACGACTTCCGCGACCTGTTCGGAGGTAACGACGATGACATGTTCCGCCTCGGTCTCAAATTCACGCGCAAGACTGTGAAGTACTTCGCGCAATTCTACACATCCGACATGATCCTTGCCAGTCCGCTCGGTCTGCGCACGATCATGGACCAAGCCGAGTAAGCTTCCGCTGACCCCCGCCCTTCCGCTCACGAGACCGTAATCGAGTAGCTTACTGACCCCCTCTCCCAGTGCGAAGAAGCGGGACCACGATTTCCTGTCCTCGATCGAAGTTGTCATCATCGACCACGCGGACGGCCTGCTCATGCAGAACTGGGATCACGTCGATTACATCCTCAAGCACCTGAACCTGCAGCCGCGGGAGGCGCACGGCTGCGACTTCAGCCGGGTGCGGACGTGGTACCTCGACAACCAGGCGCGGCACGTCCGGCAGATGATCATGCTGTCCTCGTTCGTGACGCCGGAGATGAACTCAGCGTTCTCGACGCAGATGCAGAACGTCTTCGGCCGGGTGAAGGTCAGCCCCGTCTACGCGGGGGCCATCGGGGAACTGGCGCTCCCCGTGCCCGTGCGGCAGACCTTCTCGCGCTTCGACAGCCTCTCGCCGGCCAAGGACCCGGACGCGCGGTTCAAGCACTTCACGACGACCGTGCTGTCGTCGCTGGTGCGCGACCTCAGCAAGACCAGCGGCGGCGGCGGCACCCTGATCTTCATCCCCTCGTACCTGGACTTCGTGCGCGTGCGCAACTACTTCGCCACCTCGACGCAGACGACCCACATCTCCTTCGGCGCCATCAGCGAGTACACGGACGTGCGTGAGGGCACGCGCGCCCGCACCCACTTCGTGCAGGGCCGCCACTCGGTGCTGCTGTACACCGAGCGCATCCACCACTTCCGCCGCTACCAGCTCCGCGGCGTCAAACGCATCATCATGTACGGCGTGCCCGAGAACCCGACCTTCTACGCCGAGATCGTGGGCTTTTTAGGTCTGGATCCCGCCCAGGCCGCCCAGGCCGCCCAGGCCGGCGGCGTGCGCGCCCTCTTCTCCAAGTGGGATGCCCTGAAGCTGGAGCGGATCGTCGGGACGAAGCGCCTCGGAAACATGATGCGCGAGAAGGGCGGGGATACGTTTACCTTCATGTAGATAGGGTTTCTCGGTGGGGCTTCAAGCTAAATTGTATAGTACGGTAGGAAACTACCTGGTTCGGAGAGAAGTCCGATATCGTTCCCGTTTCACAGCAACTGCCATAGTCATAGTCCTCCAGCCAGCCCCTGCAGTGCAGGGACGGGCTATACCTATTCCTCTCTTTCCTTCAAATCACATCTTCATCCATGATCCTCCTGATAAGAGCTCCGTACTATATGTATAATCCCAGCACTGTTGATCACCAGGACTTGCAGACTGTAAAGATTAGCGTGCCACCCCCCAATCCACTTTTTACACAAAAAACCATTCGGCTCCTTCACCGACATTCGTAGATCGGAGGAGGGGGGGTTGGTAGCAACAAAAAAAACCCAGTGCTAACCGATCACCCGGACGCCTTCTGCTAACACCTTCAATCAACTCAACTCTAAGGATTTTCTTTTCTTTTTGTTCATGCTCAGCTGATTTATTCGTTCTGTCGAATCAGCTTAAAGATCTTGTTCTGTTTCTTCTTTTCCCCTTCGTCAAGTGCGCGAAAAGCGGTGATTAGTCATTCTAAGGCGTCCTTGTACTTATTACATTTTTTTTTTTTTTTTTTGGCTCTCGCCCTTTTCACATTTCTCTCTCTACGGCCATTTAAACTTCTGGTCGTCTCTGTTTTGTTGACGGATCGGTTCAGGACTGGACCAGGGGAATGACTGAAGGTATATATACAGCACGTCTACAATAGAATCGGTTGTGTGTGTTTCCTTATCGCCTTCAGATCGGATCTACTTGCGAGGAAGTACTGTACAAGTACAAGTACAACCACTCCCGGAACCAGGCACAAACAGGAAAACAAACCTCGGATAACAAACGCAAATCAGCCGCCAGAAAAACACGAGGCAATTACAAAATGGCCACTTGCGTCACTCCTCGATCCCACGAGGATCCAAGCCAGCGGGAGGCGATAAGAGAAGCACCCAGCGAGCAGAGTCCCCTTCTCGCTCGCTCCTCACCAGCCATGATGCCTGATGAATTGACCTCAACTTCCTCTCACCACCAGACGCCCTGGTGGTTTACCCTGCGCCACTCGAGCCAGGAGCTCTGGCTGCAGGGGAAGGGTATGATCTTTGTGCTGGGTGCCCAGTTTTTCGGCGCTACCATGAATGTTATGACGCAGGTTTTGGAGATCAAGGGGAATAATGGGAAGGGATATCATCCGTTCCAGGTAGGTCTTGAATCGCGTGCCGCTTTGCCTGATCGATTGTGTGAAACCAGACGGTCGCTGCTGTGCTAGTCAACCGCTAATCCCTTCGCAGATCCTCTTTGCGCGCATGTCAATCACTGTCATAGCCAGTTATCTGTACATGTGGTACACCAAAGTGCCGCAGCCGCTTGGGACCAAACCGATCTTGTTGCTTCTGTTTCTACGTGCCAGCGGTGGCTTCTTCGGCGTCTATGGGCTGTACTACTCAGTGCAGTATCTGCCTCTGTCCGAGGCCACTGTAGTCACCTTCTTAGTTCCCATCCTTACCGGATACGCCTGCTCGTTATTCATTCCTCACGAGACGTTCACCCGCAAACAGTTGATGGCTGGGCTCGTGTCCCTGGTCGGTGTTATTCTGATTGCTCGCCCGTTCGCCTTCATGCGCTCGGGCGAAGAAACTGACGATGGAGAATCGGGCGATAAGCCCGGGGCAACGGACAGCTATCACCACGTTCTGGCGATTGCTGTCGCCCTGCTGGGCGTCCTAGGAGCCACTTGTGCTTATACGACCATTCGAATGATCGGCCGGCGCTGTCACCCACTCGTGTCTGTCACCTGGTTCTCCTCGTACACGACAATCGTCGCCTCTCTCGCGATGCTGCTGGTCCCGTCCATTCCCTTCGCGTTGCCCGTTACGCTGTTTGAATGGACTCTGCTGCTGGGTCTCGGAGTGTGCGGATTCCTGTTGCAGTTCCTCCTCACGGCTGGTCTGTCTTATGTCCCACCAGAACGGACGCCCAAAGACCTTGCGACAGGCTGGGAATCGAACTCGTATGGTACTCAAGCGAGCGGCCGGGTAGAGGATGAAGAGCAACTGCAGGGACAGCAGCAAGCCGAAACCAAGCCTCCTGCTGCAAAGACCTCGTCCGGATCACGCGCTACGTTCATGATCTACACCCAGATGTTGTTCGCGCTATTCTATGACCGCATAGTCTGGGGTAGCACACTGTCCCCGGTGAGTTGGGTCGGATCGGGGTTAATTCTGGGCTGTGCCATCTATGTGGCCGTTGCACGAGAGGACCAGAAGCCCGAAAGTGGTTCAGTTGAGACCGCCAGCAAGAACGACGTCACGGCTGCAGCGCCTGCCGACGAGGAAAGTGAACGGCTGGAGGTAAGCGGGACGAGGTAGGCGGGAGGGGGGGCATGCAGTTGGATCCATACTTCCTGCAAGTGAGCATAATAGGGAGGACGATCGGAGGTATTTGACTCTTGGATCAATACACACAAAGATCAAGTCGACTCCTGGGTAGTAAGGAATGCAACCCCACGGCAGATCCGGCTAGTGCGGGAGGGGCATCAAAAGCGGAGCAAGTGACTTTGCATATACGGAGTGCAGTAGCAGGGCGCTGTGGAAGCGAGCGGTGGTGAGCGACTCGCGGGAGATCATGACTTACATAGTATAGTATAACGAATGAGACGAAATGACATGATGCAAGAAGCAAGAAGCAAGAAGTAAGAAGAATAGAAGAGGAAGGTGTGGGGTGGGACTGGGACTCGGTTGACTTGCCTTTTAGACCAATGATCTAACACCAGGTGGGTTTTCTTGTCGATCCGGGGGTGGAAGGTATCTATCAATTCAATCCAATTCAACTTCCACTTCTACACAATGATCTTACACCATCTTCCTGATTTTGAAATCAGGTACTTCTTCCCCCGAGCGTTTACACATCACCAGAACACTAGAACAAACACACCCACCACAACTCCACCAAGCAAACCCATGAAGGCAACCGACCACCCGTCTCCCCGGTATGCCGCAGCACAGTCTCCCTCGAATTGTCGGCTCGGAGCACTCTCGTCCTATGCAGCCATGCAGCCATGAAACCCAATGCATTGCAACGGCCCCTGCCAGAGAACGAGGCCTCATTTCGCGAGGGGTGTGATTGGACGCCACGACGTCATTTCGCTGCTTCTCCCCCTCGGCTGGACTCACGGAAGAACCCGAGGTTGACCGCGAACGGCCATGATTGGGGGCAGCTTGAGTGTGATTGCCAGTGGCGTTACCACCTACTGTCTCCATGATTTGATGGACATACTGAGTGGGAGTGTGCAGTGGAGAGTACTTTTGACCCTATATGGCTGGAGAAAAGGGAAAGCTTATATAGGGTGTGCAGCCTCATCTCGTCTCTCCTTTCCCTGTTTATAAAGCCAATTGCTTTCCCTTCACTCTTTACCTTGTTCTTTCGTGCTTCTCCTAGATATAGACAAAAATTCTCGATACAATGCGCCATTTCGACGCCTGGCTCCTCCGCGACCCCTACTCAATCTTCCACTACTATCCCACCAAGCGACGCTGGTCAGAAACCATCCGCGAACTGATTCAAGACCGCCAAATCTGCGCCCCCACGCCGTCTGCCTCTGCGTCCACGCCATCAGCCCCGGATATTTTCCTAGAAATCGACCCCCAACGCAACAGCCCCCTCTTCACCCGCCTGCCCCCCGAGATTCGGTCCATAATTTGGGCCTACGTCTTCGGCGAGCCCATTCTCCACCTCGTCCAGATCCGCAATCAAATCCGCCACGTGCGCTGCCCCAATCCCGTCTCTGCGATTGACAAGAACCGGCGCTGCTGTCCCATCACCGCCGCGCGATGGCGTACGGACGTTGATTCCCCGTCCGCTGCTGCACCAGCTTCCCCAAGCAACAGCAGCAGCAGCAGTACCAACAAACAACCCCCCAACACCGACCCCAACAGCAGACTCTACGCCCACACCCACCCCTCCCTCCCCGCACACCTCAGCACCACCCCAGCGAGCCTGCTGCGCACCTGCCGCGCGATCTACAACGAAGCAGCACCGCACCTGTACCGCGACGCGACCTTCGATGTCGACGACCTGTCGACCTGGATCGCATTCACCGACCAGGTCAACCCGGCCAGCCTGGGGGAGGTGCGGACCTTGAGCGTGCAGGTTGTCCCGCTGGACGGGATGTTCCACGACCGGGAGACTGCCAGCCATAGCCATAGCCATACCGACAGCAACAGTAACAGCAACAATCAACGACCGCCAGAACCAGCAGGGTCTCCCACCACCACCACCAGACCCCCCTACTCAATCCACACCCACACACACAACCCGCACCTCTGGACAGCCTTCTGGCACAGAACCACCACGAGGTGCCCGCACCTCACCGACCTAACCCTCTGCATCGACCTGGGCCGCTTCACCACCACCAACAACCCCGGCACGGGCACCACGGGCACCACCATAATTGGGGGCTACAAACTCCCGCTCCACGCCGGGATAGACGCGGAATGGCTGCAGCCCATTGTGCGGCGGGTGCGCGGGTTGCAGCGGTTCGACCTGGCGGTCACGGCGCGGTGTGAGGCGGCGGCGCGGGCGGGGGTGGAGCGGGAGGTCGGCGGGGCGGAGCGGTTGGGGCGGTTGCGGGCAGAGATTCGGGGGTGGGTTTGTTCGGGCCGTGGCTTGGACTCAACGTTGGAGGATGCAGACGGGGAGAAGGAGGCGGAGGAGGAGTATGGGTACGGGTTTCGGGCTGGGAAAGAGGGGTGGCAGAGACGAAAGAGGAGGTTGGCTATTTGTTCGGCTTGATTACCGTAGAACCTCCCCGGGAGACTATACAGAGGGAGAGACAAAACGATGCTAACTTAGATAATAGATTTATAGATACCCCTTTCTTTGGATCCGTTTAGCAACGTTCATACCACTAAAAGATGAGGTGGTTCGCCTTGCTAGATATGAAGTACAGTACGGTACATGCACACTCTACAAGCTACAACACAATCCAAAAATCCCAATTCATCTAAAACAATTTAGTCTCTGTACAGTACACATCCGATCATCATACTGAGACCTCCGCCCCGCATCCTGACGAGTACACACAGACCCCACCATAAAATAAATTTCACCTCTAAGGAAATAGTTCTTTCCCCAATAACAATATCCCATCCCATCACATAATGATACATCACCTTTAACAATTTTTGTCTGTTCCATAAAAAAAAAGGCCCATAAAGATAAGACATTACTTATTTTTTGAACCACATCAAGATTTGAACTTCCCCTTGGTTGACGGATGCTTCTCATATAAGGCTTCCACGCAGATAAGAGGAAGCGAGGAAGTGCGAAAGTAAAAGAAAAGAAAATTTTTTGATGTCCAATTTCAAAAGTTCGGCTCATACCCCGACCGGTCCTTTTGCTAACCTTACATTATCAGGAGGGAGAGGCTGTGGGATGTGGGAAAGGGAGACATGAACCAAGAAGGTAGGTGGGTTGATTAGGTTGAGGGGTTGGGGGGAGAGAAACAACAACAGCAGAAAATCATCAAGAACACAGATCACTCATGCCCGGGAACCAGCTGCATGTTGTTGTTCATACTCATGTTCTTGTTGTAGCTGTTGCCCGCTGCTGCGCTCTGCCTCTGATTCATGTTCCTCCTCGCTGGTGGGGGACGGGGCTCGACTGCCCACTAAAGAGCGACGGCTGCGCATCTAGACCAAGATTTGTGAGCGGCTGCACCCTCCTTGTCATCGCGACTTCAGGAACTCACCCATGACCGAACTCCACCGATCAGACCCAGACTGTACCCCGTGGCAAAGTAATCCGGGGGCTCATTGCGGCCCGTACCCATGGGGCTGTCGGGACGGCCCAGAGCCTCAACCCGCGACACATGCGACTTGTTCCCCAGCACGGGGCTCGTCAGTCCGCTCGTCAGTCCACTGCGCGAGCCGCCCAGGTCCACGCTGTTGCGGGTGCTGGGCGCCGGGCTGCCGGGGCGGCTGTTCTGCCAGAATTGGCGCAGCTCGCGACCCAATTCCTGGCCCGTGGTGGTCCAGTTGGACCGGATGTTGTCGCGCAGCTCCGACACATGGCGCTTGATCTCCAGCTCGTTCTTCTTGATCCATGACACATTCAGTTCCTGACGCGAGGCACCGCGCTTGAATTGGCGCGAGATGTACTGGTCGTAGTCGCGGACAATCCTGCATCGAGTCAGCTTCGATCACTCATTCACATCCCAAAACGCGGAAACCCACCTGGTGATGATGCCCGTGGTGCTGACACCTTCCGTGCGCTGCGTGACCAGGAACTTCCCTTCTCGCTTGATCGGGGCATAGATGTCGTCGCCCTCATCCGCGCCATACGGCAGGTCGTCATGTGCCACGTAATCAATCTTGTGCTCCTCGAGGAACTCCGGGGTCAAAATCCAGGGACAGTCGGGAATCACCTCGTCCACCCATTTGCAGTGCCGCAGGGACTCTGCACGCTCTGCGCCGCTCAAGACCGTCAATCCCTTGCGCTTGTGTGTCTCCTCATCACCCGTCACACCCACAATCAGATATACGTCGGGGAAAGCCTTCTTCGCCTGCTCCAGTTGCCGCATGTGACTAGTGATCAACCACGCCAATTAGCCATTGATGAACTGAACGGACCGTAAAGGAAAAAGAAGAGCACGTACCCCAAGTGGAACAAATCAAACACGCCGTCCGCGTACACCCGCACCGGGCGGCCCACTGGAGGCGGGTTGGTGTGATAGCCGACGGGATCCTGGAGCCCACCGCGTTTTGGCGGCTCCAACAAGTGCTCTGGGGGTGTCGTCGTGTCGACCTGTAGGCCCGGTCGGGTGCTCTGATTCTCGATGTCGCTGCTGGCCACGGTAGTCTCGGACGGCTCGCCCGGGTCTTCCTTGTTTAGCGCTCCCGCCGCATTGCCGTTGGACAGATGACCGTGATTATTGTGGTCGCTGACGGAGGCCTTCCGGGCCCGCTTGGACGGAGGCACAGCGCCGGTCGATGTTACGTCCTGGGACGGCTGTTTCCTGTGTTTGTTGGGGCTGGGCAGTGGGATTGCTGGGCCGGTGGAGTCGTCGCCTTCCTCGCCGGACGCATCGCGGGACGAGGGTTGCAAAAGATCTGCAGGCGCAGGAACGGCCGTAGGGAGGTGTTGGGAGCCACTGCGCTTGCGTTTGCCGGACGGAGGAGAGGACATGGTGGCTGACCGAGGGAGCACAGCTCAACTTCTGTCGAGGAAGGATTAGGAGAGAGGGAAGGAGGAAGGAGACGAGAGAGAAGAGATGGGGGGGTGGGGGGAGAAGGAAGAGGGAGAAGGAGTAGAAGAAAGGGAACACGGACGGGGAAGAAAGCCCGAGAGTAATGGGAATGAATGGGGACGGTGGAAGCGAAAGGGGAGGTGAGACAAGAAGAAAGAGGATGACGGAGAACGAGCAGCGACAGAGCACGCAAGCAAGCAAGCAAGCAAGCAGAACGAGAGCACGCACGCACGAACGAGAGAGCGTGTGGAAGAGAGCAGAAGCCGGACGGGAGGGCCCGGTGGAGGTACGGGAGAGCACTACAGGTGCGCAAAAACACGGGCTTTTCAACGGAGCATGGATTTAACCCAATGCAGAAGAAAAGACAGGACCCTGAAATCGGATCCGAGGGCCAGTTCTTGGAACGACTTGTCTTCAGGGGGGAGAAATGAGAAAGAAGTCTAAGACCAAGACCAAAATGGAAAAGAAAGAAAGAAAGAAGGCGTGAGAGGACAGACAATCTTCCCAGTTACGTAGAATCAAAACTCTGCGGCAGAACCGGTACAATACGGTATGGTAAAGGGGAACTGACACCGCCCCCAAAAGGGTCCATCCGCTGCCCCAACAATTCCAATGGTTCCGAGCTAGTTTATGAGTTATGGAGTTATGAAGTAAACTAGACCAGGGAGTTAGCTAAAGTTATGCTTGCCCAGCCTCACATCTTATATTTATATGTGTAAGTTATGCACGACTCCGTACATCATCCCCTATTGCCCTGCATTCTTCCCGACCAGAGCCATTGGTTCAAGGTCTCCGGTTGGAGTACTTGTTGTATGGATCGAATGATAACATCATCTCCCAAACTCTTCCCAAAATATCCCCAAGCCGCACCAACCACTTCAGGTTTAGCGCAGTCGCCTATACTTCCCTCCTCGCAAGGTAAACCATCTTTCAGTTCACCCTCATCCTTGATCCATTTGCCTACCGTATTACCCACTTGCAGAATACACCTTCGAATGGAAAAAAAAAAAAAGAAAAAAGAAAAGACCCATCAGAGCATCAAACAGCGCGTGGTCTCTCTAAGCTGAATCATTTTGATCCGGAGGTTAATCAGATTGCATGAAACCGTAGCCATCCGGCCGCGGATCATGCATTCATCATACCTGGGCGAGTGTAAACTTACAACAACGGACATAGACAGCCACAAGTTCCCAGAATGAAGTCTACGCACGTTACAAGGGCCTGCCCTTTCAGTCTCTACAACCTACGCATCACACGCTAAGAGCCAACGGTGTCTATATGTATATCAGATGAACAAGGACATCAGATACATGACCGTATCCATCCCATTCCAGAAAATCCGCTGCTGAAGGAAGCTGTCCACTCAAGATGCCCGACTATCACGAGCAGGTCTGCAGTTCTTCTGCAGATGCCGTTTTCCCCCAGGATGCGTAGCCATTCCCTCATGTCCAGTCAACTACAACTGACCTTTCTTCCCGGTCTTAACGCCGGCTACGCGCCTTCCCGTTGACCCCGGGATGAAAAAGGACCAAGTCGTTGCTGCCACCGTCGCCGGAGAGGGAACGAGGATAGGAACATAGGAGTTGGGGGAGCGAATAGAGAGATCGAAACAAGTCGTTGTAGAAATATGAAGGTTCATCAACACTGGGCGTTTTGTGCGGTATCTTATGTGTCAAGGCATGAAACAGACGTGCTCTCGTGAGACCTGCCGCTCGCGGCTTCGAATGTGGAATAGAAAAGAAAAGCTGTAACGCGGAAACCCATCCCAACCCCGTAAACTCACCCCAGCAAGGCACAATGAAGATGTGAAGGGGGAGCCCGACAGTCGCAATTCCCCGCTTGTTTCATTCCGTCCACAACCGTTGAACCAGTCAATGCCAGGAAGCTGGATGGATGTAGAGAGAGTAGGTGTAAATTCGGAAGAGAAATAACATGGCGCTTCGGATAACATGTGGAGAACAAAACAACAAGGGGGAAGAATAGCGACACTGTCAAAGAATCACACGACGATCAGGAAACCCAAAAGAAAAAAGAAAAAGGACATCAACAGTGGAAAAATGCAACAGATCCATTCCATCATGACTACACATTAGTAGGTTTCTGCGGCGTTCCAGGGGCACCGGTGGAAGAGCTCTCCGCGGTGGTAGACGGCGACTGCGAGATGGTGGCAGATTCATCGGCCTTGGGGGTGCTATCCTTGGATTGGGGCCCAGGGGTTCCTTCGCGATCTCTCCGTCCCGCATCCGTAGAGTCATGGTGCACCTGATTGCCGAGGTCCCGGTCCTCCTCCGTATGGTCAAACAGCTCGTCATCGTTCTGCTCCGGAATCAATTCTGTGCCATCGCCCAAGAGAATGATGCGGCCCGAGCGTACACCGAAGCCACGGGAACGATCATTTTCCACGTCATACTCATCGGGGTTCTCATCGAACTGATTACGGATGCCGGGGCCGCGGAACTCAGCTGCTCCCCCCGGTAAGTCAGTAGGAGTTGGGATTGGAGGCCTCGGGATCCTCGAGAGACTTGCCGTACTCGGGCGGGGCGCAGGGGCCGTCGCCGTTGGCCACGCGCTCAGCGATCTGATTGTACCACTCCTCTTTGGTCCTACCGTTCAGAAGACCGATGATGATCATGGTCATGTTGTCGCATCCGACGCCACCCGTCTCACTGTTGGAAGCCAGGCAATTGTCCATCATGTTCTCACAGATGCGGTGGAGGTCCTGCTTGGCGGCGATACCGCGACGAACGAACTCGACGACGGCCTGCGAGGTTTGGCAATCCCAGATACCTGCATTGAGATTAGCACCCACTGAGTTGAACCCTGACTGGACCCGTGAACGGAGGACATACCGTCGCAGGCAATAACGAGGAATTCATCGTCGTCAGTAAGATCGTGGACAGTAACATCCGGGTAGGCGGTCACGATCTGCTGTTCGGGTGACAGCTCGGGACTCTTCTTGAATTCGAAATCTCCAATGGCACGGGACAGGGCCAGGTTGCCATTGACACGGCCAAAGTCGACGAAGCCGCCTGCAGCGCTGATACGGGCCTTCTCGCCTGTATTCCATGTTTCAGCATAACCAATTCCAGCCCGAAGAGAGCCAGTGCCTCGTTACTGACCTTCATTTTGGGGCTTGTGATCAAATGATAGGGGCTTCGCGCGGCCCTTCACACCGAGCACGGAACGGGAGTCACCAGCATTGGCCTATGCAGCGTTAAAAGTCATTCCGATGGACAGGGAGCGCAGTCCCCAGACAATTCCATATACGTACCACCCAGATCTTGTGCTTGGAAATCACGCTGACGGCTGCAGTGCAGCCAGACACTTCTTCCTCGTATTTAGGATCTAGCCGAATCAGTCCACTGTCATCTCGGGAAGAGAGGTGTGGGGGACAAAGAGTCGTCCCGGTGTCCGGGTTCGAGGATTCACGAACCTTCCAAGATAGCGCGGTCGGTCGCAAGGAAACCGTCCTTCAACGCTTGCTCAATATCGCCCTTGGCGAACGCATCCTGCTTTGCGACGATCTTGTGGACATTGTCTCCGGCGAATAAAGCTACTTTATCACCACCGTGTCCATCGTATACACCAAAGAATGCGAGACGTTTGTCGGGATCGGTAGGGTTGTCGTTCTGCTCCGAGGACTTGGCCTGGAGGTCTAGCACGGCCGCATGGGCATCCTCCATGCTGATCCGCCAGCCCTGCATGGCCGAGACACCGTATATACAACACTCATCCTGACCTTCAGCCGAAGTCTGGACAATGCTCCATCATGTTAGCGAGGTTGGCATAGCAAGAGCGCGAAAAGAAGGTAGATATGACAAGTCACCCGCTCGGAAGCCGCCTGCAGGAATTTTCATCATCTTGTGGAGGGACCCCGCAGACGTGGGAGGATCACCACGCTGCAGCCCCTCCGACCACCAGAAGAAGTGATCCCACGCATTTGAACGTGAATTCAGACAGTGGTACTGAAAGTTGTTCGAGTAACTCATACACATTGAGAAAGGAAGGGGAAGGAAATGGGTTGCGCGATGATAAGGGGGGGGGAGGCGGTTATAGGAATTGCGTAAGGCCTCTTGCAGTGTGGGGGGACGAAAGGCAAAGGCAAACGCATTGCTTCAGTTTCACGCACCTTCTCGACCACAGGCTCGGACAAGGTCTGACCCATGATATTTGTCGGGGGGATATGAATTAGGTGTTTGGCGCGAGAAGATGTATTCTTTTTCACAAAGTGAGAGGGGAGGAGGAGGAGTAAGTAGTCGAAAGATTTGAAGACAGGAAGGGGAAAAGTTTAACACACACGGAGAGTATCTGAGGGGGAAATGAGAAGAGCCAGTGACTGAACGGGATCAGGTGGGAAGGGGAAGGGAGAAAGACGGAGGAGAGAGACTAGACTCAGAGCGGGAGGAGGGGGAGGGAGGGAGGGAGGGAGGGTAAGGGCAGAATCACTACAATTAACATTAACGGAGGCGGCGTGACGGGAAGAAATGAAAAGCTGCCTGCTACGGAGTACTGAGTACGAGTATGAACACCAGCCTTAGGCCTGCAAGGTGCAGTGTTGTGTAGTTAGGTAACTACTGCTTACGGTAGTTAGGTGAGTAACTTACTGTAGCCTGTAGGTGCAGTGAGCAGCCACAGTCATTCATTCAAACGACAATACCGGGGAGTGGGGACCTCGATTCAACGATGACGATACTTTGTCCACCGAGCTGGAAGATTGGCTGACCTCCTCCGATCCTGTCCAAGATCTGTCACCGTGTTCATTACCCACGGCTGACCAGTGACACGCGGAATCCAATGGAATTATGACAGAAGTGGCAGAAATGGCAGAAAAGGGGCGAAGAGAAAGGAAATTTGGGATCAATCGCAGTCCAGTAGGAGGGGTGGTGGTGATAATGATGATGGTGATGATGATGATGATGATGATGGTGATGGTGGTGTCACAGGCCGGGGATGAGTTTTTTCCGGCATTATAATAAGTTACTCATTATATTATGCTCTACCGATCACAAGGGCATCGGCAGCACTCGTTGCAGCTGGCTGGCTACCTGCAGGCAGAGTAATAGGCAACCCACAGGAGGTCTCAAAACACATTAAACTCGATAATAATGAGATAAAAAACCAGCCCCTCTTCTCTCTCCCTCGGGCACTATATTGCTCGCTGGTTTGGGTGGACCGCCTTCCTGTCGCGTGCCTCCAACCACAGGAACTGCCGGAAACAGCCTGACCCAAAACCACTCAACAAACATTGTGGAGTGCCACAGAAGAAGCTGAGCTCTATTTAATCCTTCCGCTACGTACATACATACATACATCAAGCATTATGCTAGGGTCTGGTCTGTGGCTGCTATTCGAAATGAGAGACCGTCATTCACGCCAAGTCTCTGGCATTGGACCGGTACGGTCAACCTGAGCTTGCAAACGAGCATGCTCTAGCTAGGTATATCGTTCATCCTTCCTATACCTACCTAAAGCCGTGTTTCAGTAGGAGGGATCCGAAATTGTGCGCAGTATTCGCGGCCAATGTTTCAGACCGAATTTGATACATCAACGCCCATCAAATCTTGCTCAGACTAGGCAACTGCTACCTACAGACGGCAAACAAGACGGAGGTAGTGAGACGAGGCGTTTGGAACCGGGTGCTAATGTCAGTCCTCGCAAGGGCTGTCTGTATAGCCTTGCTTGAGTTGAGCAGATTTGTGTACCTACCTCTAGTATCCTTGCAGTTTATGGTAATTGCCTTTATGCCTCGGCTGTCCAGTGTGGTGACCGCCTGGGGCAGGAAGAATCATGCAGTACTATTATTGTACCTACCTAGTAGTACCTACCTACTACCTTCGGTAGTCGACTACTGTACTTTTAGGCAGAGCCACGCCTTCTCCAATCCAGTGCTGGCTTAAACTTCCCGTTCTACCCACAATCTTCGACTCAAGCCCAGCAGTCATCATGAGATGAACATACGAGCGCATGCATACAGCCCTCACTCTTTACCAAGAGCGAGGCTGCCACCGAAAGAGAAAGCGCTTGATTTAGGACAAGTCATCGTCGTCTTGAATATGGCCCGTCGGGAAGCGATGTAGTCTGTGATTCACTTGGAGGGGCCACTCTTGTCACTGGACAGCAACGCAGTCAATGGAGAACTGGACGTGCTGCATCATGCGCACCTCTTGACTGAACCATATTCAAGACTCTAGTGGGCTGGAGTACGAATGCAAAAGACTGCTAACCCGGCCAGCAGATACAGACCCGTCGCAACCATCCATGGCAAACCCATCCAGACTCCCTCCCACGCCATTCCTGCCTTGAGAAGAGCTGCCAAAAGCGGTCCAGCTATCATAGACCCCGCGGCCTCAGCAAGTGCAATTGTTGTGTTGAAGAGCCCGACATGGGTCTCGGCCACTAAGGCGCTTCCAACACTACGAAGTGTCATGTAAAAACCCCACCCGAGGGCCGAAAAAGATAAACCTATACCGAAAAGGACTGGATGAGCAGCTACCGACATTGTGCCGAATCCTGCCACCAGTACACAGATACTGGCGTGTGTGATTCGGAGATCTCTTCTTATCGGAGAGAGATAACCTCCAAGAATTTTGGAGATCAGAGGCAATATGAGAAGGAAGGCGACCAGGTTGACTGCGCCTTTGAGGCTGATGAGGAACGTCGCCTATCCAGTTACTTCTGTTAGCGACTTCAGGTTAGTGGCTCGAATGGGGAAGACATACCTCGGCTACACTCCACATGAAACGCTTGGAGGCATATTGCAGCACAAACTGAAGCGTCTGGCTTCCAATGCTAGATGTCAAGAAAGCGAAAAAAATCGCTAAAGTGTTGGCATTGCCTAAGACAAACCCAACCACTTCGATTAGTTGGAATTTGACCAAGTGTACAATAGCCATCCATCTCATGGTAGAATACTCGTTGGCTGGTCCTTGTGCTTCGCTCTCAAGATCTCCTTCCGATCTGACGGATGCTTGCGGTCCAGTTTCTGGTAAGGCGAAAATGGGGATGATCCCGCAAACCTCAATCGCTAACCCTAACAACGATGGCGTCCACACATCCTTGGACATCAGCCAAGCGCTTAGAGGGGCTGCGAGAATCTGAGAAAGCAACATCGCTGCAGCCATGAGAAGATACGCATTTGCCCTGGGAGGTCATCGCATTTAAGCAGCTTAATAGCAGGACATGGAGGGCATCATGCTTACCTTTTGTCAACTGGGAAGATGTCTGCAATGACAGTCCAGGCAACGGAGCTAGCGATTTGGCTACCACCCCCAAAAACCTGGAAAAGTGGTGTAAACCACACTGCTTCGAGTGGGATGCTTGTATGATACCAGCCTGAGAAGCACGTCAGCCAGTACTTCATCTCCCCGACTTCCAAATCACTCACAGATGAGGCGGATAGCGCATTCTTGCATGAGGAAGCCCGCAATGCTGATGATGATGACAGGTTTGCGTCCGACTTGATCCGCCATAAGACCAAATGGAATAGCTAGGATCATCCCGGGAAGCTGAGTAAACGTATCCTGCCAGCCTACCAGCAGAGCGAGTTTGCCTTGCACGTCAGTTGACTTGCAGAGCGGATGGGCGGTTGCTGTTACTCTATCGAAGGCACTAGCAGATAGTTCGGGATGCATGCGCTGACAGATAATGTTCTCGTATATCTGCAGCTGCGGCGCGACAGCGAGATAATCGCCAAAGTCCAAAGTGACGATGATGAGGCACACAAACAGAAGAATCCATTTAGATCTTCTGGGCGTGCTTTTGTTCTGACATGGCTGATCGCGAGGGCCTGGTAAGAGTAAACTCGTTTCCAATACCTCATCTGCGCCGAGTAGATCGGTTGTCATCTTGAAAGGAAGGGTAGACAGCTCCAACCAATTTGAAAAACACGCGCACACACTCCGGAGCACCCTCAGGAAGGAAAGGGGTGGGAGTATGTTGGGCGAGAGGAGATTACTGATCTCACCCAGCGCAATTGGAAAGGTGCGATTGCGAGCTATTTAGCTGCATGGCAAAGCAGTGCGCTAGGCTGGATGCGTGTCTGCTTTGATATAGGTCGAGTGTCTTATCTGCTTATCGGATTCCAGAAAAGTCGACAGCAACAATAGATCGGCCTCCGGGAATGATGGATGGATTACGCATTTTACATTGTGGATGAGTGGTACGAGCTTATAGGCTCATGCATCTGACAGCCTTCGCGCTACGCTAAGGCCCAGCCCAATCCCGCTGGTCGAACCGCATATTACCTTGGATTGATACGTGGTTGCCTGTTGTTTCAACACATTATCATTGAGTCCTCAAGATCACCCTATCATACTAGGGTGATCATGGACAAAGGAAAGCATTAATCTAATCATGGTACAAAATATGCACGGTGGATATCATGCTCGCCGACTACTCGTCGACGACAAAACAAACCCTAATACAGCACACTGGCAGCGAGAAAAACAACAAAGCATCAAAGACAAATGGGTATGTATACTTTCGCCTCAATCATACAAAAGCGATATCACTTCTCACACTTCCCGTCAGCTCTCTTTGCATACCTCTCTGCTCACTCCAGTCTCGGTCTGCCGATCGAATCAAGCTCACTCGGCGCGATCGGACCTCGTATGGCATCGAAGAATAAGAGGGGCTCTTGCGCAATGGTGGCAACGGCGGAGGATCCGTTCTAGGGGCTTCACCCGGCGCGTTCGACGCAATCTGGAACCAAGTCCGATTGTTCCCAAGAGATTGACGCTCATTGTTCTGTGGGTCAGTTGATCCGGGGTACGCCGCGCTACCGCCGGCCTCCCCTCGCTGGGCACTGCTTAAGCTTAACTCGCTGTAAAAGCGGGGTAGCGGAGCAATTGCCTCGGAATAATTCTGTGCGAGACTCGATTGACTGGGCTGCTTATTGATGGGTCCTGACATCGGCGCGTCCGACGATTCCTCTGATAGCGAATGGAGGTAAGCCGACTGTCGGTGGTCATCAGTATAAATGGAGGCTGACATCGCCGCCGACCAGGGGCGGTCCTGCCGGTAATCATCGATATAATGGGAACTAGCGACTGTGTCTGCTCGACTCACGGTGCTGCGCGCCCGATGCAGAGCGCGGCCACCGGATGAGCCACGACGGGCGAATTGACCCGCAAACAGAGGATTGGAAGAGTTTCGGCTCTTTGCACGACTGTGCACGAAAGCTTCGAGGGAATCCGTATCGGAGATGGTCAGCGTGTCCGGCTCGACGGCTCGGAGGCTCACGCGCTTAGGATATTCTGTGCTTTCCCGTGCGCGGAGGGGCGGGCGAGGGAATAATGGCGCCAAATTCCCCACATCGCTCTCGTCGCTCTGGAAGGAGGCTTGTGTGTTCTGCCAGGAGATACGAACAACTCCATGTCCCGGCGGCCCGAATCCACCGGCCCCATGGCCAGCGCCACTGAGTCTGACAGGCAGCCCTGAAGCAACCGTGGAGATGCCGCTGGAGCGCTTTGAATACCTCTTCGACCGCGATACCGTTGAGTTCCGCTTTAGTGACCTCCTCGGCTGTATCGGCCGAAGTGGCTCACGCTTCTTTGACGTAGTCGTAGTGCGCCTGCGCACGGGAGGACTGCTCTGGAACGACAAGCGCTTTGGTTGCGGAGGTGGATCCGCTACTGGTTTCGTCTCTTCCAGCTCCTTCGTGCTCGCCAGTGGACCAAAGTCCCAGTCCAGGGTTGAGTGGGGGTATGCGTTCTCCTTGTCATCTGTGTAGTTGATGGTGTCGGCATCGGCCAAGGGCTTCGTGTGCCAGAAGATCTCGAGCTTTGGGGGTCTGGACGATGGCGACGGGCTTCTTAGCATTCTTGGCGGCTTGCCTGGGGTGATCTGTTCAAAAGGCTGGCAGCGAGGGTACATGTCAGAATCAGGATCGGGGGGGGGTGACCCCCTTTTTTCGTCTGCAAGTCCCTCCTCCGGTCCTGGAGCGACACCTTTCTTCTTGTGACGCCAACAGAAAAATAGAAGTACAAGAGCGCTCAGAACAATGAGTGGAACGATGACCGAGATCGCAATGATGCCGGCCTTTCTGCCGCTATTGCCGCTACTACCGCTGCCTTCGTCCGCCGTGGCGGTAGCAGCTGCATTCTCGTCGTTCTTTTTCTTCGAGACTGTTTTGATTGTGAAGTGCCGGCTGTCCTCCGCAGTCTCCTCGCGAGCTGTCAGGTTGACGTTAAAAGTTCCCGGACTGATATCGGAAGGCACCTGGCCATAAATGGTCTTGTTGTCGCGGTTGTAATGAAGCCAAGGGAGCTCATCACCCATTTCAACATCCAATTGGACAGAGTCGTCGGTTAGAATTGAGTTGTTAAAGACGAACATGAAGAATTGCCCAATGGCAGCGTCACATTCATCCAGATTATCATGGAAGAATTGAGAAAATTTCAGGCTGACAAGTAGGGTGGCCACATCCTGAGATTTATCAGTTACAGTGATGGTGACATTCTGGTCTGCAGCGTCTGCTGGAGGTGTACCGCTCAAGGAGAGCGATTCCTTGTCCAATGCCAACCATGTCGGAGAATCCACATGAATATTTGCTAAATCCGTGCGCGTCGCTCCATGACCATCCAGGGTCAAATCTTCCAGGAAGTTAGGGCTATCGACTTGCTTCCCTTTGGTTACGAAGAGGGTCTGTGCACTTCGATTGAAGGACAAAATATGTGGGCTAACGGTCATCGCAAATGTCATGGTAGCAGCGCTGAATCCGGCTACATCCGAAGCGATCAGGTTGAAGCTGAATGTCTGAGGTCCGATATCCGGAGTCGACCCGGAGAATCGTAGGGCTGCCTGGTCGAAGGAGACCCACGATGGCAACGGCGCATTGTCAGGGGAAGTTCCGTAGTAGACAGTGGAGGGACGCGTGTTGGTGAACGTGTCATGATCGAAGGATATGGAAAAAGAATCGCCAGAGTGTACGATGATCGTGTCTGGAGCCGATGTGGCGCCTATCGCTTCGAGTTGTGGTAGCAATGGTTTCCCCGGTTTTGGCCCATCATCGGTTGTGACTACCAAGTTGACCTCCATGTTCACGGATCCCGTCTCGTCGGAAGCCACCAATTGAAATTTCGGCGACCCGATATCGTCTTTCTGGGGCGTTCCAGATATCGTGCGGTGCTTTGCATCTAGTTCGAGCCATGATGGGGCGTTGAGAAGCGTGTACTGAGTGTTGGGCCCGCTGCCAGCAAACGTGCCTTGGGAGAAGACAAATTCGAATGGCTCAGAGACTCGAGCTACCGGGGGCAGCTGTGCGTTCACAGGGTAAGTCGGTGCGAGGTCTGCAATTACCGTCCCCAGAATGCTGAGGAGACCCAACGCGATGAGCGCCATCTCTCCAGAGCAGTGAGAACGGTCGGGACGAGTGAGTGTCTTCGGTCAGATACACGAAAGGCAACTCGTATTGTCGCTCTGAATAGGCAACCTACGCCAGCGTCAGGGAAAAGCCACGGTGAAATGGTCGAGAGTTGAGTGTTGAAAGTGAGAAACGAGGAATTGCTCTGCCCTAAGGGCAGAGACTCTAGTTTCTTCCATTATGACATTCGCGCCCAAGGGCCCAACGGGCACAGGAGAGGCGCGAAGCTTGCATCCCCTTCAAAAAGAGCCATGCCTGGATATGCTTGACGTCACTTGGGTATGGGAATGGTCAGAGATTGATGGTTCGCGGCGCGATACCGCTCACTCTGTGAAATGTAGGCCTCGCTCCCTCTGCAAGGGATGGCGTCGTCGGGAAGCCAAGGAGCGAGCCACCGTCCAACCACCGCCTGAACCGTCGACACCCTGACTCGGAGAATTGCACATATTTGACAGATGGTCTGAAGGAACCAACTAGCACTTGCATCTTTTGGTCTTGTCGTGAGTAAGCAAGCTTATCCAGGGGACACACAAGCGATGCCACAGGAGTGACAGGGGCAGCAGCAACAAACCAAGGTCTCAAGGGTTATTTGACTACAAATCCAGGACCATTCTAATGCCAGTCCGACCTGGTCCATAGTAATCTGGGATTTCTTCGCGCTCCGCATAATCACTGCGGACGTACAACGCTCTGGCTGGGGCTCTGTCCTTGTCCACCCATAACTGGACATACTGACAACCCTCCCTTTGCAGACGAGCGCGAACGTAGCCCATTAGCTGGAACCCTACGCCCCGACGGCGATGATTCTCGGCTACGCAGACTTTATGGAGCAGGGCAATGCCTTTCTGGCGAACGTAGACCGCATAAGCCAGAACCAGCGGGGGGGTTGCGCCTGGGAGGTGGGCATACAGGACCCTCGTGTTAGGCTTCTTGCGCCAAAGCTCCTCTCCAAAGCTCATGCCCTCATTGGCAGGAAAACTCTTTCTCTCGACACGTGCGATCTGGGCAAGAATATCCAGGGCTTGGTTCCTGTTCAGGGAGTGGATGTCTGAGAAGATCAGATCGGTCGACATTCTTGAAAGTGTATGAAACGATCCCGAAAGTGACAGGGCAGGCCGCAGGAGGGCTGACAATGAAGGAACCAAAGAAACTGCAGGGCAAGGAGTTTGAAGGGCAAAAGGAAGTCCTCAAGAATGAGAACCGAAGGGGGGAGGGGTTCGTGAAGAACTTGAAGTCAATCTGTCTGTCTCTCTCCACAGGCGCGTTTCCACATTGATTTTGTTCTTAGCATGTAGTTGTAGTTATTTGGTTGAACCTGAATTGTAGGCAAAGCCTGAGCGGTGGTAATATTACTGCCCGAATCGGGTAACAAACTGGTTCCAGGATCACCGTACCGTACCGTACCGTACCGCATCGCGAGATCTCTCCGGATCTTGAGCTCCAACGATCCCTTCCTCCAGGTACAGGACATGATAGATATCAAACATTCTCTATCGCGTTTCACCTCTCCCTCTCTCTCTCTCTCTTCCCTTCTCTCTCTGTCATCCCCCCCCATCATCCAATCCGTACAATCCCAACGCGCAGCCCACCAAACAAACAAATAACCGAACACAACCAAAAGAAAGCCATGCCGCCCTCCCAAGCCGACGACAAACGCCAAGCGGCCCGCGAAGTCATCGACATTCTTCATGAGATTTCCACCCTCCTGGTAAGCAAGCAAGCAAACCAGCCAGCCCATCATCATTTCTCCCTGCCCATTCCGGTGTATGGCCTGGCCGACCAAACCCCAACCCCAACCTTCAGCAACAGCATCAAACCACCCACCCATCATGAATCCTCACCCCAAACCACCGCGGAGCTTGCACTTACGCGGCTGGAGTTGATCTTTCATGTGGTGATCCGCGGTGATTCAGGGCGTCTACTCCCGCTTGTCCAGTAGTTTCTACATCCACACCCTCCGTGATCATGCTTAACGCCGGGGATGGACTGGATTGAATTGAGCTTGACCTGATGTATAATGCACAGAACACCCATCTGGATCGCACCGAGCTCTCGCTTTGTGTCTCGCTCATTGAGAACGGGGTGAATCCGGAGGCGTTGGCGGTAGGTTCTCTGCCAGTTTAATCTTTTTTTTTTAAAAAAAAAGCCCGGTGGAAGCGGAGCGGAGCGGGAGGCCAGGCGGCACTGTTCTGTTCTGTTTTGTCGAGGTCTTGGCTTGGGGTCCCTGGGTGCTGACTTGGTGGTCTTAGGCTGTGATTAAGGATCTGAGGAAGGAGGCTGGGTCTGGGGTCAGGGGGCTTGCTGAGCAGCAGCAGCAGCAGCAGCAGCAGCAGCAGCAGTATGAGTGAGTAACCGGGTAAGGTGTTGGGGGTGGAGGGTGCAGGTTGAGGGTGTGGATGTGGTTTTGTGATTTGCTGTCGGTTTGGGCTTGCGTGTTTGGATTTGGATTTAAAGATACCCGTGAACCATTCTAATTATGTATTGAGATTTAAGGTGATGCATTTCGTTGTGCAAAGGGGTTGAAATTATAGGTTGCTTGTTTATAAAAGTGGGTATCTGGGGGCCTTTCGCTGCTCTTACAGGACTGTAGAATTTGACTCGGACGGTCAAACCTCGTTTGAACTTAATTCATTGAAATGCAGTCTCTTGGTATCATGGGTTCTGGCCGCAAGGGCAATGGACACGGGTTTTGTAGAACAGATCAAGGTTACAACAACTTAATAGGCCAACGAGTAAGCCGCGGAGATAGGCTAGAAGATGAAGAAGGCCCCGGAAATGACTATGACTTTCCAGCGCCGGTTGTGCTCTCCTTGGACGCTGCTTCCGCTACCGTCTCGACCGTCGCAGCCTTGGAAGCGCCCTCGGCGGCGGCGGTTTCCTTCGCCTTCGTGGTAGTGTCCTTCTCATCTTCACTATCCCCCAGACTGAACGGGTCGTGTTCTCCTACCGGAGACGGCTCCACGGCGGCTAAGGGTTGCCATTTGCTGGACTTGCCCGTCGTTCCGGGCGAGGCGTGCCGGACCGGCTCGGATGCGTCGTACAGATTATCGATCTCCGTTGGGGGCCCGTCCTGGAAGGCAACCTTGCGTCTGTCGGGGGAGGGTGACGAGGTCTTGTACAAGTTAGGGTTTGCGAGAGGACGGGGAGGACGAGCGGGAGGAGCTGCGAAACCTGTCAGTGACTTTTATTTCATCGGCCTGAAGTGATGCGGTCAACTTACCCTCGGAGTCCCTCAGTTCCAGAGCTGAGAAGTCGTCGCTCAAGACTCGGTGGTCGGCGTCGTACCGCTCACGGTCCCCGCTCCGACGCGGACGGCCGAAAGGATCTTCGCGCGGGCCCTGAGCAGCCTGATTGCTGCTCTCTTCTTCCGGCTCTTCTCCATCCAGCCTCTTCTTCAGATTCGTCACCCACGAGTTCACCTTCGATTGGGTTTCCAGGAATCCTTTGCGGATGTTCTCGCGGATGACAGGCAGGTCGTCTGCGGTAGTCACACGGGTTAGTAAGCTTGGAAGTGCACACCGAGGCTGAATAGAAACCAACCATCGAAGAAGCTGTATTCTTTCTCCTCCTCTTCGTCGCTTCCTCTTCGTCGCTGGTAAGCGCGATCATCCTCATACCGTGGCTGCGGGGCCGCGCGGCGGTTGTAGTGTTCGGCAAGCTGGCGGGCATACATCTCATCCTGCTCGAGCTGTCTCTGGGCGGCCGACGGACGGGGGGGCTTCGGAGGGGGTACGTCTTGTTCGGCGGCATTGGGATCAGTCATGCCTGGGGAGTAGATAAGAGGTTAGTCGGGACGAAGAGGCAGCACTTGTGGCTGGGGGCTACAGACCTAGTAAAGCATGGAAGGCCCGCTCCACATCCCAGTTGCTTGCCGTCAGCACTGCTCGGACGACTCCAATGTCGATCGTGGGGAAAGCTTCCTTGAGGGTGTTCTCGGCCTGCTGCCGCGGGCTCACGGGGCGGGGTGGCTTCCGCGGGGCAGCTTCCGCGGCGGGCGGCTGAGCTGGGGGAGCGGAGGGGAAAGCTGAGGTGACGCCGATCTCCTGGGCTTCATCGTCGAAGTCCAGAGGACGCGCCGTGGTGGGCGACTCTGGTTTTGGACTGGCCGGCACTGCAGAGAGTCTGCTGGCCGCCTGGGGTTACCTTAAGAGTTAGTAGTCGCAGTGGAATCGCGGCAGCGGGGATCTAGAACATACGTTCTTGTCTTCTTCCGACATGATGAACAAGCTGGTTGAGGAATGTGAAGGAGGTGTAGGATATGTGTGTAGAGGGAATATATTTAGGCACACAGCCCGAGACTTGAACTTGGCGGTTCCTGGGGATTTATTTGATTGCGTGGAGGAGGAATTCGCCCAACAGGCAGAAAGTATACCAATGATCGATTGACTCTCCGCCCGCCCCCTTTCCTTTCCTTTCCGATGGTCCCCGGTGACGTTGCATCACGTGTGTCGAAGGTGCTTAGCTGACATAATCCGCCAGTGCCTTTCCATCCCGATTGAGCATAACTTACATACTTGAGTTGATCTTCTTGATATCCTTCGCATTTGGTCGTCGTGAACGGAGCTGGAGAGGTAGCGACCTCCAAATTGCCGAAATCTCTGTATCCTTGGTCTCCTTCAATATGTCTCAGTCGGGCCAGTCACTTACCATCGAATCTTATTGTGGCTAAAATCTGGACTGTCAGCTAGTCAGGTTGGACCAGGCTGATCATTGATCAATTCCAGAAGTATTCTTCAGCATGGCGTCGGAACTTGACCTCGGTTCCTCTTTTATACCCGCCTTGTATAAGCCTGCCTCGCTGCTTCCCATTGCAAGACATAAGCAAAGTCTACTCTATCTGGTCGAAACCTACCCCGTCACCATTGTCGTGGGACAGACTGGAAGCGGCAAGACGACCCAATTACCCCAATACCTCGAACAAGCAGGATGGTGTGCAGATGGGAAAACAATTGCTATCACGCAGGTAACATCATCTCCGTCCTTTTGGTTCGGCCGTTGACCAGCCAAGCTAACGATTCGCAGCCGCGTCGGGTGGCTGCCACAACGGTGGCCGCCAGAGTTGCCGAAGAAATGCGCTGCAAGCTCGGCGAGGAGGTGGGCTACTCAATCCGCTTCGAGGACCTGACGTCTGCTTCCACGAGGATCAAGTTCCTGACCGATGGTATGCTACTTAGGGAGGCACTCGTTGACCCCCTGCTGTCGCGGTATTCGGTGATCATGGTCGACGAAGCCCATGAGCGGTCCCTCAGCACTGATGTACTTCTGGGCATTCTCAAGAAGATCATGAAAAAGCGCCCGGAGCTAAGGATTATCGTCAGCAGTGCAACGCTGCAGGCCGAAGACTTCCTGCGCTTCTTTGCTGGGGAAGAATTTGACGGCGATGCAGATTCGGGCGAGATTGGTGGGAAGGTTGGCAGAATTATCAGTCTGGAGGGTCGCATGTACCCGGTGGATATGCTCTTCCTTGAGTCACCCGCGGAGGACTATGTGGAGCGGTCCGTCAAGACGGTCTTTGATATACACCTGCAAGAAGTAGAGGGAGACATCCTTGTGTTCTTGACCGGGCGAGAGGAGATTGACACAGCTATACAATTGATCACGGAACGCGCCGCCACGCTTCATCCCAAAGCGCAATCGCTGCTCCCTCTCCCGCTGTACGCCGGCCTCACGACAGATCAGCAAATGTACGTGTTTGAGCCAGCGCCCGAGAACACTCGGAAGGTCATTGTGTCCACCAACATCGCCGAAGCCTCTGTTACTATCAATGGAATTGTGTATGTGGTGGATTGTGGTTTCGCCAAGCTGAGAGCTTACAATCCGAGCACGGGCATTGAAACATTGACCGCGGTCCCGATTTCCAAAGCAGCGGCTGTCCAGCGTGCAGGTCGAGCTGGGCGCACTAAGCCAGGGAAATGTTTCCGTCTCTACACCCAACAGGCATATGAAGCCCTCCCAGATGCAACTATTCCGGAAATCCAGCGATCCAACTTGGCGCCAGTGATCATGCAGCTGAAAGCTCTCGGGATTGACAACATCGTCCGTTTTGACTTCCTGACGCCTCCCCCCGCCGAACTGGTAATTCGTGGTTTTGAGCTCCTGTATTCTCTGGGCGCAGTTGACGATCATGCCAAACTCACCAAACCGCAGGGGATGCGCATGGCAGAGTTGGCCGTGGAACCCATGATGGCAAGGGTGCTCCTTTCCGCGCCGGGCTTTGGCTGCCTCAGTGAGATTCTTTCAATCGCGGCGATGGTCAGTCTTCAGGGCACCGTCTGGGTTCAGCACGATGGTGATCGGAAAACATCTGAGAGCATGCGGAGGAAATTCGCAGTCGAGGAAGGCGATCACCTAACATATCTCAATGTCTACCAAGCCTTTGTCACCAAGGGCAAGAAGGACTCGAAGTGGTGTCGAGATAACCTCTTGAACTTCCGATCCATGCAACGCGCCGTGAGTATCCGCGCCCAACTCAAGCGATACCTGGAACGTTTCGGGATCCAGGTCGATGAGACGCTTTCTGCCCGCGCTAGACAGGAGGATCCAAGCAAGCTGCCGGAAAAGATACAACGGTGTCTCACAACGGGCTATTTTGCGCATGCTGCAAAGATGCAGCCGGACGGCACGTTCAAAACAGTGAGCGGCGGGTTAACGCTGCATGCTCATCCGAGCTCGCTGATGTTTGTGAGTCAAATATCCTTGCCATGGAATTTGGAATACTATTGCTAATTTGACTATGCAGAATCGTAAAGCCGAATGGGTCATATTTCATGAAATCCTGCAAACGGGAGAAAAGACCTACATCCGCGATATAACCAAGATCGAAAAGGGCTATTTGCTCGAATATGCACCGAACTATTATCAAGTGCGGTAATAGATTCTCCTGCAGCGATTCCTCATCACACCATGTATGTACAGTAGATGATCCTTGGTAGTCTATGTTTCTATGATGATATCCCATTATGCATGAAGTGAAATCTTGTTACTACCTGGGGGGGGAGACAAACCTCAGACCTTTGTCGAGCCATAACAAGCAAGCGGAAGATCAGTTAGTCTGTCAAACTGAGTAGTTGTAAGATAGAGTTTATGCTTGATATCTCTCAGCGAAGTCAGATGAAGAAAAACATGAAAAGCGTCTTGCTGGGTTTAATGAGAGTAAATTGTTGAGTTGATGTGAATGAATGGGTGACTTAGCCGAAAGGTCGCGTTGAACTCGCTGAACATCTTGCTTGTTTTCATCTTCATCGTGCTCACCCAAGGTTCTCAGACCCCCGCCTCTCACTCCAACTAGCTTGTCAGCTGATCTTGACTCGATCTTTCATTTCTTGAAGCAACCACCAGGGGATTCGAGCATCAAATCGCGACATGTCGGGCCATCACCATCATCACGGCCACGGCGGACATTGCCATGACGAAGACGGCCACGACCACTCCAATGACATCACCCCAGCCATCCAGTCGCTCCTTTACTCTCAGGTTCAGTTCGACTCTATCACAACCCTCAATGGTGCGTATCATACCCGCGCGTGCAGAGATCGATTGCTCTCAAAGCGATTGGGTACTAATAAACAAGGCAGAGGCGGCCCCCAAGTCTGGCGCTGCGATCGTCAAGAAAACATGGGCGGAGAGACTCGACGACGAGCCGGAGCTCGAAAGCGATGCTGATGAGCAGCTCCTGATGTACATTCCGTGAGTTCTGCCTTGGAGGGTGTGTTCGGAGTGGAAAGAAAACTGTCTTGCCTGTTGCTGTTGCTACCCCGCCATTGCCCCTCCTTGAGCTTTGGGTGTCGCGAAAGAGCGAAGACCACCTCAACACGCTTCGAACGCAACTGTTCCCGATCCCTCTGCGACGATTAACTAACTCTCTACTTTATCTGATACAGCTTCACCGGCCAAGTCAAGGTCCACTCTCTGTTGATTTACACCGCGCCCACCCCCTCCGCCCCCAAGACCCTGAAACTGTTCAAGAACCGGGACGACATCGACTTCGCAACCGCGTCCGAGTTGTCGCCCACCCAGACGATCGAGATTCCCCAGCCCGTTGCCGGAGCCGATGTCTTCGAGATCCCCCTGAACCGTGCGCATTGGAACACCACCACCTCTATCACGCTGTTTTTCGAGGATAACTGGAGTGACGGCGAGGAGGACGTGACCAAGGTCGGCTACCTTGGATTCAAGGGGACTTTTATGGCGCTGAACCGCGAGCCCGTCAACTTCTTGTATGAGGCCGCGGCTAATCCGAACGACCATGTCGCTATTCAGGGCGTCAACGGGGTGGGCAGTAAGATTCTGTGAGCATGGGGAAAGGAAGGGATTCCGTGATTTGGCGGGGTTGCGGCGCGGATGGATTGACTTGATGTCCAGTCACCGTTGTTGGTGCTGTTGTTACCTGTGCCTGTTGATGCGGTGCAGTGGTGTTGATTCGTGATCGTGCTTTCTCTGGTCATAGAGCTGGCCTCTATGCCAATGCTAGTCTGAAATTCAGCTTATGCATGTTTGTAACATTGAACTAACTTGAGCTATCTAATATGATGGAATGTGATGATGACCCATGGACAAGAACCCAGAACTCCAGAAATGCTGACACTTATATGGGATGGACAATGTGATGCGTGATTTCATGCAAGAACAGCGGTCCGCTCTTCGGCTTTGACCTTTCGTCCATTGGCTAATGGCCCGGCCTGCGCTTCTCCTGCCTCTGTCTCTGTCGCCTCTTCTCCGACCTCTGGAAGCGAAGAGATCGGCGCATTCGGCAAGACCACCGGCCCTTGCGCCTGGCGCTGCAGCTCCTCCAACTCCTCCTCGACTTCGTCTTCGTCCTCCCTGGACAGACGGCCCGCGAGCATCTGACTGATCTCCTGCACCACCACAATTAGCATGCCGTTCTTCTCCCTAGAAAAACCTCCCTGCACCAAAAAAAACCAAGCCAGACTTACCTCCTGATAAGCCCGCGCCTCCTCGGTCTCGCCCATCAGCTTCTCGACCCCCTCGATCCCGCCCATTTCCCGGTGGATGGTCTGCAGCACTTGGGTGCCCTGCTGCAAGCCGAAGAGCACGTCCTTCTGCACCAGGGCGAACTCAATCTGGCCCGTGAGCTGCTCCAGCTGCTCCAGCTGCTTGTCGGTCTTCTCCAGCAGCGACTCCTGGTACTTCTTGCGGCGCAGGGCCAGCAGGGCGCGCTTGCGGTCGTCCCGCGCCAGGCATTCCTTGGCGATCGCCGTCTCCCGGTCCGTCAGCACGGTGATCCGCTTCTGGTACTGGCGGAGCTTGTCGCGTTGGTTCTTGAGGTCAAGGATCGCTCTGGTTTATGCAGGGTCTCCGGTTAGCTTGTCGGTCGCGGTTGCGGGCAGATTGGGAGTCTCAATGAAGCACTCTCCGGACTTGGGCACACAGGATTGCACTGGAAGATAGAAAGGAAGTCTCACCGGTCCTGAGCAGAGATCTTATGGGAGCTGTTTGCATTCCCCATTGTCAACGCATAGTGTCGTTTGATTGATTGTTGTATTGTGGTAAAGAGAGTGACTGCGGAGACCAGCCCAGCGTCAGGCGGGCCGATAACAGCAGATGCGGATGACGTCCACTGATATCCGGTTAGGGTATGGTCAAGATGGGAGGGCGGTCAGATGGCTGCCCCAATTGAATTGAAGTAATCATGGTAATGCGGTTACCGATGTGTAATTTTGTGCTGTTTCCTCCGCCGGCCAAATTGATTCTCCGATCTCCAAAAATTGTAGAAGATCCTCTCTCAGGGCGATTGAATCGTTGATCAGATCGGCTGGTTCTCGTGCATTGGCGCGCTTTCTCCGAATTCATTTGGACGCACGAGGGAAGCTCTTCCTCGAACTTGAGACACAATGGGTCGTGGGGGCAGGCCAAGCCTGAGACAGGGCCTGGATAAGGATGTAAGTAAATGCAATCTCTCCGAGTGTATCGCGATGTATACTACAAAATGCTCATCTGTGCTTCTGTGGGTCGACAGGTCTATCAGATCGTGCGCAAAATTCTTGACGAGCAAGCGGAGAATGGAGCTACGCGCGTTTCTGTTTCTACGATATACGACACGATCAAGCGGTCGAACTCGAGTCTGAATCGCAAACCTAAGAGGATTCTCGAGGATAGCATCGAGCGTGTGGTGGAGGTGATCAAAGGCGATGAGGAGGAGGAAGATTCCGTGGAAGGGGACTTTGAGGGGCTGGAGGAACCGGCAGCGCCAGTGAGTCACTTGCGCGGAGACTCTATGCTCTGCTCCAGAGGGTATTGACGGGTGTAGGAGTCCAACAGCCTGAACAAGAGCCTCGTCGGCATGTGGAACACCAAAAACGGCGCCACGGACGCCCAGAAACCAGGCGAGACGAACAACACCACGACAGACACGGCCACGCCGGCTCCGAAATCTTCCACGAAAAAGCGACACCATGGCGGCGAATCGACCTCCTCCAAACGCCGCAAGGGCGACACCGCCGTCGATCGATCCCCGCCCACGCACGTCAGCCTCGCGGACTTGGGTGGTCTGGACGATGTGGTCGAGCAGCTCGGAGATCTGGTCATCCTGCCCATGACCCGCCCACAAGTCTACATGTCCTCCAACGTGCAGCCGCCCCGCGGCGTGCTGCTCCACGGGCCCCCCGGTTGCGGTAAGACCATGATCGCCAACGCCTTCGCCGCCGAGCTGGGCGTGCCCTTCATCTCCATCTCCGCACCCTCCGTCATCTCCGGGATGTCCGGAGAGTCCGAGAAGGCGCTGCGCGAGTACTTCGAGGAAGCCCGGCGCATCGCGCCCTGCCTCATCTTCATCGACGAGATCGACGCCATCACGCCGAAGCGCGAAAGCGCGCAGCGCGAGATGGAGAAGCGCATCGTGGCGCAGCTGCTGACCTGCATGGACGACCTGGCGCTCGAGAAGACGGACGGCAAGCCCGTCATCGTGCTGGCCGCCACGAACCGGCCCGACAGCCTGGACGCCGCGCTGCGCCGCGGCGGCCGCTTCGACAAGGAGATCAACATGACGGTGCCCTCGGAGCCCGTGCGCGAGCAGATCCTCCGCGCGCTGACCCGCAAAATGCGGCTCGCCGACGACCTCGACCTCAAGCTTCTCGCCAAGCGCACCCCGGGCTTCGTGGGCGCCGATCTCAACGACCTGGTCGCCACGGCCGGCTCGGCCGCCATCAAACGGTACCTTGAGATCCTGAAACAGAACAGCGGGCCCGAGGACGAGAAGATGATGGACTTCGAGGACCTCAGCGTGACCGATGACCTCAGCCCCAAGGTCAAAGAGATCCGCCGGCTGATCGTCCACGCCAAGGACACGCCCATCGGGGACGAGACGCAGACGGTCCTCGTCTCGAACGCGGACTTCTTCACCGCGCTCCCCAAGATCCAACCGTCGTCCAAACGGGAAGGCTTCGCGACGATTCCGGACACGACGTGGGCGGACATCGGGGCGCTGGGCGGGATCCGCGACGAGCTGTCGACGGCGATCGTCGACCCGATCCGCCACCCGGAGATCTACGCCAACGTGGGCATCACCGCGCCCACGGGGGTGCTGCTGTGGGGACCCCCCGGGTGCGGTAAGACGCTGCTCGCGAAGGCGGTGGCCAACGAGTCGCGGGCCAACTTCATCAGCGTCAAGGGCCCCGAGCTCCTCAACAAGTTTGTGGGCGAGTCCGAGCGCGCCGTGCGCCAGGTGTTCGTGCGCGCGCGCTCCTCGGTCCCCTGCGTCATCTTCTTCGACGAGCTGGACGCCCTCGTCCCCCGCCGCGACGACACCCTTTCCGAGGCCTCCGCCCGCGTCGTCAACACCCTGCTCACCGAACTCGACGGCCTTGGCTCCAGCCGCCAGGGCATCTACGTGATCGCCGCCACCAACCGGCCCGACATCATCGACCCCGCCATGCTGCGCCCCGGCCGCCTCGAGACGCTGCTGTTCGTCAACCTCCCCAGCCCCCTCGAGCGCGCCGACATCCTTCAGACCCTCGTCCGCAAGCTGCCCATCGAGTTTGACGACAACCTCCGCCGCCTCGCCGAGGAGTGCGAGGGCTTCAGCGGTGCTGATCTGGGCAGTCTGCTGCGCCGCGCTGGGTACTCTGCCATCAAGCGCCGCGATGCCATCAAGTTCGAGGACTTTGTCGCGGCCAAGGCGTTCATCCGGCCCAGTGTGACCGATCTGAAGAAGTATGAACGTTTGAGGAGGGACTGGAGCGGTGGTGTCGTTTAGGCTGCGTTGCTGTTGTCGGATGAAGGTTACTGTACATAGATAGATAGACTGAGAGGTCGGGGTGTTTCTCTGCCGACAAAGATTTACCGGTTGTTGGTATGGTTCCACTGTTCTATATCTTTCTTTGGTAACTTGTAGAAGGTGATGGTTCGGTTGCGTGGTATGTAAAGAGTGGAGGGGAGATAAGCTCCGTACAGAGGATTAGATTGAATGGGCTAGGGCCTCAGGCTGCTCCCTGAATGAGCAAACCAGTCGATGGTTTGAGCAACTCCTACTCTACATGTGACAACGGCGGTGAAGGAAACTTTTAAATGGATATCGAAAGATAGAGAAGTAAAAAAGAAAATAATGTATATACACACACCGAGAACGCCTTTCTCATGTAAAAATGGAAACTGCAAACAGGAGATAACAACACAAAAGTATGCGCTGAAATGAGATCTACTACTACATCCACAAACGACACGTGCCGTCGGCACCGGCACTGACACACCAGGCCTCGCGGGGGTGCCAGTCGATGTCCAGCACGCCCAGCTCGCCAGTGATCTTGTGGCCCTTGAGGACCTTGAGTGGGACGATGCTGGCGTTGCTGAGCATGTCGCCCGTGACGCTGCCGTGGAAGATCTGGAGGGAGCCGTCGTCGCTGGCGTCGGCGAACAGCGGGTAGCGGCCGCTGGGGTGGAACTTGACGGCGCGGATCGCCTTGCGGTGGTAGCGCAGGGTCTTGTAGGGCCGCTGCGAGAGCTCGAGATCGTGCCACAGCAGGCGGCGGTCGTAGGAGCCCACGATGAGGTTGTCGCCGCCGGAGGCGGTGGAGGAGGTCGGGTGGATGTCGAAGGAGGAGATCCAGCGGGCGCCGGGCTGGACGATCTTGACCAGCAGCTGGCGCGAGAGATCGTACCCGCGGACGCTGCGCTGGTTGGCGACGAAGAGAATCGGCTTCGAGGGGTGGAAGTGCGCGGTCTGCGGCGGGCCGCCGCCCTTGATGCGCCGGCTGAATGGGTATTGGGTGAGGTGCTTGGAGACCGTGTGGATGGCAACGGCCACGGAGGCCGGGGTGGAGGCGCCGGGGCACACGGTGACGAAGTAGTCTCCGCGGCGGTGCCAGGAGATCGACTTGGCCACGTAGCGGAGAGGGATGACCGCGCACACGCCGGAGTCGGTAAGGGCCGACGAGGGGCGGATCCACTGCGGGGGTGTCTTCTTGCCTTCCTCGGCGGCGCTGGGAGCAGGCTTCGAGGCGGCGTATCCCCATCCAGCGTCGAGGAGCTCCAGACTGGCCTGCTCGAGCTCGGGGTCGAGAATGGAGGGCACCATGAGGTAGAGGTCGTCGCCAGCGGCGGCGGCCAGAACCACGGCATCCTTGCCGGGTCTCCAGCGGACAACGTTGACGGCGTCCTCCTCGCTCAGCTGAACGCTCCACAGCTGACGACCAGTGAGCAATTCCCAGACACGAACGGTGCCGTCATCGCCAGCAGTCGCCAACCAAACGCCAGTAGGGTCGACCGCAATGGAGCGAACACGGCCCTTGTGTCCTCGGAACACGGTAGCACACATCGACGGGAAGGGTTTGAGCTCCTCGGGGCTGGGGAGCTTGGGGAGAAGACTCTCGGGATCGATGTTGAGCTTGCTGCGACGAACTCGGGGGGCCAAGTAGAGATCCAAGCAACGCTCGAATTTCTCCTTGACAAACTCGCCATAACCAGGGACTTTGCGAAGAGAGCCAAAGTCGGTAGGGAGATACTCGCGCTCCCGGTCTTCGGGGTCCGCTTGCTCCCAGGTCTTGCGCTCCTTCTGATCGGGGAGATACTCCGGAGGGGGGTGGTAACTCTCTTCGTACCCGGGCGGGGGAAGCTTCGGAGCGGGGACATGCATGATATGATCGGGCCGCTCCTCCTCGTCCGCCCACAGGTCATATTTGATGAGATCCTTGTCCTCCTCCTCTTGCTCTGATGGGGGCTTGTAAGGCAGGATACGACCTTCTCTGATGGCTTTGACGAGCTTCATGACACGCTTGGCCTCGTGCTTGGACGGCAGGAAGCGGCGCTTAGGCTCAGGAGCAGCGCTCAGGGGCATGACTTCCTTCTCTGTGGTGAACCACTCCATCAAGGGCTCGTAGGGGTTGTAGCCATCCTCCGGAATCTCGTTCATCTGCACCTTGCGCAGCAATTCCAGCTCGTCCTGGCTCAACTCCAGGGGCTTGCCCGTCGAAGGATCGGTGAGACCAGTGAATCCCTTGGGGATCTCGATGCTATCGAGCAGCGCATCCAGCGCCTCCCCGGTAGCGGGACGCATGATCTTCTTTCCATTAATGTCGTAACCGATGTGAGGGTACTGGTCGTAAAAGGACAACGGGATATTGCCGATTGTGTTGGAGTCCTCGTCGATATCAGAGTAGTCAGAGTTGTCATCCGGGTTGATTTCGTCGTAGACGTAGCGGTCGTTTCCATTGGCATCCTTTTCGATCCGGAAATTCACCTCTGCCTCGTCGCTCGAGCTTTCGTCGTCCGCGGGAGCTGCAGTCGATTTGGCGGGGTTCTTCTTGACGGCATCTTCACCATCCGAGGGGATCTCATCGCTGTCAAGCTCCTCCTCTTCATCATCGTCCTCGTCACTGCTGAATTCGTCGACCAATTCAACCTCAGAATCGTCCTCGTCACTCGAAAGATCATTGGCGCTGTCCGACAGCGCGCCGTTCAAGTCTCCAGCCAATTCGTCTCCGGAGAAGCTGCCAGCTTCCTCCTCCACATCTCGAGTAACAGCCTTGCGCTTCTTCGAGCCTGCTGAAGCAACCATGATGACGGTAGAACGCTTTGCAAAATGCGTTCGGTGCTTTAACAACGACAACCGTTCGGGAGAGCGACTTGATTCCTTGCCTTGCAACTTTTTTTTTTTCTGCGCCGGGAAGATTTGCGCTCTCCCACCGCCCACGTGATACACCGCCCGCTCTTATCGTTCCGCCGCTCTGGCAAGTTTATCGATAATACAACAATACAGCATTAATTACCCCGGTGGATTATCACGGACGGTCTTGGATGGTCGCCCACCGTGCAGCCTCTTTTGCGCTTGCTTGTTCGCCTGCTGTCCAGCGCTATAGTCTTTGAATCACGTCAATAATTCAGCATGACGCAGTTCGAGCCTCAGCCCCAATGGTTTCAGACCCCACTCGCCTTGTCGGACAGCACTTTCAATGATAATGTGGCGCGACCGGTGAAAAGACATGCTGCGTGTGATGAGTGCAGTATGCCTGATGCACAAGATCCAGGCTCATCATCTGTAGGCTGACAAAGTTAGGGAAGCGCAAGCTGAAATGCTCCGGTGAACAAGCTGGATGCACACGATGTCTGAAACAGGATCTACTCTGCCACTATTCGGAACAGAAGCAGATGGGACGACCGCCGAAGAAGCGCTTACGGGAGGAAGAAGATCCTTCGTCGCTTGGTCTAGATAAAGGGCTATGGAACACAGATGCAGATCTCAGTCAGATCCTGTCAACTGATACTGTGGGAATGGGAATCCCACCGAGGGACACCTTCCAGTCAGGGATTGCAGCCTATACACCACAGACGACCCCTCCTGATCCCTTGGCGGACGACAGCCAGAGCCCACCGAGTCGCATGGATCTTGCAACGCCTTTGAACTGTGTCCCGACGACCACTACGCCTTGGCCGGACTTCTCCAGTGTCTCTGCGGCGACAGCTAGTCTGACACCGCTGCCGCCGGACGTGTCATATCCATCTCCCGACCCCACCGATTCGCCCGACCAGCAATGTTCATGTCTATCACGGCTCTACCTATGCCTCAGCCACCTATCCTCCCTCGCCCCCTTCCCGATCTCGCAACATACCTTCTGCTCATTATACATCGCCGCGCGAACAGCCAGAGAGGTCATCCGCTGTCAAATATGCCCCCTGCGCTTCAGCACGGGGATGCAGAATGTCATGTGTACCGGGACTCTGCTGGCGGTCATTGCCGATTCATGGCTCCGCGTGTACAAGGCCAAGCCCGTGGATCTGGGCAAGCAGACGACGTCTCCCGCATACGCCGCGACGATCGAACAGTCGATTAATCCGGCAGCCGGCTGGAAAGACTGGCTACGTCAGACTGTACGAGGAGGGGTCATCGGTGGGCCCTACGACCCTGCTGGCTCCCCCCAAGTCACGGAGACACCCAGTCTCCTTGCCCTTGTTGAGGAGATGGAAGCACGCCAGCGATCATGGCACCAGTTGCATCCATTACCTGCGGAGGAGCGCCTTCTACCCGTCCAAAATTGTAATACAGGGGAGAGCGAACTGCTATGCCTCCGCGTCATCAAGAGCGCGAGGGAGGTCATCGCCAAATTCGGATTCGAGCCCTCCGATTACCCGCAGGGAACGACGCCTGTGACCAGCGGGATGTAGCTTGTGGTCATCCGCGACTACCATGTGTGCATGATATTGAAGCGTAAATCTGTTCTTTCGATACCATTGTGTTATTTATGCAGACGATAAGTTATATGAATTTATAGGACTGCCTTATCTGCCGATACTGGTGCAGCGGCCTGTTATCCTAATCTATTGCCTGGCACTTTTATCCGCCATCTGGGCACTATCTGTCTCTACAAGACTAATATATGCATCTACTGTTAAGACCTAGCCAGTAGCTACACTCTGAATAAATATGCCTATGCTCCTGCAAGCCAACTTTCTTTTATTGTCCGGTAATGCTAAGTTAGAGAAGAAAAGCACGAAAGATTCCCAGGCGAATATGACCAGCCGTGCGCCGATGAAGTATCCAGAGAGATATGATATAATAGTTACACAAGTCATTAGCATTTGAAAGCAAATGTACGGGGTGGCCGTAAGCAAGATGCAAGAAGACAGCAACGTCAGAACGGTGAGTAATTTGAAACCCGTTACTCCTCGTCGTCATCATCCACAATATACCGGTTCTTCTTCCGAGCTGGAGGTGTATTCGCGCTGGCGTCGGGCGACGGGCGTTTGTGACGGGGTCTGGCGGGCGGGGCATCATCGTCCTCGCCTTCGGCGTCCATGTCTTCATCCTCGAGGATATCTTCGTCGTCGTCATCGTCCACAATCTCGGGCTCCTCGTCGCTTCCGACCAGGAATCCGTCGTCTTCGTCGTACTCGTCCTCGCGGGTGCGTCCGCGGCGGTCGTAGTCCTCCTCGTCGTCCGTGTAGATCTCGCCCCGACGGTTCGGCTTGCGCGCCTTCTTGGCGCGAGGTCTCGTCGTCATCAAACCATCGTCGTCCTCCAGGCCGCCCACGGTGAGACCGCCGCCTCCGGTGCGGTGGCCGAATCCAGCCCGCCGGCCACGGTCCAGCTCACGGTCTGCGAGCTGCTGGCGCCGGCGCGCCGCCTTGAGCTTCTCGCGCTCGGCCATCTCGGCCTGGCGCTTGGCCAGCTCGGGATCTTCCTTGACTTCGATGACGGGCGCCGATCCGTCCAGCGTCTTCTTGCCGCTGCGGGCGGCCGCAGCCAGCGACTCCTGGAGCCGTTGCACCGCATCATCCGTCTCCATTGTCGTGGGGTACACTGTGAGGCCGTGGGTGAGGTGGGAGGTGAGCCGGAAGACGGAGGAAGCCTCCGCGGCGGCACCGAGGTAGACGTGCGAATCAAGCTTGACGTCGTACTCGCCGGCTCTGTTGAGCGGCGCCAGCGGTTTTGTGGAGATGCGGTACTGCTCCTTCGGCGCCGAAGCAAGCTGCAGCGTCATGGACCCGTCTTCCCAGCGGATGATGCGAGCATTGGATTGGAGGAGGGATTCGTCCTGGGGGTCGTGTCTCCAGCAAAGAGAGGTGGCGGCGGTCGTGAAGGGAGGCGCAACATATGTTTCCGGGTTGAACTCTTCGGTTTCCACCGAGAGGAAAGGGGGGACAGGCATTGTGTATATCTAGATAGTGAAAAGGGCGAGTGAGTCTTCCGTTTGTGAAGTGGTATGTATAGTCATCTTGCATACCTCGCCGTTGGAAGTCAAGGGTTCCGGCGCGCGACTCAGTGTCATATCCATGATGTTCACAGTTTCCTGGAACTGTTCTTCGCCCCCATCTTCGTAGTCCATGCGCTCGCCGGCGCGATCGTAGCGATCCACATCATCTCCCGAGTCGAGCTCCTCGTCGTCGAGTGTACGTTGGGGTTGTCTAGTGCTGTGTTAGCCTTCATGTCCTGACCCGGTCAAGTGCAGATATTTCCCGTACTCATTGTCATCCCCAAAACCTCCATCTGAAGCATCTGAGCCGAAGAGATCTGCGTCGTCGTAATTGTTCATATTGCCCGCATCTGAGCCGAGCTCGCTTCCCGACGGGCTTCCCGGTCGATCGGCTGCTGCACCTCGCACGGGGCGACGGACGACATCCTCATCTGAAGAGGACATGCTGGTGTAATATGAAGTATTCCAGGGTCGGCTGTTAATTGCCGCGTAAGAAGAGCCCTGGCAAGTCAGAGCTTGTGTAGAAGCGCAATCTTGCAATTGAGTGGCTGGAAAACTTCCAATACAGGTCTTTGAAGGAATAGCTACTCCGATAAGGAGCCTGAGCTGATGTAAAAGAGGAGTCACACAAGGGACGGAGAATAATGCCGGACTCCGTCAATTGATCGTAGGAGATGAGATGATGCCCTTCAACATGTAACTTGTTCCAGCTCGGAGCACTCCCGTTGAATTGGAGCGGAACAACTCGATGATCCCGTCCGGGCCCAAGTAGGCTTAGTGGAGGGCGGCAGCTCGACGGGCCAGACCGAATGAGGGACTCACCAACTGAAACAATCGCCCCCCTCCCAATCACTCCCTCTCGCACTCCATCTCTCTTGTCTCTCGGTCTCTCTTCTCCGTCTGGGTGTCTCCAGTCGTGATTTATTCTTCTGGGTTGTCGTCGCTGCTCTTTCGTCTCTTGTTCACTTCCCCCATTCTGGCTTTTCCTCGTCGCCTACTTCTCTCATTCCATCATTTCCCTCGTGTTCTTGAGCATACACCGCTTTCCATCATGGCGACCTTCTTCCAGAGTGTGTATGTGGTCCCCCTCTTCCCCTAAGAATGTATCCCGCACGGTCATTCTCCCCTGAAATTCCCTTTGCCACAGCATGGTCAGAGGTATTCGAAATGGTCACGCCCCTGGCTTGCTTGTCAAAAGGCCACGCCATGCGCTTCCTCCTTCGATTCCATATTCCTCGGGGTTTTCTTTCCCTTCTATTATTCCACTCGAATAGTTAAAGCAGTGGACACTGACCTGCGATTCGATATGGTGTTTAGTCGCCAAGGCTTTGGCAGGGGAGGAAACAACAAGAACAACAACGCCCCGAAGATGAACAATGGAAGTCCTGCTCCGTCGCCAACGCCTCAGGGCCCTCCCGCCGGCCATGTGCCCAACTCCCCGTCTCTCACTTCGAGCTTCTCGGTCGATACCTCTTCCGCCTACGACCCCGATGCTCCCAAATACTTCTTCCAGGAGAAATACGCGCCCTTGAATGTGAAGGGCAACTTCTTGACGTTGTGTGCCTGCCCCAAGAACGTGGAGTTGGGCGAATGGCTGGCTCACCAGAGTAAGCGGACCAGCTAGCTCTATCTCTTTTTTCTTGCAGGGAAATGATGCTGATGGTATAATCAACCAGTTGTTGAACAATATCGCCTGCTCCACGGTATGCTCCAGGTCATTCAGGAGGTCAACAGCCTCACGGGTCTCCCAATCTGCAATGAAAACACTTGCCCCACCATGTCCGCTGGTCGGTAAGTAGAACGCGACTCGTGATCATCCAGATCTTATCTAACTGTTATCTCGTGCAACAGATTGACATACACATGGCTTGTCGATGGCCGTGCAGCTAAGATCTCGGCTCCCAAGTTCATCAACCGCGTTGAGAAATGGATCGTCAGCAAGATCCATGACCCCGTCATGTTCCCCACGGAGAAGTTCGCGGGCATGCCGGAGACATTTGCGATTAACGAAGTTGGAGGCGCTAGTGCTACTGCTGGAGAGGAATGGATCGGCAAGTCCAGCGGCTTCCCGCAGACATTTTATAAGGATTGCCAGGGCATCATGAAGCAGATGTTCCGCTGTTATGCTCATCTCTATCATGCACACTGGTTGAACCCTTTCTGGCACATTAACAAGCACGACATTCTGAACATGTGCTTCGTCCACTTCGTCACCGTGGCGAAATACTACAAGCTGGTCTCCGACAAGGAAATGGAGCCTATGCAGCCATTGATCGACCTGTTCATCAAACAGCAAAGGATCCCGCCGGAGGCTCTTTCCGGGGGTCACTGGGGCCAACAACAACAGGCCTCTAGCTGAGCTAGAGGAGGCCCTCCCCCCTCTGATTTACTTTGACTAGCCTCGCAATTTGTTCGTCTTCTGACCTGGCGTTAGAATTCGCTACTTCCCACTGTAGCACGGCCATGGGATTGTCTTGGCTGGCTGCTCTATATCCCGGTGTCTTGCACATTTTGGCCAGCAAAGGCGCGAGATGATACCACATACGCACACACCATACACAACACAGTTGGCGTTGAGCACTTAGCATGCGGTGTGAATGTTTATTCTCACTATTACATTTGCATATTGTCTTTCCTGTCTTGTCGTCGCATCGTCTGGCCACGCAGTTGTTATCATCTTAGCTTAGATCAACAGAGTGCATCACGATTCGAATGGGTTTATATGATGGAAATACCATAGCGTGCCGTGAGGAATTAGTTCCGAGCCACGGAGAATGTGAATTAAACAAGGATACACATATGGTGAAGAATCCTGTAACCTGGACCGGCGCGTAAGATCGCGCTCTGATAGATGTTTAGAGTATCGAAGACAAAACCAAAGCCCAAGGGCCTCGACGAACCTTCCGGCTTGACGAAATGTTAGCAGATATCCCCGAGCCTATATTGTACCGGGGCATGTCCACAGGCAGCTCTCAATTCCAGTGACCAGTGTGCTGCTGCATCTGAACGGCGGCGATTCGATGGAGCTGTTCAGTTATAGTGAGTAAATGCGCCGTCACCGTCTGTGTCTTGCTCGATAATACAGTACAGTTGTACTGAACTTAATCGCTTGTTCCACTCCTCCGACAACTGCCCCCCTTACCCTCTATACGGGAGCACATCTGGAAGCTTCGTGCTGAGCGAACAGCCTATCGACCACTATATCCTGCAAGATGGGGGCGATGTTGGGCGTTGCCAAGACAAGCAAGAAGCAGGAAGAGCCAGTAAACAGTCTCCTCAGCTCTCTCATGCAACGAGCTCGCTTCAGACAAACACACGACGAGATCTACTGGCCACGCAACCATGCGTTCTCCGGCGACAACTCGAATTCTCTGACTATAACCAACTTTTCCCTTGCCGGGTGTGTGGATGGAAGTTGCAGTGGAGTAGATGGCACATACCAGAACCTATACACAATTCCCCAAGGAGACCCATTAGAGAGATGGTAACGAGCAACTGTGATGTATCCTGACTGACTTCCCTAGTGAGAGGGGTCTTTTTGGTGGTATATAGGAAGACAGATAGATGGGTGACTGTTGGACGGGCAGCTCAGCTGCATTTGCCTCATAGACAGCGGCTTGTATTGGCTTTATAGAAGGAAATGGAAATTGGGGACGTAGGGGCTCTTTCTCGCGGTTTGTAGAGGTGCTATGTAACAGCAGAGAGGGTCACTTAGTGGAGATCACAGCCGAGCAGCCTGCAACACCACATTCACTACCCTCCTGTCTTCTGAATCCCCAATCAACATGATGTCGTCTCTGTGTTTCGTTCATCTTCCGGTTGGCCATGCGGCCTTTCTCTGCCGCATGGATCTCGTTTTAGAAGCACGGTTGAGGAAATTGCACCGCAGGATCGCTGAACCGGAGAACTTCTGGCGGGTCTATCGCCCTTCGATCACTCTATACAGAGAGTAGATAGCTGGCTGAAATGAACATCCTCACATACTGAATATCGTAGATGATCCTTTACTTTGTAGTTAGCGTTTAGCTTGAAACTGAACTCTCATGTAATCCTTAATATCTTTGTTAGTACTTGCATTTCCTCTAGAGATGTGAGTAAATCTTTATAGACAACTTAGAGAAGATCCACATCCTCTCACTTCTCCTGATTCAGTGTGAGAGTTTCTCGCCTTGTGACTTCTCTCGTCTTCTCTCTCCCTCTCTCTCCCTCCCTTACCTCTCCATCCTCAACACGTCTCTTCGACTCCGCCCTCCTTGTCCTCGTCTCGGTCCACCAAAGCTTCGTTCCAAAGTGCTTCACAAGCGTCCCTTGTCTCTCTTCTCTTCTCGTCAGCTCATCGAGGCCTCTGAAGCATCTCAAAACTGTGAAACCTGTAAGTGTTGTTCTTACTGAGCCACGCCATGGGTGTTAGCTTCCTGTGTTTCCCTTCTATCGTACAGGTCAGTGCTGACCAGCCGTGATAGCAGTCCATGGCAGATATTCCGGTGACCTCTCGACTGAGAGAGGACAGGTCTCCAATCTTCACGATGAAGCATTGGCAGATGGCCAGAAGAAAGTCATGGTCTGAAGAAGACACGTCCCCTGAGGACTCACCGAAGACGCCCTTGACCCCCGATGGTGAAAGCTTCAAAGTGACCCTGTTAAACCTGTCAGAAGAAAGCCTCTCGAACGTCCCAGAGACACAAGAAATCATTGAACGCCTTGACACCGAGTCTGAGGGATCTGAAGAGTCTGTAGCGTCCGATCTGGAAGAGAGACCTGTGCCCGGCCTCGTGCTTCGCCCCGGCTGGAACATCCTTGACTACCACCTCTATCTCCTCAGCAACGAGCGTGACCGAGACGAGCACGTCCGGAAGAACAGCATGTACATTTTTGATGGGACCGAGTGTACCATACGTTCTTATCAAGAACTCTTCGACCACGAGGTGCTGGCTCCTTTCAATGTTGGCGACGATCCTCAGCTGGTGTTCAACATCCTGCCCATCATTAACCGGGACGCCTTGGAATGCCATGCAGGCTATATCCTGGGGTACAGTCATGTGAACAAGATGTTGTATGCTCGTTATTTCGAGTGGATTCCCCACATCGAGGACCTGGACTTTGTGTGGGAGGATGGGTACAACATGTACGAGGTGACGATCTATGGATTGCTTAACCTTCTTCATGATTGCTTCGTCAAGAAGAGTTTCTTCCCCGGCGAAGGCATCTTGAGCGCGGGTTATCAGCAAGATCATCACCGCCCATCTCGAAGATTTGACGATCCCGGAATGGAACTAGTCATGACCATTCTCTTCTGTCAATGGATCCGAGATGCTGCCGATCCGCTTTTTGGTCCCGCTTACTTGCGAATCGGTAACCTCAAGGAGCAAGCCGCCTACTACGAGCAGCAATGTCGCTTGATGCTGCAGCGCGCTTCGGCTAGAGCGTGGTTCTACATCCGTGACGGATGGGTCCCAGATGATCTGGCACGCAACTTGGAACTCAATGCGTGGACCAACGATCTGTACACCTATTGTGATTCCATGTTCGCAGAGAATGGAATTGACTGGCCCGCCCCTAGCTTGACGAAGTCATCCGAGCTTCGAGAACAGTATATCGAGACTCACAAGGCCGAGAACTCCGCCGATGTACGTTTCAACAGACTGTTTGACGCCACAGCGGATGACAATAACCCTAATCCCGAGAGTGAGGCGCTCAAGGAGCTTACCGCCATGATCGGTCGAGAGCAGGCGCATTACTTGCTGGACTGCGCCGCTAGCCAGTGCCTAGACAATCTCGTGTCGAACGAAGGTGAGCATAATGATGATCAGCATCACAATGTGTCGATAGAGTGGCTTGCCCGTCGTCTCGCATACCTCACGTTAGACTACCCCGAACTGGATAGTCCCACAAACCGCAGCCACTTCTGCGAACTTTTGATGCGAATGGGCGTGTCCATGCAGCAACAGCCAGAGGAGCACCTGGCCCAGTTGCCGGTTCCTCCGCTCAACGGCGACTTCTGGAGATTGGTTGTCAATTCGTCCCAAGCCAACTCCTCGAGCGCTCGTCGTCTTCTACCCAGCCCGATCATTGATTAGCGAAATTAGAGAACACCAATGACCTGGAAATACCTCCGCATACTGATAGATGACTAATGGCTATGGCTTTACCTTTTTCAATAATATCTTCTAGGTCCCTGGATCCATCTGGTGTTCTGGTATTCCTTGATGACCCCTCCCCATTTTTGTCAGAGTTTGATATCTTTCCTTGGCTCGAAATTTCCGTCTTGTCTTGTTTTTTCACCATTTGTCTTGTTCCTTCTTTTTTCTTTCTGTATTCTTTCGTTTCCTTTTCTCGTCTCCTTTTGTCTTCTGATTGCTTCGGTTCTTCCTTTTTTTTTTAACTGCGAATTCTCGCTCAACATCAGGAGTTGAAAGATCAGCATGGGCGATGCAATGAATCGTCGTCCTTACATACTTGATACCCCAACCCCAATTACCCACCACTCATCATCCGCTAGAGCCCTAGGCCTAGGCAAGCCCTGGGCAAAGGGCAGCATGTTCCGACAATGCTTGCCTGCCGTTCTCGCCACGGACGCAAACCCCCGTTGGCCATCTCAACCGTTCGAATCCCGGCGATCTGGCATGGTCTATGACCCTTGGGGAAGGAAGCTAGTGCCTTGGCCTAAAGTCTTTGAACCTCCCAACAACTGGAACAGACCGAGTGCTTTGGTTTTATGGCCCTGGGGAATTGAGCCTTGCTTTCAGTTTAGGTAGAAGACAAGGCTGGTGCTGAGCGAGCAAGTGAACGGAGAATGAATGGAAAGAGAGTGGAGAAAAGATCTAGATGTTCCAGACGAAAACAGAGAAAGGAAAAAGCCAGTTGTTTAGATGACTTGGAGATGAATGGAAAGATTCCCCATCACTGATGAGATATGATTGATGTGATGATGACTCTGACAATGTCCAATGCTCGTGTAATGCCTACTTCATGTGGAGGGTAGATCGTGTTCATCGGATGGTCTAGGGTAGACAATGTCATACATAGGCTCAGAGCAGGATTGTGCTGGTTGTAGGATTGGTGATGATGGAGCGTCGGTGCATGTAGCAGTCTTGCAAGAGGCATTGGTTCGGATCATGGAGTGCAAGGTAGTAGACCTCGGAGGGAGGAGATGGGGTCCTCGGTGCCCGGTGGTTAGTTGGACGGCTGAGGGCGGAGCGGCGGGCGGGGAGGCTTGGTGATTCCCTATTTAGAAAGCAGCCTTTCTACCCAGTAGTTGTACCTGAACTACGTAGCACTGCAGAGTAAGTATCGTGGACAGTATAACTTATTGCTTCTTATGAGGTAACATACTCATGTCTGAGAATCTGACTACTAACTATAGACAGGTCAATGCACTGATACATCTCAACGAGGTCAGATACATACTCAGTTTGCGTGGACAAGCTGGGTACGAGCATTCCTCAATCCGCATACAGGACGAGTCGGTAGGTCGTCTTTTCTCACTCAAGAACCTGGTTCAAATGATAAGCATGAACTGATTGGGGCAGCAAGTTAACAAGCAGATTAGGCCACCGCATAAAGAAGAGTATAGTATACTGCAGTTACAGTACAATACATGCAAGTAGGGGGGAGATTGCGACCCACAGCCACAGACTGGAACCGAATTGTGGCTGAGACGTGGGGCTGATGAGTAAGTCGCCAGTCTCGGCGTCATCATTCCTGGCCCAATCATTCCATTCTTTCCATAATCCCATCTCGCGATCAGGTCGGTTTCCAGCTCAAGATCGAGGCACCCGTGACGGAAACCCACCCTCGGTTACTACTGATCACTGGTACAAACAATACGAAAGACACGAACAAACTCAACACTGGAAATGATTTTCCCTAGAACCGTGGCTGCACTGGAATGACCCATGAGGCCGATGATGCTGCCGCCGATGCTGCTGATGCTGCCAAGATGCAGCTAGTCACCAGAACCGACAAGCCAATAACCAGGAACATGAAAAATGATAATGACCCGTGCAAGGATGGGGGCCCTCTCCGTCTTGGTCTCTTGGCCTTCCATAGGAAAAGTCAAGAATAGTGAATGATGGCCGTGCTGTTGTCTCTCTTACTCTTTTTCTTTCTTTTCCCCCCTTCTTGAGTTTCTCAGCCCTGCAGCCCTACTGATTCTGTTGTGCTGCTCAGTCCTACTGAGTACTCAGATCCTCAAACAATCTGAATGACTGGTGCATTAATGCTACCTGTCGCCGTTCCTTTCAATCCCTTCTCTCCTCCATACTGATCATCTTCTTGGGCTTCCGGGATCCAATCTTCGTTCTTTCTATCACCTCCCCCGCCCCGTATCCCACGTCCCCCCTTGACATCTTCCAGGGGATCCGATTGACACCGAAATCCTGGTCTCCCTGTCCTGCGCGCAGTTGTTATTAATCGCCGAATCCCTCTTTTCGCGTCAACCTCTTCTGCCACGCTCTTTTATCTTCTTCCCTACCTGAGAATTATCCTGCCTGGCTATCGATAGTTACCCCGTCTGCACAACCTGTCGCAACCTCCCTCTAATTTATAATCACCATATGATACCCTGATTGATCCCACCTGTTCCTTTAATATTTATTGCCTATCTTCAGAACTTGTCCCCCTGCTGTTTGGCGTGTTGACCGAACTCTTGAACGCCGGTTTCTTTGGTATTACCCAATCCGGCCCGTGACCTCACAATGGCCTCCCAAAGTAAGTTCCCAACATCAACACTGCCTGACACGCGCTTCAATACTGACGCTAATGTTCTAGCCAATGGTGCAGCTCCTGCTGTCAATGGCCACTCTACGGCTTCCAGCACGTCCGTGGACGTCATCTGCGGCCCCCTGATTAATTTCAAGAATATGGATGTCACTGCTTCCTCCTCTGTATGGCGGGGAAGTATTCTGATTGTTACTAAGTCTGGGCAGAGCCAACCTCAGCTGGTGATGCGCCAAGCGGGTCCGGTTGATAGCAGTAGCCGAGCTTCAGGTACTCAACCCAACTCTCAACGTTTTGTGGCCGACGGACTTCGTCTATATGAAGATCCCAAGAAAGCATTCTGGAGATTCTCAATCGCCATCGCCTTGGAAGAGTATGAAGCACGCTGGGAGTACACCATTCCGGGGTTCCAGTACGCAAATGGTGAAGAGCTTCCTCCGCCTTGGGACTTTGTAGTTCCATCGATCCACCAGTCGATGCGTCTGATGTTCCATTCTTGTAATGGCTTTTCCGTCGGCACCGATATGAACGCGTGGGTCGGCCCCAATTTGTGGAACGACGTGATGCGCGTGCATGGCCAGAAGCCCTTCCATGCCATGATTGGTGGTGGTGACCAGTTGTACTGCGATGGGATCCGCGTTGATGGACCCTTGAAGGCGTGGACGGCTATTGGAAATCCTCACAAGAGACGGGCGCATCCCTTCGACAACGACTTGCGAGCCCGGTGCGATGAATACTACTATGCGAACTATATTAGATGGTATTCTATTGAGCCGTTCAAGGCAGCAAACGGCCGGATTCCACAGATCAATATTTGGGATGACCATGACATCATTGACGGCTTTGGTTCGTATACAGATCATTTCATGCGCTGCTCTGTGTTTCGTGGTATTGGCGGCGTGGCGTTTAAGTACTACTGCTTGTTTCAACATCATATCGCGCCGCCCAAATCGACGTACACTACAGACGCTCCGCAAACAATGCATGCTGTCAATGGAACTGCTGGTGCCGATCCCAGACAACTGGAGAACACCTACGTGCTAGAGGACCAGTCGGAAGACGACAGTTGGATTGTTGGTAATCGCCCCGGTCCCTACGTCGAGGAGAAGAGTCGAAATCTCTACATGCGTCTCGGCAAGCGGTTTGCGTTCATTGGCGTCGATGCGCGGACGGAGCGCACGCGGCACCAGGTGAATTACCCAGACACATACGACCTCATCTTCTCCCGACTTGAAGCTGAAGTCTTAGCGGCGGAGGGAGACATAAAACACTTGATTGTGCTACTGGGAGTCCCAATCGCATATCCACGACTCGCATGGTTGGAAAATATTCTGAGCTCTCCTCTGATCGCGCCTATTCGCTTGTTGAATAAGCGGTTCGGCTTTGCAGGTGGCTTGTTTAATCAGTTTGACGGTCAAGTTGACCTGTTGGATGACCTGGATGACCACTACACCGCACGCCAACACAAAAAGGAGCGAAGGATTTTCATTCAACGTCTACAGGACTTTGCCAAGGCTCATTCCATTCGTGTGACGATTCTGGGCGGAGATGTGCATCTGGCAGCCATCGGTCGGTTTTACTCCAACCCGGCCCTCAACCTCCACAGCGAACTCGATCCACGGTATATGGTCAATGTTGTCAGCAGTGCGATTACGAACAAACCTCCCCCCAAGGCCGTGGCCAATCTTTTGGCTCGTAGGAACAAGCTTCATCATTTGGATCCACATACGGACGAGACTTTGATGGAAATGTTTGATCGACAGCCTGGTGGGCAGGAGAAGAGTGCCGCGTGGAATAAGGTTACGATGCCTTCGCGAAACTTTGCCTGCATCACTGAAATCGAACCCCTCTACACTAACGGAAACACCCCAGTGGCTCCGAACGAGCAGGCCTCTTCGTTCCCTTTGGCGAAAGACGGTCACTCACCTCTTCACCAGGGTGAAGCTGACGCCGGCTCTAGTCATCCTGCGGCAGATGGATATACTAGCAGCGGCAGCATGCCAGGAGGGTTGGACATTACGATCCGAGTCGAGATTGACCCACAGAACCGAGAAGGAGCTACCGATGGTTATGCCTTCAGCGGTAAGTTTGTCTAGTAGTATTGATAAAGCGGCCCTGAACGGTCTTGCTGACATGTCACCAGTTCCCGCGTTGGCCTATGACCCTTCGAAGGACGTTTCTCGTCCCACTTCTCGCGCTCGCTCATTGCGACCTCAATCCCTCCGTCCTCCTTCACGGCAGTCTGCGCGGCCTCAGACCGCCAATTGATCGCTGAATTACCCTTGGCGTGACTCATGCGAGATACTTGGAATACTTTGGCTCGTTCCCGTTCCTGTTCTTTTCACCCACCATGGTGGGCCTATCTTCTGGCTGAGTGTTGATGTAGGATAGTTTTGCTCCGCTTCGTCTAGTCTTCTTTCTTGATTCCCCGGTGTATTCATCTTAATTATTGCCTTCGTCAACCTTCGAATACCAAGTTTTTGAATAGTCATGTTGACAGTCGTTCATCTTTCATTTTTATGTACTTTACAGTTTGAAATCATTGATTCATCCCCAGGTCTTGACACTTTCCGAAAGCAAAATAATGCAAGAGTGGCTGGCTCATTCCACCATACTCTCTAGCAGGTTTGCTCAACATCCGTCTTCGTCCGTTCTCTCGAGAACTACAACCCACGTCATGATCTCCACGAGCCATTTCAGGTTTCGCCATGCACTGGGAGCCCCGCCTGCCAAGATTGAAGAGCTTTCCGTCCAAATGACTCGGGAATTCTGCAGCTGAGATCAGAGCCTAAAATCTTGGAAACAGGTGAAAGCCAGGCCGCATGAAGAACAGGCAGAAGCGAATAATTTTTCTTGGACTGCAGCTTATCTCAACTTTTCGACCAATCCCAATTCTCGCTGCAGCTAAGCTACAGATTGCAAGTGCTTTTCGGTATTTGAGGCATGGAACTCATGCAAGGGCGGCCGGTGGAGTGCGGAGATATCACGAGCGGCACCACATAGCGAACGTAATGGGGAGTTTCGCCTTCCGTGTCACATCGAGATCGTTGCCTCCTACTCAGCCCTGCAAGGGTTGGCCCAGTACGGCGACTTTACTCAGCTCAAGGGGCAAACCGAGAGGCGATGGAACTCCTGAAAAGAACCGAGCCAGAGGACCGAGTGTTCTTCGCACCTTGCGATAAGAATTACGCATCACGGGCACCTCAACGATGGGAATCAAGAAGACAGCAGCGTCTCAAGATGCCTCTCAAGACAAGGTCGCAGTGCACGGCGCAGACAGCAACTCCGACGATGACCGACTCGACATCCTCGGCTACAAGCAGGAGCTTCGTCGCAACCGTTCCATGACCACGCTGCTCTTTCAATCGCTTGCGATAGCCGCGATTCCCTACGGCGAAGGAGGTCCTCTCATAGGCGCCATCTACGGCGGCGGGCCGATGTCGATCTTTGTCGGCTGGATCGTTGTCTGCATCCTATACCAGTGCGTCGCCCTGTCTCTCGCCGAGCTCGTGTCGCGATATCCGACCTCCGCCGGGCCCTACTACTGGTCGCATCAGATAGCGCGCGACCACAAAGCCATCGTCTCCTTCCTCACCGGCTGGGTGTGGATTATCGGCAACTGGACGGCCATCCTCTCGACCAACTTCGGCTTCGCATCCATGCTGTCGGCCGCGATCTCCCTGGTCCACCCCAGCTGGGACCCGAACAGCTGGGAGCTTCTGCTGATCTTCTACGCCGTCTGCGTCGGCACTTTCCTGGTCTGCACCTTCGGCAATCGGTTCCTCCCCCACATCGACTTCCTTTGCACGGTGTTCACGGCGCTGGCCATCATTGTGGTGTTGATTGCGCTATCCACTACCGCCGCGACCGGCCGCCACACAGCCGCCTACGCCCTCGGCCACTACGATACGCACTTCTCCGGCTGGGGCGGCTTCACGTTCTTCATCGGCCTCCTTCCGGCCGCGTACACCTTCTGCGGAATCGGGCTGGTCACCTCGATGACTGAAGAATGCGTCTCGCCGGCGCGCATCGTCCCCCAAGTCCTCAGTCTCAACATCCCCGTGCTCGGACTGGCCGGCCTCCTGTTCATCCTCCCCATCTGCTTCACGCTGCCCCCAATGGAAGAGATTCTCACCGCGCCGGCCGGCCAAGCCCTCCCGTACATCTTCCACCGGGTCATGGGCACCGCCGCGGGAGGACTCGCGCTGACCACCCTGGTCCTCAGCCTGACGCTCTTCGGCTCGATCAGCGCGACCGTCGCCGGCTCGCGGGCCATCTACGCCTTTGCGCGCGACAACGCCGTCCCATGCTCTCGCTTCTGGGCCCGCGTCCACGACCCCTACGCCTTCTTCACCTCCACCTCAGTCTCAGAGAGCAGCAGCAGCAGCACCCACAAAAACAACCCCGACAGCGTCCCCTTCAACGCCCTCCTCGGCGGCACCATCCTCCAGCTGCTCCTGGGCCTCATCAACCTCGGCAGCACAAGCACCTTCACCGCCTTCGTCTCCGTCAGCACCATCGCCCTCTCCGTCGCCTACGCCATCCCCATCGCCCTGAGCCTGATGAACCGCCGCGCGGAGGTCGCCCGCGCCCCCTGGACCTGCGGCCCGCTGCTGGGCCCCGTCGTCAACATTCTCTCCCTGGTCTGGATCGCCTTCGGCTTAGTGCTATTCAGCCTCCCCACGGCGCTGCCGGTCACCCCATCGTCGATGAACTACGCCGCGGTCGTGTTGGTGGGGCTGTGGGGGTTGGCGTTCGCGTGGTACTGCGTATATGGACGCAAAGGTTCGTTCTTGCTCTCTCTTCTGTCTTCCTATTTCTCTCACTCAGCGAAACTAACCTGTTGTCGGGAAATAGTGTATAAAGGTCCCCCCCTGGAATCGACCGGGCTCCGCTCGTCGGAACTCCGGACTATCTTCTAGGCTTAGTACTCTAGATGCAGGAGGTTTGGGTTTGGTGAGCGAGGTGGTAGGTATACAGGACATGTCATGCGACTCCGCCTGAACCACAGCAGGAAAGGGGATACACGATGAGATGGGAAAAGATATAGATCGATAGAAATCGGGTCGGGTCTGGTCTTGGAGTTAGGTTGTTTCTCTTTCCTCGAATTCAAAATACATTCAGCGTATGAGATGCTTGAAGAATACACGATTTCGCTTCATCTTCGCTATGGATTTGGGATGGATTACCTACTTCAAGTGCCGATCCCGCGGGATGAGGGTGTCTCTCGTGGAGCATCATCCATTGACCACTACAACAGAAGAAAGTTAGATAATGTACCGGGTTTATCCCAGGCAAGTGGACAGAGCAAGAGCAGTCAAGTTTCTTGGATCCTCCGAGTGTCGGGTGAAACTTAAGAGCAAAATGGGCGCACCGCCCTTAATCCTACATCCACCATCATCCAATCAATCCAGTTGTGTATTGAAGTACATGGTACAAGATATTTGACGGCAAACCTCTACCTCTACCTCCCAAAGCCGATATCCCCCCATTTTAATAAGTCGAATCATCCTGGTAATCCAGCTCCCCCACCCCTAACCTCGTCGCCGAGTTCTCGTTCCCGGAATCGATACTGTTGCTGTTCCCGCGCCGCCGCCGGGGCTGGCCCTCATTCGGGACCGAAGGTCTACGCAGACTGGTCGTCGTCCCACTCCCACTCCCACCGCCACCATTCCCACCACCATTCCCACCACCAAGCATCTCCGCGGGTCGCCGCCGCCGCACGACCTGGTACCCTTTGTCGAGCTCGATCTCGATGACGCACCGGACCTTCAGGGCACTCACGGCGGGCCAGACGCCGCGCTCGCCCTTGCGCGACCAGTGGGCCAGGCTTGCCTTGCTGGGGTTCTCGAAGATCTTGGTGAAGTCACGGAGGGTCAGATCGGGGACGAGGGTGATGCTGGGGCCGGGGATGGATTCCTCGAGGAGCAGGCGGGCGAGCGGGGTGGGGAGGAGGCCCATGTAGTCGAGCTGGCGGAGGCGGTGGCGCACCTCGCCCATGACGAGGCGGGTGAAGTAGCGGATCGGCGGGTTGGGGTGGTCGCCGGGCCGGCGGATGAGGAGGGTGCCGCCGTCGGAGCGGAGGAAGGGGACGAGGTAGGGCCGCGCCTGCGAGACGATGAAGTGGTTGACGTTGAACAGCTCCGCGATCCGCGCGAGCGGCGACTCGCCCTCGCTGTACTGCACGTGGCGCCAGGAGGCGAAGGTCGCATCCTGCGAGTGCGGCCACGGGACGATCGAGCCCGTCTCGTCCTTGCAGTAAATCGTGACGGGGCGGTAGAGGGAGGTGTTGGAGGCGTTGGAGGCCACCGCGGCGGACCAGATGAGCTGGGCGAGCCCTCTTGTTAGCTTTTCTAGGACCCCGAAATCAAGTGGGTACATACCACGTTTGGTGCGGTGAGATAGTTGAGGAGATTCGGCGTGGCGTTGGTGTTGGATGTCGCGACAGTGATGTTGAGAATGCGCTTCGATCGAGCGTATGCTTCTTCGAACGTCAAGTCTCCTAGGTTGGCCCGCACGCATTCCTCCAGAACTTCGGCGTCAAGAAAGTAGCCCTTCTGAATATATCGCTTCATGCGCCGGAACAGGGTCCCCGCCCAATTATCGCCGATGTCGAACGGCAGCCATTGAGTTTCGGAGGAGGCGTCTTTGGCCTTCCGACGCCGATCAAAGGCGCTCAGATCAATGCCATCGCTGTCGAGGAAGGTCAACAGCTCATCTTCCGTATGGACCCCGACCAGGGCGGCGATGAGGGCGCCTGTCGCGGTCCCGATGATAATCCGAGGCAGAAGACCTCGCAGATGAAGAGCCTTGACGACGCCGAGGTGACACAACCCAAAAATCGATCCGCCTTGGAGCAGAAGCGTTGTCCGTCCAAAGGCCTGTCGAGTGTCATGCAGCAGCTCGAGCTTCGCCTGCGAGCCAAACCCACTGACGTGGACCGGGGCGGTAGGAAGAGCCGTCACCTGCTGAATGGACAGTGCCACCTGAGTGATATAGTCCTCGATCAGAAGCTTGGTCCCCGCGTACGCTTGTGTGAACAGCTTTGGGGACGTGATGTTGCCCAGATTGCGAAGCAGTCCGGATCGCAGAAGATTGACTAAGGTCAGGATATCCTCGTCTTCGCGAGCACTCATGAGAGCCTCTAATCTGCCCAGGATCAAGCGGTAATCGTAATGGCGGCTGGTAGGGTTCTGGCGCCTGTTGTACGTTGTCAGTGACTGATCTCCGTGCGCAGGCTGAAGTGGATCGAGTTACCAAAGATCCTTGCTGAGGATTTCGTCTAGGTCGAAGGCGGCTTCTTCCCATTCCTCGTAGGTTGTTGCAGTAGCGAGCGCACGGCGCAGTCGGTCTCGGGGAGACCGTGTATGCCACCAGGATAATAACCTCTAGACGGAGAAAGTCAGCTAATCGAATTGACAGCATACCATTCCAACGGAGTATCGTAGAAAGAGAGGAGAACCGATCAAGCATTTCTGATAGAATTGGTGCTGGCTTGAGAGACCATGATGCCGACATGTGTCTGAAGACATAGAATAACCTACCTGTTGCCAGAACTGTGCGACGTCTAGAATCATACTGAAGATGGCAGCGAACAACTCGTAGATCACCGCCCAGGATGCCATGATGAATGAAGGGGGAGGGGAGGGGCGGTTTATCAATGGCAGGTCAAACGAGAGGGGGAAGAATGACGGCACATGTCGAGACACACGCTTGGCTGCTGCTTTCACATGCTTGGTCTCCGACGAGTCAGGAGGATAGACAAGCTTGCAGCTCAGCAAAGAAAAGAGGCAGGGATACTGGATCGGGGCCAGAGCCGGTGCATTCAATGCCTCTAGTTTCGAATAGGGAGGTCGAATATTGCAGCAAGGAGGAACGAGAGAGGGGATGTTGAGAGTGAGAAGCAGAGAGGAATTGATGGACTTGGGCGGCGGGATGATGACACACTCCTTTGATATACTTGAAGGACTTCCCGCAGCACGGAACTACTATATATATCTCCACATCTTCTAAACACCACCACTAAAAAGGGTAGACACTACAAGAATGAAGTTCCAACGGAACAATTTCTCCAACTCAGGGTACTGTACATATACGCAGTATTCATATCTCATAATAGGCATGTGTTGTGATCCTATGGCCCGACTAGAGCCACGGTGGACATGCTTGCGAAACACGAGGTAAAAAGAACCCCCGTTGGTCAAAGAGAAGATATAGTGGAGAATGTTGGGGTACATGAATTAGAACATTCTATGCCGAACTACATACATACGAGCCTAGGCGAGAGCCACCCCAACGGGAGATATACTCTGCCCAAGAGACAAGGCGAGACCAAAAGGATGAAGAAAAAAAGCCAACCAGATTTTTGAGTCTCTCTACACGCCACGCTTCGCCAGCGGAGAAGGAAATGCCAGACAAACCCCGTGGACACGTTAACTGGGCATTTGAAATTCCATAATTTTGGGTTTTAAATTTCGCGCTGCTTCCCTATGCAAGTAGGCGAAAATGTATTCTTCGAACATTCCTTCACTACCCACCAAGGCGGACATTTCCAACCGCTTACTCCTCGACAATGTTACCCCGCTCCGACACGTACAGACCATCAAGGAACTAGATGGCAAGACGGGTTAGTATGAATATCGCGGTACTTGAGATAGGGCTAAGAGCCAGTTGCTTCAAACTCACCTTACGGATATCCTTGTTGCGGACTCTGCAGATCTGCTGGATGTCGGCAGCGCTCTGGGAGACACCCTCAAGGGAGTTACCGGAGAGCACGAGCTCATCCTTGACGTTGGTGGAGACGGCGATCTCAACACCGGGCTGGGCAGTCACGCGGCGGACGTACTTCTCACCCAAGAAGTTACTAGAGAAACGGATCCGTCAGTCGGAAGATTCCTTCGAAGCGCATACAGCGACAAGCGACGCAGCATTGCCCCTGAACCAGTTGGAGCCAAATCCACCATCTCAATCCAACAAGCCCAGCGACTTGCCGCAATGTCGCAAAAAGGTGGTAGTGCCATACCGGATCTCAACTTCGACCTGGCCAGTCTCGGCGTTCTTCTCAAGGTTGACGTTGATGGGAAAGTGAGCGTAGACGTAACGCATCTTGTACTTGAAGCCCTTGGTGACACCGATGATCAAGTTGTTGATGAGGGTGCGGACGGTGCGGAGGGTGGCAATACCCTTGCGAGCACCGTGGTGCAGCTGGATGTTGATGACATTCTTCTCGGGGCGGCCGAAGGTGACGGCGATGTGAGAAAGGTCCTTAACGAGCTTGCCTGCAGGAGAGCGAAAAAAAGACTCAGGTTAGCGGCGGCTGGCAGTCGCACGACACGAACAGGCCCAGAAACATCCAAGCCGAAAGGTCTGTCTGGTCCGAGCCTATTGTTGGGGACGTGCGTGTTGTTGGTCAAGTGGTGAATTGCATACCTCGGGGTCCCTCGACGGTCACAACGCGAGAGCGAATGTGAACCTTCACTATACGACGAAAATTGTATCAGTCCCAGTTCTCTCACACAAACACATAAGATAGTCGCAAGTCTGTATCGTCTCGTCTGGTTTCTCTTCCGCCGGCGGAGAGACAGGCATTCTGATATATGCATTGGTTCCTCCTCTTGATTCTATTCTTCCTCTCCTGCATTGACTGATTCGTAGTCGAGTCGGGGGGGCGCATCACTGTTCCTCTTTTTGCCCCTATATCCCTCAATGCATTCCATCTCTATGCCTGTCCCTCCGGGGTGTTCCGTTCCTCTCTTCCCACCTCTTGCGAAAACCAGCGGACTTTTTGCGAAACCAGCGGAGTCGAGCATTCAGGAGAATGCTCAGGAATAAATCGAATTGCTCACCATTCTCGGGGACGGGCAGCGTTTCCTCGGAGTGAATGTACCGCATCTTGACTGCGTGGGCTGTGGTGTGTCCGAGGGGGGAATTGTCGATATCGTCGTGCGGTCGGTCGTCGAAAGGATCGAAATTCCTCAAGGCAAACCGGAGTCGAGAGTGGTGGAGCGAAAATCACGGGTTGTGCGTCGCTTACGGCCCAATCTGGCTTAGGTCCTTCCGCCTAGGGTTGCCCACTTTGGGCTTAGTGGCTATTGATCCCGCCCGGCAGAACAACAACAATGGAACTGTCGGTGGCTGCTTATCCTTATCGGTCTGCTTCAAGTCTACCTCACCTAATTACAGTATACACTCAAGCTTACCTAGAGTATATCAGATTTGAGTCATTTCAATTGTACCCAGAACTCACGTCTCTAGTCTTTGAACGGATGGAAGCTGTCCGTACAACTGCCGCTGAATATTTGGTTTAGAACGCACATACTGGTACCACGTCATCAGATTACGATTAATCCTTTCCTATTAATTATCACATGATCCCAATTATGTACGCAGAAGAAATGCACAAAGTCCTTATGATGAGCTTTTCCCGTCAAGAATCCTCAAATCTGTCTGTGAATCATGACCTGTTTGGCAGCGAAACTCAATGCGGATCGTGAAACACACAATCCCATGCATGCATACCGTAAATAGATCGAGTCCAGATGCGTTAGTCAAACCGACAAATAGCTTTCCAGTCCGCCCAAAAAAAAAAATCTAGTCGCTTGTTGAGTCCTTACGGTGGACTTCTTGGACCCACTTACCACCCAGGTCCCTCAAGGTTGATGTCAATTCGTCGCGCCCGTCGAGGGCCGTCACGTCGTCACCACCCCCAATACTCTTGCCATTGACCAGCACATTAGGGACAGTCCGACGGCCGGTAGTCTCGGCCAAAACAGCCTGCAACATCCGACCATGGGGATGCTGATCCAACTCCACGACGAACGGCGCAGGGGTGATGGAGTAATGATCCAGTAGAATGGACTTGGCTTTGGCGCTGTAGGGGCAGTACGATTTCGAAAAGATGATGACTGCGTTTGGAAAAGACAAAGAACATCAGTAATTCATTCCGCCCGTATCAGAGGGCAAAGGGAAACCACATACTCGGAGCCTTTTTCAGGATATCATTCAACTCAGCCACTGCATGCGCATGCGCTTCCGCCTCGGCATCGTTCTCTGCCTCTGCCTGCTGCGGCTTGGACTCCTGCTTGGGCTGTTCTTGCTGTTGCTGTGGCTGTTGCTGCTTCTCCTCCAGCTCCTCCCCCGGTTTCTTAGACACGGTCATCTTGGTCCGTCCCGCGATCGGGATCTCTTCCATGTGGTCGGCCGGGTTGGCCTTGGGGATCGCCGGTGCGATCTTATCATCGGTCATGGGATGCTTCAGATCTTCCTTGACGGAGTTGCGGTTCGGGACGGGGATGTTGGCTGCGGCCGCGGCCGGGGCGGCTTCCTTGGCCTGCTTTTGGGCGTTCATGGCAGCCACGGTGGAGCGATAGAATTGCTGATTCTGGACACTCCGGGCGTCGCTCTGGAAGGCGCGCGTCACGTTAGCTCTACTTCGCGCTATCTGGAAAGCGGTTTGCGACCACGAAAGGGAACCGGGATTATACCGAGTAGTACCAGGTCACGCCGACGATCACCAGCACGGCAATGACCAAAAGTCTCATGCGCCGTTGAGAGAACATCTTGGAGCAGGGTGTAGAATGGTAAGTCGGCAGGGGAATTTGACAGTGACGCGATCGATCGATAACCACGGGCAGAAGATATGTTCAGCTGGGGAGAACGCTTGCCGTGGATTCAACGAAGCAACTGTGCGCATCAGTGCTGGGATGGTTTAACAGTCGATGTGTCGAGCCGACGAGTCATAGATGCAGCTCCAAGACCAACAATGGCTGGACATTGGGCGAGAGCGAGAGGTTAGAGCTTCCTGGGGAAAAAAACAGATCAAGAATAAACCCAGGTGGCAAAGTCAATAGTCACAGACTATGCTATCAGTGAGAGATCTAAAAATACGCGCGACCGAATAAATGTCAAGAGGTTTCTCCTAGTGTAAGGGGGGAAAAGGTCCCATAAGGAATTAAGGAGTGGGGAAAGAGTCGAGGCAACTGGCAAAGACTAACTCCGGCCTCGCCGGCGCGGCGCTCGGACGCGGGCCTCCGAGCCTACTTTTACTTCCGGCAAGCACGGAGCAAGTATTATTGCTTCCTGGTGAGTCCTCTCATTTCTGACTTGAATTATGAATTATATTATGGAATATTCATGCTATGCTATATCCGGGGTATGTAGCTGAGTGGTATCATGGTAAAACAAATAAAGAAAAACATTCAATCAGAGCGTTAGATGGTGTCTTTCTTGAGACAACAACATACGTGAGGGCACGTAGGTAGATGCAATGAACTCACGGGTGCAGATCAGAACAAATATAGATCTGGACTAACATGGTAAGATAAGGCCGCTTGCGTCATCCCGCAGACCCTGTATTAGCGGTTTGACTGAGCAATCGAGGGGTATTGTGGTGGTGATGACCCTCCATAAGGACTCGTCCAAAACGCGCAATGTTTCTCCTCCGTTTGACTCATCTTCGCTCACACCTCCTTTGTCGCGTGTTTTGTGGGAGATACCATAGTGAAGATCCGGAAAGTTCCTGGGAGCCCAAGCCATCATCATGCTTGAACTGCGATCCCAGAGCGTGTCCCAATAGTCCCTTTACGCTTGCCTTGGACCACAACCATCCAATCCTCCCACTCCTTGGCGATTTCCATCAACACATTGCCCATCACCGTAGCTGAGGCCATCAATCCGTGCCCTTCACCTTCAAGCACACGAACTTCGCAGCGCCGCATAGTCTTCCCCAGCCACTTGACATTGTCGACAGGAACGCGAGTGTCTCTGCTACCATGGTGGATCACCACATTCCGAGTAATATCCACATAACGGAATCCAATAGGTTGACGACGTTCCAAGCACACCAGTAAATCCACCGCCGGGTTTGCGTTCGTCGTCGCCAATTCCCAGATCCTGTGGGTGAGCCGATTATCGTAATCCACCTGCCGCTCACGATCTTGAGATGCAGCAAGTGCGGCCTGGTTCGATAGATGCTTGTCAATGGGATGACCTGCTCCTACAACTATGGGTGTTGGCTTCTTATTGTCAAGGCTTTTCAGACCGCCCTGCTGGTGAATCTTCCCTGGAAGCTGTTGAGGCTTGCTGAGCTCGATAACAGCAGAGCTTAAGATGTCTCTCTGTAGCGCTTTGCGCTTGGCTCGCCGGGGAGACCTGGGGAGACTGGAGGTAAGACTCGCACTTGCTGCGCTCATGAAGCTGGAGTTCGCAACCTTGAGAATCGATGTTGGGAGCGCTCGGAGAATGCGTTGGGTGTAGGGGACGGCATTGGTCGGGACTGGGGCCTTCAATGAGCCAAAGCTTGATAATTGTGAAGGAGGAATCCACGGAGCCAGCAGATGAATTCTTCCTCGAATATGCTGTGGAATTCTCAGAGCGGTTGCTAGCGCATAGATAGCACCAGCGGAGTGTGCCATGATCGAGAACTTTGTTACTCTGAGATGATTACATACTATCGCAACATCATCTAAACCATGTCAGTCGACCCTTCTCGTAGACAGGAGAACGCTCACGGCGTGATCGGTACATAGCACTCACCAGGCCAACTGAGAGGGGTTGCCGGTTCGTTGATGTAAGGTGCGCTTTCACCGACACCAGGACGATCCAAGGTGACCAGGCGAAGCTTGAGAGACCTCGCCAGTTCGTCATAAAAGGCCATCAGATATCTCGTCAACCCCATGCCGAGGCAACAAAGAACCACATGACCATTAGGGTCTCCAACCTCGGAAAATGCTATAGAGCGGCCTGACGTGGGATGAATTACCTTCTGGGTTAGCTTAGCAGCCGTCACATAGTCTTGGACTGCAAGGTCGATAGAGTCAGCGCTGGATGGGCGCTCCTCTACGGCGGTATAGCCAGTAGGAGAACTCGCACTCGATAGGGATCGACTATGCCGGAAGGGAAATGGTGAGTCAGCCACATGCTTGTGAGTGAATTTCTCAGATGGATCAAACTTGTCGAAGGAATGGATAGATGTCGCGGTTGACCTCGAGGTGAATGGGGGACTGATGGAGGTTGTGGAGCGATTCTTGCCCGTTAAAACTGCCGGGGCTGGAGCGCTCTCGTCGAAGCTGAAGCGAGATATATGTCCCGTTTGTTGTGAATCAGCAGTTCCACCAAGTCCCGCAGAGGCCAACGGCTGCGTACCTCTGGCAATGGGATCTTTATGTGAGTTCAGCGAGGCGTCATCTAATTCTAGCTCGGTCTTGATCTTCTGTTGTTGGTCCTTCAACTCTTGAATTCTCTTCGTCACCTGATCCGAATCACTGCCCACCCCTGAAACGGCACTGTCCACTTTCATCTCTCTGCTACTGGTAGATGAATACCGGCTATGGCGAGTAGAAGACCTGCGGTGCTTTGGGCTTAGAGAAAAACTATGTCGCAAGGATGATTCGCGGGTAGGGATAATGCGCCCGCTCCCAATGCCACCTGGAGTATTAGGCGTACTTTCTTGGTTGCCCTGCAGTGAGTTGCGTTCCTTACTGGGAGGTCTGCTTAGTGAAGAATCGGTAGTGGTCTCAGTTTGGGCTCGAAGTGGTGGGGCACACCCTTCTTCAACCACGTCGGCCATGGAATGCAGAGAGCGTACACTAGCCCTACTGCGTGGTGTGTTTTGTCGAAACCCGTCGTTGAAGCTGTTCGTCTTGCGCAATCGATCCAGCTGCCGCTCTTTCTCGCTGGGAAACTCTCGCGATACTCGTTTTAAAATGCTGACTTGGCGTTTGAGGCTTTTCTTGGAGCCTGATGAGGCGACACTATTCGCAGTTAAAAGCCGTGGACCCGGTTCGGCGGTGATTGTACCAAAAGCGGAGTCTTCGTAGGGCGCATTGGACGAAGTAAAGGAGCCCCTTGATGTCGGTCTCCCTGGAGACAAGGGCGGATCGAGGGCAGCTTTCTGTTTGGGGGGTGGCGGCGCGCGGGCCATGCGAATGATCGGAGCAACTGCTGCATCATCTGGATGCAGAAAGGGACCCTGTGACGTCTCCGCGGGAGGCTGAAACGCCCCGAGACTCAACCCGAGTTCATGCGCGCTGACCGGGCGTTGGTCTGGAATGTGATGTTTCTCGGGGGCGAGATAGACGGGCGAGTCGGGATCGGTCTTGGTGTCAATGCGCGGAACGTTATCGAAGTGCGTCTGGAGAGGTATCGAAATGGTCGACAAAGACGAGATCAGAGAAGAGATGACTTCGGGGGAGGCTGGGTCAAAAGCTGGGGGAGGACTGGCGGCGAGTGCGCGCGACGGAATTGACTTGCGACGCATGTCGAGCAAAGCCGAGGGTAGGAAAGGGGCAGCATCATCAACTTGGGATGTCGAAGAATGTTCCGTGCGATTCATGGCGGACATTGACAGGGACAGGGAATCTGCCGGTCCAACAGCAAGTTTCGGCCCCAGCTAGACTACTAGCCAGAGACAGACAGAAGACAATCACCGACGATATATGCGGTCGATGGTAGTACGCGCTTGCATGATCCAGTAAGATGGCAGGATAACGTCTGCAAAGCTTGGTAGCTTAACGGTAAAGATCAATAGACCGCGGGCGCTTGATGCATGTGCCAGTCACCATGCAGGCAGACCCCGGGGGGGGGGAAGGGAGGGGGGTAAGAAGGGTAAGGTAAGAAGGGCAGTGGAGGATCCAGGGCGGTCCTATCGCTGCCCTTGCGGTATGCAAGCCCAGGGCCCCCTTGCCGAACGTTTATTGTCTAGAAGGTCGATCTAGACAACCAATGGCTTTTTTGTAGCACAGTTCACTAGGAACGACAGGGAGAAGTCAGAATATTCGCTGTATGTAGTTGCGTAGGGGGACTTTTTTTGGCGGGTAAGAACTATTGAAATTAGACAGTGAAGTGAGGGGGGAAAAGAAAAGAGAACGGAAATAGAAAAAGGGGAAAAGATAGAATAAGGTGAGTGAGTAGTTGGTAGAAGAAAGAAGGGATCCTTGGTCCTCGGGGGGCCCAAGGATCGATTGTAGCTCGATAAAAAAGGGTACTAAGCCCGAAACTGGGAAGATAAACAACGAGCCTGCTGTGTCGCAATGGTCTGAAAATATCACAAAGGTAGCAAAGCAGAGAAAGCGCAACGCAGAGCGCACGCAATCGATGGTCTGAGAAAAGGGTAGAACGGAACATGTTCATGTTTAAGACAGGACGGAGGGAGAGAGTAACTGTACCTATGATGGAACGATGGAACGATGGAACGATTCCGGTGGAGAACAATCTACAGCAATTGTTCCACTGATCACCTTTCTTTTCACTTAGAATGAAACTTGCATCATTTAGACTATTATCCAGCAGTCTCCTCTCCACTGTGTGTGTGTGTGTGTGTGTGTGTGTGTTCGTGCTTTATATGTATATAGCATAAAAGGTCCCCCCCCCCAAAAAACAGTCCGTCCCCCCTCCCCCTCCGTCCTAGACGGCAAACAGGGGAAAATATAGGTACTCGTACCAAGCTAAGCTAGGGAAAGGAAAGGAAAAGGAAGACGAGCAGAAGACCAAGCAAAGCAATCATAGATGGCCTGCGGGTCTCCCGCGGACAATGGGTGGAAGGGAGAATCCACTCCTTCGATCTCACTGGGTTCTTTTCTTTTGCTTTCCTCCGCACTGTTCGCAGATCCAAATTTTCCAACCGTATCAAGCTCGTACCTTCAGGGGGACAGTCCCTGTGGTTCAAACTCTCTCTCAGTCTCAGACCGAGAAGGATATCAGTTTCTCTTTCGACAGTGTTGATGAAGCACCCAATCTCTGCAAGAGTAATTTCTCGACTCTGAGACCATGAAGTCGTGTGTTTAGCACTTATGATCGTGCAGCCGGGTCCAAGGCCCACGGTATCCATCTTTCTCGGTAAGAATCTCTAAACGCGGAAACATTGATGGAGGTTGTGTATGAGGTCCCCACCGAACCATCACAGGGTTGAGCACAAAATAAGGGTCGGCTGTTCTCGATTCGCACTCTCGGTATCTGCGAATTAAACTACGCTCGTGTTGGACCCAAGGTAAGGATGATGACTCTGGCCGCCACTTCTTGAAGCTCGACGATTACTTCCCCATGCATTCCTTCGTGATGCACTCAATAATGCGATTGCAGGAGAATCAGATAAGCTAGGAGCTTCATATATAAAAGCGTTGGGGCTATAGACGTTATGCATAGATATCGAGTGGATATAGGATCGTCATCATCGATTACCGAGGATAACCTGCCCAAGGCTGGGACTTCCATGCGACGAGATCATCGCGGATAGTCTTTTATTGTCGGCGAGGGGATACCTGGACAATACAACGAAGTATAGGGATATGACATAGATCATGAATAAGCGTTCTGGATATCGGTCTTGCTTCATCAGTGGTCGGTTCCTCAAAATTAATGTCGACGATATGCGCTGTGTGTACTTGCCGGCCGGGGCGGTAGATTATATATCGTCACCGATCAGCCCCGTGTGCAAGGTATGAGCATACGTCACATTTGAGACTTTCGAAAAGAACAACCTACTAAATGTAGGATATCTGGTCGGACCTGACCTAGAACCTGTGGACCATCTCCCTAGCTATCTGGGCCTGGTATGGGTGCATATTCATGAGGCACAATAAGCGTGTCTAGTGGTGAAGTGTTGCAATGGTGTTTGTTATCTTGCGGCGGGAGGACCAAAGCCGAGCTTGGCATATTTCGAGGGTGGAAACTCATCTGTCCGCAATTCCTCTCCAGCTCTGACGTGCAGGAGGAGCTTATTCGGGTGGAAGCCCACAACATTGAATCCGGCTCACAGCTCTTTTTTCTTTCATACTCGATTCCCCGCTTCTTACACTGTGCTATTGCGTGGTCACCTCCAGCGTGACGAACTCCCATTCCAATCAGATATGCGGTGACCGACGGTACCGCGAAAGAGCACCTGTCCGCGATGGACGCCTACCCCGAAGACTACGTCACCCACAACCTGCCCTTCATCCTGCTCTCCGGTCTTGAATCAGAATCCGAGGAGAACCGAGAAGATACCAGTAACAACTATCCTTTTCTGCATGATAAAGGTGCGACAATAGACTCGGATCTTCCTTCTTTAAGTGGTTCGGTCGCCGAGGAATTGCGACGTGTACTACTGGACGAAGATGCATCGCATGTGGCAGGAAGCCCCAGAGAGGAGGAACATATAGACTCAGCGAGAGCCCAGTACAGGATCAAGAGTATTGGACGGGTGAGTCATTGCAGTACGGCGCTCCTAGCCGTGCCCCTCCCTCCCCCGCTTCGTCTCCTTGTCCCTCGTCAAGCACCATCAAACAGACTGCGCGGAAAGCTGCAACTACCACGCAATTATGCCCCTGGCTCACGACCCATCGACTCATCACCATGTGCAAGATCTGGGTTAGGCTGATTTCAATCTAGTCTTATAGATTACCTCCGCGCAAAGCTGATCCCCCGCCTGTGTCCCCTCCGACGAGCCCCGGAGCCAGTCAAGAAAACGATGTACCGCGCGGAACCTCATTCATACTTCACTCGCCGATCTCACCTTTGACCCCCGCTTCACCTACATTCCCTGATGGCCTGCTCACGCCTCTGTGGGTCACCAAACACCAAGGACTTGTCCCTGCGGCGGTAATCAACTTCTTTCCGTTTTGCGCGGACCCTAATATGAATTCCCTGCGCGACAACCAACTCAGAATTGAGATAAATGGACTGAAGAAGCAATGGCAGTCCTCCGGCTATAAAACCCGCTTCCTAGTTGTTCTATTGTCCGAAGATAGCGAAGACAGTCGTCACAGTGATGCCGAAGATCGGGTAGCGAGCATTCGGAGAGCCACCAATCTGGATCAGAAATCACTTTTCCTGCTCCCGTCAGATGCCACACCTATGGAATTGAAGGAGTTTGCCGTATCTCTGTTATCTCACCTTCAGCCATCTGTGATAGAATATTATCGAGATCTGTCTAAGCACGCCAGGAGAAAGCGCAATCGAGGAACGATCCCTCCCCCGACGGCACCACCAACAAGCGGCACGTCCCAGACCTTATCGAGTCAAGGATGGAATGTAAGGTACGAATTCAAATTGGGAATCTTCGCGGAATTCCGTCGGGAAATCGATGCAGCACTGAGAAACTATGAGAGCGCGTATGAAACTCTATTCGGCCAAGAAGTGTTTGAGTCTATTGCTGGCTGGAATCCTCGATTCAATGATGCACGGTTGCTTGGGGATGCTCTCGCTATACGCATCATACGCTGCCTTTTATGGACGGGGCAGACTACCCTTGCGGTGCGCGCATGGGGCAATCATCGAAGACGCTCACACGACATTCTTAATCGCCGTGGCAAAGGAACAAAGAACTATGGATGGGAAGCATGGGAGGCTCGATGGTCTATGGTCATGGCGCAGCTTATACGTCAGGCCAAGATTCCCCAATTTACCTCAGTTGGGATCCGGCAGGATCAATTTCAGCAGCAATATTCGATTTTTGTTCCACTTAGCCCGACTAATTCCACCTTGGACGCTGAAGTGCCGTGGGAGCAGCTTCACCATGAGGGCTACTGGTTGTATCGAGCAGCCAAGCATGCTAATTACCGGCGCATCATGGCCGAGCAGATTCCTGAGGAAGATCGGATGCCGCCCGGACAGTCTCCTGCTTCCCAGATAGCCAATAAGTCTTACATGTATGACACATATTTGGTGCCTGAACCGCATATTGAAGCACCTAAGTCGGGAACAAGCGGCTTCGATCACTCCGCGTGGAGACTAGATGCGCTGAAAGCAGCATTGGAAGAATTTGCTAAGCGTGACCAGCTAAGAAAGACGGAAAGCATCACCTTGGAGATCGCAGAAGAGTATATGCGCGTGGGTTCATGGTCAGAAGCCCATGCGATTCTCAAACCGTTGTGGTCAACCTTGACATGGCGACACACGGGTTGGTGGCAGCTCATGGAAAAAGCCGGCTGGGCTTTGAGAGAAAGTGCCTCGCAAGTAAATGACGCCGAATTGATGTTGCGGATTGACTGGGAGCTGCTCAACAGAGGTAAGAAACACCCTAAACCAGATCACATGGTTAAAATCAGCTTTCGGGCTCGCTATTATCTGGTTTGTGCCCACCTTCTGATTACCTACTAGCTTTCACGTCCCGGCCTGAATGGCACTACGATATACATAGAAGCCTAGAAGACCTTCCTCTGACGAAACCAAAGCCATCGGTTGCTCTGCTTGCAGAGGATATTGTCTCATGCGGTAAGATGCAGCTTCAGGATTGTGCGATCTATTGTGCTAAGATTTGTCCACCAGTGACGGCGTCATTCGTTTTTCAGAAGTCAGAAGGCAATGTTGGCGAGCCATTGAAAGGACAACTTGTTGTAACATCATGCGCTCAAGCATCATCAGCGCCCATCATATTCTCCGAGATTAAAGTTGCTTTCGAAGGTTGCCTGCGTCCAATCAGGCTCCAGTCAACGAGCAACGAGGAAGTGGATACCGTGACGCAGTGCAGAATATCGGCGCCTTCCCTGCGTGATCCAAGTGTTTCGGCAGACCAATCCTCTATCCTGTCACCTACCAGTGGTCTAACAGCGTTGACCGGCATTGCAGACCTAACTGTTGCTCCATCGCAAACAAGAGTGTATGAGTTGACATGCATCCCCAGAGAGGCAGGAGAATCGCGCGTGGCTTCGATCACACTCGTCATCGACGAGGAGAAGTTTGACCTCGCAGTTGCTATTAACGACATAAATCAACCTGAAGCATTTTGGTGGCAGACTACGTCGAAAGGTCCTACCCGTCGTCGCGTCGGCAAAGGTCGGGATCCTGGCCGGTGCAAGATACTTCCGAAACCGCCGAAGATACGGATATCTGTGCTGAACATGCGCGATACATACTACACAGATGAGGAAATAATTCTCAAGATTGACCTCCACAATGAAGAAGATGAGGCTGCAGAAGTCTCAGCGGAAACGAGACTCTTTGGTCACCCAGACTCGAAGGCCAAAATCCGATGGCTAGATGAGACAACATCCTCTGAAACACCGAGCTCTGGTCAAAGTACACCGATTGAAGGGGTATCGCATTTCATCAAACGGCCAATAGGTTTGATGGAAAGCTCGAGTCACCGAGAGTTGGCCATCGTCCTGACCGACACCATTGATGCCTCGAACTATGATCTCGACATATCTACTGTTTACAACCTCGTGTCTGATGTTCAGACACCCATTATCGCAACAACGCGGGTCAATCTGTCCATAATCCGACCATTCGAAGCTAATTATGAGTTTCTCCCACGGCTCCACCCCGAGCCCTGGCCGGACTTCTTTACTGTTGATGATGACCTGCTCCCCAGTGGAGAGGGTTCGACCCCGGGAGGCCTCCAGCAGCGATGGTGCCTGAATTCCAAGGTCGTCTCTTTTGCCTTGGAGCCTCTCGTCATTGAAAAAATGTCGGTTGTGATGCTGGGACTCGGTGGGGCTTCGACCTGTCATATCGGCTCGGAGGAGATTGTTAGCCCCGAAGCTGTGGAGATTAAACCCGAGGAACTTCGGGCGTCCAATTTCACTCTTGACATCCAAAAGGAGATCCTCGGCGACCGACGACCCACCACCCTAAATCTAGCGCTTGAGATACACTGGAGGCGTAGCGCAGTTGAAGATGATGGTTCTCACCCGGCTACTACCGCTTCGACCCTCGCCATCCCCCGATTCATGATCCCAACCGGGGAGCCTCGAGTGCTGGCCTCAGCGAGACCTTCAAGTGCTCTTTCCGGCCTGATTCACCTGGAATACACCTTGGAGAATCCATCGATGCACTTCCTCACGTTCAATTTGACCATGGAGGCCAGCGAGAACTTCGCCTTCAGTGGACCGAAGACGATCGTGGTCCAGTTGGTGCCCTTGAGTAGACAGACCGTTCGATATAACTTATTGGCATCCAAGCGAGGATTGTGGATCCAGCCACAGCTTGTTGTCGTTGATACATACTTCAACAAGACTCTTCGAGTCTTACCGACGGAAGATATGCGGACGGACAAGAAAGGGATTTTGGTCTGGGTAGATGCTGATGACTAGGGCTAGCCATGCAACTGATCTATGTGAATTGATATATGAGGTAGCTAGATAGAGAAGATTGATATTCAGGTTAGCTCAGCAGAGATTTTCGTGCAGTAAGTGAGGAGATATGATACAGAAAACGGCCTGAAGATGACGATGATGACGATGGATTGTGTCTATGTAAGAAACAGCCACGCACGTGATCCCAGCCCTTATCACGCATTACCCGCAACGGACTAGTGGCGGCGATCGGAGCGACGCCCGCAGCTCCCCATTCCGTTAAGCGGAGAGCGACTCTGTCTCTCAGTCTCTCTCTTGCTCTCGGAAGAGCTGCGCAGATTCCCTCCTCCCACTTCGCTCTAACAACGTCCCATCTTCTCACGCTCGTTCCCTACTTTCGGGCTCATAACCGATTATTTGCCTTCATCATCGGCCTCTTCCAAAAATCTTTCGTACCAACAGCATTGTCATTTCAAACCCCCAGTCCCTTCCCCTCTTCCTGCTCGTGCGGCTGCTTGGTAGTGCGACTGCTGTCCGTTCGCTCCAATCGCAGCCATGACCCAGCAGGCTTTAATCCTCGACACGATCCTTGGCATGAAAAGGGCCTTGCACAAGGAAAATGACTGTATGTCTACGTCTCCCAGATCTAGGTCTTATTGTTGTTGTTGAGAATTTGGCTGATCCTCCTCTCTCGCTGTGGTAGATTCCGGCCCTGACGACCCCATCACCCAACCGACAAATCGAGGCAACAAGCTTCGGGCAAACGCGAAATTCGTCCGAGAGGGAGCACTAGGATACATTCATCCGGAGGATCTCTACAAGCAGGTGAGTCGTTCTCCACTGCGTCTCCTCTCTCTCTCTCGATCATCGTGCGTCGAATGATCGTGAGCAGCGTAGTGCAGGATGGACACGGAGAGAGCGCGAGCAAGCAGGCTGACCGTCGCTGGGTCCGGACTTCATAGAAAATCGAACATGGAGGGTTCACGCGCTACATCCTTCAGCGAAATCCGGTGCGCTACGATTCGGAAGGTGATGAGCTTGACGACGACGACGAAGATTCTGAGGCAGATGCTGCGGCGGCGGAAGAGAATCCATTCTCTGAGATCGCGCTCGAAAGTAAGGGACTACACCCACCTTGCCTAGACTGACCGTGAGAGAGAACCTAAGTGGCTGATTGTTTTCCGTCGTTTGTTCTTAGATTTCATGTGCCCGTTGAAGCATCCTTCTGAACTCCCGACTCATCCTTCCATGGCGCATGCCTATACTTCGAAAGCACTGCTGCACATGACACAGGCGATTGAAGCCAAACTTCGCCAGGAAAGAGCATTGTTATGGCGGGCGAGAAATCTGCACAGGCAGTTCTTGGGCGATAGTTCTTGGATGGCGTGCGGTATGGTTGAGACGTCGGCGGATCGCTGGATCTTCGAGCCCCGATTGGCTCGCAGTACGCATAGTCCATCGTTGAACCAGAGCGGACCGAACGGCACGGCTGCACCACTACCGACAAGCAAACCTACAACGCAAAATGATGGCGCACAGGAAACCTCGTCGGTCACAGAAGCATCACAACCGTCTCATGTTGCTCAGAATGAGACCTCGAAGTCTCAGCCTGCTGCTGATGAAGACGTGGAGATGGCCGATGCTCAAGATCACCGCACGAACCAGGTGCATCATCTCCCAAAGCTCGACCAGACTAGGGAGCCCAAATCGGAGGAAGTCGACACGCCCGTTGGCGACCTGCCACATCACTCGGAAACAACCAAGCAAGAAACACAGGTCAATGGCAATCACCTTGCGAACAGCACCAAGGCAGTTGAAGATAGGCTGCCTGATTCCGATGGCACTCTTGACCGGGAAGGGAAGGCAGACCCGAACAGTAATGGTACTACCAGTGTTACACAGCCAGACCCCGAACATCGACCTGAAGCTGCGGGCGACGACAAAGATAAGGACGCAGAGATGCAGGATGATGGAATAACGCCGGAGCCCCCTCGACGCATGACAACACGTGCGCAGACCAACGCTGCCAATCCTCAACAGGACGATGAGTCGGGGCCCCTCTCCCCTGCCCCATCCGACGACACTCTGGGCAGTCTACCCACCCCCCATCCACTGTTCCTCATCCCCGAATCCGTCCGACCAGACCCTAATTTCGGCCTACCCCCTAACGAAGCCGAAGATACCCGCCGAATGTTATGGTCCTATGTTCAGAAGCAAGAGGAGACCGTCCGCGGCTTTGAGCACATGTTGGACTGCCTTCTCCGCGCGTGCCGCATGAAGGAAGATGTACTTGAATGGTGCAAAGCCGAAGGCCACGTCGGCGAACTCAGCGATGGCGAAGACTGGTACGATCGTGAGAAATGGGGTCTGGCCGAAGGAGAGGACCTCAAGAAGGGCGCGGACGAAGACGACATTGAGCCTGTCGAAGAAAGTCGGACGTCGAACAAGCGAGGCAGAGGTCGACGAGCTTAGCCTCTGTCTTCTCGTCTATTTGCTCTTTTTTCTCTCACGGCCGACCTCTTCTTTTTTCTTTTTCCCTTGTCGCTCATCTACGAATGCAGGCATCGATTCTTATCTTAATGCCATCTTAGAGAACCCATAGCGCGGAGTTGGCGGTGTTCAACCCTTCTGAGGCACTGATTATCCATGACATGATTCTGGACTGAATGATGACCAAGCCCTCTTCCTTGCTTCCTGTTCCATTTCTCTGGAAAGTTTGCATGTAGCGCACAAGCACACTGCATACACACACCACATACATACACACACTTGATACCCACCCCCCAATTTACCTACGCTCCTATCATATATCCAATTATTTTGTACAGAGAACAACAATCACTTAGTAGTGTACGGGCACATACTCCATCAATGCGATCTATACATCAATAACCATGAGATCTAAATCGAAGCTCAGAAAAAGAAAATACAATAAAAGAATAGAAACAATTTTTATCTCCCCAGTTTTGGTGTAAAACTCTTCCATCCTCACTTCCGTTTCCCGCATATTATGGTGTTCTGTGGTGTGTGAGAGTCGAGGAATGGTGGTCATGTATCGTTGAGGAATACTGTGGGTTGGGGGGGGGGGGGGGGTGCATTTTTCACTCCCTCTGCTGGACGGACTGCCGGTGAGGCTGCCTTAGAGTGAGGTTATGTGTTGGGGGACAGTAGGCAGGTTGATGGTGTGGTGATTCCGATTTCATGCGAGAGCGAGAAGGGCTTAGTGATGTGTTGAAGACGCCCTAGAGCTCCCTTTCATTGGCGCGTTGGGGAGAAAGAGAGCTGCATCGCAATCCGCATGGGATGATGTATATCAGTGCCAGGGAAGGCCCGCGGTGGGAGGGGCACCACTGCTCCCTAACAGAACATCGAATATCGAATTGCCTGTCGGAAGGTACTGGCTGAAGTTACAGGTTCTTCTTGCCGCCTTGCTTGCCCTTGGCACGCTCGCGCTCGCGCTTGGCGTAGATTTCGGCAGTGAAGGGACTACATGCGGACGGTTTGTGGTTAGTTGGGTGATTGATTGTGGAGGACCAGTTTTGAGGGAAATATCTCTCCAAATCAGAAATCGCGTCTGGGCAGGGACTGCTCGCGTGGGACGGTGGGGAGGGAGCCTGGGGGTTGTCGCGTCTGGGATGGTCGAGTAGAGGCTGGCTGATAGTCCGCGTGGTATTGAGGTCCCCGGAGCATGATGGATGAGGAAAGGATGGGGGAGAGGGGGCTGGGTTCGGAGAGAACAGTTGGATGAAAGGGAAATACTTACTCCTCCCATTGGAGAGCGAACCAGTAGAGAATGAAAACTTCGGCCGTCAAGAACAGTCCTGCGACTTTACCTCTGTACAGGGCTACACCCAAGAAGTTGAGGGTGCTTCCCCAGTACATTGGCGAGCCGGTGACGTTGAAGGGAAACCCAGTGACGGGTGCATCCATGAGGATTCCGAAATAGTCTCCCAAGTAGGTGCCGGTCACACCGAGCGCCCACATGCTGGATAGGACGAGAACCGAGCCGACGGAGAAGAGAAGCCCGCCGAGGACGGGTTGGTGCACTGGGGCATAGTAAGGCTGGTCTGCTAGGGCCGTTTGGTAGACGTGGTCGCGTAGGATTCCAATGCCGAAAATGGTGACGGCGAGGAAGTAGCAGCCGTAATAGGGATTACCACCGAAGATACGAGTCAGAAAGTGATTGCGATACTCTACAGGATGAGATGAGAATGAGTTTCAGTCATTCTGAAAGGTCGAACCAAGAGTTGTGAATTTGTGCGAATTTTCGCCAGGCTGGCAGGCAGACCTGATTAATTGGAAGGGGGAAGAAGTGTGGGGACCAACCAGCACGTGCAACAATGCTGGATTTGAGATATACGTTAGTCTAATCAAGAGAAAAGTCAGGAGTGAAAAGTTCTCATCATCAGTACTTACTTCCAGAAAATGGGGTTGAAGGCAATGGACAACGCAGCCCCTACACAAAGAGTGGAGTTGAGAATCACATGCGGGGGAGAACCGGGGAAGAACTCATTGACAACATACACTGCAGGGATGGTTGAGACAAGTCGACAAAGTTGGATAGGGACGCCATATTGCAGAACAGGACACAATACAAGAGAGGGTGATTGTCAGCTCCGAGAAGAAACAGAAGAGTGAAGAGGAAAGGAAGAGAGAGAAAGAGTGAGAGGGAGAGGAGAGGGAGAAGTGAAAGACGAGGAACAGGAAAGACCATTAGAGATGCGGTGGTGGAGAAGGAAGAAGCCCAAAGCGGCATGACGTCGTTTACTCCTACTTCTAGGCTCCGAGGCCCCCAACGCTTTCTGGTCTGCATTTGGTGCTGCATGTGCACATCGTGACCCTCGGATTTTCTTTTTTCTTTTTTTTTTTTTTTTTTTTTTTCCTTTTCCTTTTTTTTTTCCAATAAAGTCACTGCACTCAGAACTGTACCGATTCAAATGCACTCTCTATGCTTCAAGCGTGCTATGCCTCGTACTGGGTGTCTCCGTGTTTATAACCAATGCTTATTCCAGCTACGTTGTTGACAATACTCCCAATGTAGTATAGCGGGTATTTTGTCCAGTATTGTACTGTTATATTACATCCTCTACCAGGGAGGCCCCGGCTTCCGGATCAACCAAACTTCCTCACCGCCTGCATCTTATCATCCCCCCATCGTTCCATGCATTATCTCATCGTGGTTAACTTAACTTGGTTATCTCGACACCAGATCATAATATCCCCCCTAAAATTGTTTCAGTCAAGGGGAAACTAGTTGAGACCTCAAAAATACACCGAAACAAGTAACATGTCAAATTCTACGTCTATGCTCGGTTCTTATCGTGCTTAACCCGGCATGGCAGTACGACTGATCCGGGGACAATGGCCCTCAAGCGTCAAGAGTACATCCTGCTGGCCATCGGTGCTTTCATAGCTTGGGGATTGGTCACCCAGTGGCTGCCTGTGCTCAGATACCTGGCCCATGCACTGGTCCTAGGTGTCTTTCTCACCTCAATCACACTACTTCTTGTTATTTGTCTTACGACGCGACCTACAGCTGATGCAGCGTCCCCCGCCCTGAACAAGCGCCCCGTCGCCTTCCTCACCCGCCGCCATTGGGACCAAGAAGCGCGAGGTGTACAGAACCGTGCAATCTACAAACCCGACTCGCTTTATCCTCAGTCATTTGTGGTCTCAGAGGGCATTGATGAAGTTCTAAGTCTAGCCACGCGCGATTTTGTCGCGTCGTGGTATCAACATATTAGCCCGAACCCCGCATTCGTGAACGAGGTCGACCGAGTGATCCGAACCGCCATTGAAAACCTGCGCGAGCGATTGCTAGCAGAGGATTTAGTCTCGCTTCTCGTCTCCCGCATATTCCCCATACTCACAACCCACCTGAAGGAGTTCGATGTTGCGGAGCGATTGGTGCGGGGAAGAAATCTTACTCGGAATGTCACCGAGTCGGACGAGCTGGATCTGGCCATAGCGAGCAAGTATCGGGAGGGCAATATACACCCGGCAGCGAGAGTTGCCTTGTCCGACCAGAAGCTCGTCGAGCAAGAATACCTTCGCAAAATCACCGTTGGGTTGTTGCCAAAACTGTTTCCGGCCTCGGTACTCAATAGCCGCATTGTGTCCGTCATAGTGCGAGAAATTCTCGCATGCGCCGTACTGTATCCTATTGTTGCGGCCCTTTCAGACCCAGACACGTGGAATCAGTTGGTGGAGGCTTACGGGCGCACTGCCATACAGGACCGAAAGACGGTTCGAAAGCTGCGGGCGGCACTAGATGAACACGCCTCACCAGCACCAAGATCGAAGCGCGGGAGCCAATTTCCACGTCTAGGTCCTCATGATTCAGAAAGAGCCTTTGAGAGATTGGTGCGAGCGATCCGGCGCTGCGACAACATCTCCGATGCTAGACGGTTCAGAGCTCTCATTGTAAGCCAGCTGAAGCGAGAATCTATGGTAGAAGGACAAGATGCGACCTACTTACAAAGGCTGGAAACGGCTAAGAGGGTTCTGGATCAAAAAGTAACCAAGCTTTCCACGCCTGCAGGGAGCCGTGTGTCGCACGCCTCGGCGGCAGCATCCCACTTCCGGCGCAAGAACTCCGCATCTCGTGAGGCATCGTTGGTCGACGTGATGCACGATGCCTCAGGACTTTCTTACTTCATGGAGTTTATGGACCGTCAAAAGCTGATGTCTCTGGTGCAGTTCTGGATCGTTGTTGATGGGTTCCGCAATCCCCTGGAAGATGATTTCGGAGACGAGGACTCTCCAACCTCAACATCATGGACGCCCACAGACCAGAATGATATGGCGTTGATTAGCCAGCGTTACCTGAACAAACCTGAGTTGAAAGTGCCGGAAGAATCCCGTCGAGCAGTGAAAGCGTTCCTAAACGCAGGCAAGCGAGCCACTGCGGACCAGTACCGTAAAGCACGGACTGTAATTCTGACGACTCAGTCTGCGGTACTCGAGGAGCTCCAGAGCACCTATTATACCAAATTCAAGAAGTCCGATCTTTACTACAAATACCTTGCGTCAGATGAAGTTTCTCAGTCTGCGTCTTATGTGCCTCCTCAATCCCCCAGCACCGCCGATCTTCCCGAGAGACGACCGCTCCCTCCGCTGATGACCCGTACCTCCTCACAAGCAAGTGCCAAACTCAAAGATCTGAGACGTGCAGCTGTGTCATCAAGCGATGTACGAAGTATGGGCAAGAAGCTCGATGACGATGACTCCTCAAGACGTTCATTTGATTCTGAAAGGTCGGCTCCCTTGTTTGATGACGACTACGACACCGATCCTCTTGCCATGTCGACCCAGAGTCTTGGACAGGACTCGCAGAATGGCGACAATGAAGCGAATCAGAATCAGGTGATCGAGACGATGGAAGCTGCCTTAAATGATATTATCACAAACCAGCCCGGAAACAGTAGATTGGAAGATCTGAAGAGCGGAGAGTCATCTCCAACGCGTCTTTCAGCCGGTGATCTGTTCCCACGCTCTCCGCGCAGCTCGGCTGAGTATGCTCGCGCGGAGAATCGGCTAGATGAACGGGCCAAACCGAGCATTGCCTCGCTCGGACTCATCGATCGATCTTCACGGCATGGCGTCTTTGACGATGATCTTTTCGCCGACCAGCAGAAGTTCATCGAAGATGAATATGAAGAACCTCTGGGATCAGACAAAGACCCGGCTGATGAAGTTCATGAAGCTGCGCCCGGAGACTTAGGACTGACGGAAGCCATTGAGGCGCTCACAACCGAGATTGAGAAGCTAGGATCGCAAGAATCTGTCGTCAACACTCTTACTCGGAAAGCCGAGCTCACAAACAACACTGCAGAATTGAGAATTCTGCGCAAATCTAAGGCGAGCATCCAGCGTGAGATTCACCGGAAAGAAATGCAACGGCAACAGTACATCATTCAAGAGAGCGATAACAGCTTGTACGGCCGATCAACGGTCCGGATTAAATCCATCGTAGTAGGGAAGGAGGAGGACGGTCGAGAATTCGCTATGTGTAAGTCCAGAACATGCGCTCCTTTCATAGATGTCAAGATATCGAACAACGAACTGACCGACACCAAGATGTCATCGAAGTGCAAAGAAATGCCGGAGAGCAAATGCCAGCGGCATCCTGGGCGGTCGCGCGTCGCTATAGCGAGTTCCATGAACTTCACACTAAACTACGCATGAGATACCCGTCCGTGAGGCATCTGGACTTCCCACGCCGCCGGGTAGTTCTGAAGCTCCAAAAGGAATTCCTTCAGAAGAGACGCCTAGCCCTCGAACAATACCTGCAGAAACTGCTCCTCCTCCCTGAAGTCTGCCGCAGCCGAGACCTGCGAGCATTCTTGTCCCAGCGAGCAATCACGCAGCGCGACGAGACACAAAGCTCCCGTGACGGGGAGACTAAAGACCTGGTAACCCGGATCTACAATTCCGTCGCCGACGGCATGGACGACTTCCTCGGCAATTTTGGCGTGCTCGACCAACTGTCCACGGCCGGACAAAACCTCATCTCTGCCGCCACCAACACCAATCCTAATGGCAACCTCACCACTTCAAACACAACCAGCACTGTGCCCCTCTCCCCCGAAGACGCCGTCACCGCCGCCGAGGCTGAAGCTGAACTCAACGCCTTCGAGGACCGCGACCTCGAGCCCTTCATCAAACCCATCTGCGATCTCTTCCTCGAGGCCTTCGAACTCAACAAAGGCAACAACTGGCTGCGCGGGCGCGCCGTCGTTGTCGTCATCCATCAACTTCTGGGCGGCACCATCGAGCGCAAGGTCCGCGACGGCGCCCGTTCCCTCGTGCAGGACGACTCTCTCCTCCGCTATCTGGCCCTGGCCAAGGACACCATGTGGCCCGGCGGGACCCTGCGCCAGAGCAAAGCCCGCACCCCACCCGAACGCCTCCGCAGCCGCACCGAGGCCAGCCTCGTCCTGGCGACCTTGATCCCCGACCTGGCGGGCAACGTCGTCGGGCGGGCCAACGCGCAAGCCGCGGCCCGGCGCATCTTCGCCACACTGAACAACCCGCGATTGAATGCCCATCTGGCGTTCACGATCTTAGACGAGATTGTCCTGGTGTTGTTTGGGAGTGGTGGTGGTGGTGGTGGTGGTGGTGGTGGTGGTGGGGGTCCTCTCGACAGCATCGGACGCGGGCGTTAGACCCACTCAGTCTCCATAACCTAATCTCTCCACACTTTATGCCATTGACGATGACCCGGACCGTGTTTGTTGTTGTATACTTATCATCCCCCTTATGCTGTCTTTCTGTTTCCCCTTTCCGGCCCCTTCTAATCATTTTGCCGCTCCATTGCATTTGAGTTTAGCGGGTGTTTTGCTTGATGCATTGTTGGGCTGTCTGAGGCTTTTCTCAATTTCACTGTCTACTTTCGTCTGCTTTCCGTTATTGCAAATAAGCATGTTTCTTTCCTTCTGTGGATGGTGGTTTGCTGCCTGCATCTAATACTAATATCTGTTGATTCTCACAATTCATGGCTACAGGTGAGATGGAACAATCATTTTCGTTCGTCCAGTGGAAGGTATTAAGGTGAATACCACTTTGCATCGGTACGCATAAAGACAAGAGGAATGTAGAAGTAGGTGAATTGAAGGTAGTTGAGGAAGCACCAAGTTGAAGGAAGGTGGAGACTAGCAAGTGGCTAGCGCGTGACGCTACGGCACTAGCCTGGGTCTTAGCGATCGGAAGTACTGCGTACTTACTATACTTCGATTCTATGCCTACAACAAATCAAAGTGGCTGGTTCCGCCTGGTATGGCATTATGGTGAAAAGTGTCAAAAGTGTCCTTGTAAATGATGGAAATCTGTTGGTCGAAAGGAACATGTACCACCGTCCATTTCGACGCCCAGCCAATTCATTTGGATGTTAGTGGGGGTTCACTTTCCGCAGCCTTGTAACACCACACCGGTGGCCCCATGAGCGCCGAGACAACGTCCTTGACGATCGAGAATAACGAAAGTGACCACAAGATGGAACAATCATAGAGAGAGAGAATCTGGAAACACGCGAAGATAGAGAGGGTTTCAAAATTACAAAGGATTAGATAGCATCTCCCGCCTTGCCCGCCCCCCGCTTAATCAACGATGCCTTTTGCCTTTTCTCCATTTTCCCTACCACGGATAGGGGGATAGTACACAAGAGGAAAGTCAATCGGACAACAGCGAGAGGGTCAAGGGAGGAGGTCATGGTAGTTCGTTACGAGAGGGTAGAGGGTGGGGAGAAACGGCATCACGCATCAAGTCTGGGCAGCCTCTCTATGCGTCCTCGTTCTTCTTCTTCTTGGACTTCTTGCTGCTGGGCTGGGCGGGAGGACCCTGCTTGGTCTGGTGGACAATGAGGCGTGTCCAGGAGTCATCCTTGTCCCACTCGAAACCTTTGAGGTAGGGATCGGTCAATATGTCGTCGGGCTGCGTGTGGGTCAGTTTATTTTCTTCGTGTGTGTGTGTGTGTGTGTGTGTGTGAGTAGGTGGTGAGCCGACGTACCTGTTTCTTGAACTGCTTGTAGATTGCCTCCAGCGCATCCTTTATCGTGACGCCCTTCATGTTGCGGGCCGTGACCTCCAGGCCCAGGGGGAAGTGCAGGTCGATCTTCTTGACCGGGGGATTGACGAGGTGGAGTTTGAGGATGTCCTTGTCTTCGACGGTGGACGGGGAAGTATTGAGCTTCCTGTTCGTTCGACAACGGTGCATGGTTAGAGAGAGTGGGTCATGGTTTGCTGGATGGAAGCGTGGTGATGGAGCTCTTACCATCCTGTGCGTTGTGTCTCAATGGGCAGGGTCAATTCGATCTTCTTCTCCTCTGTTCGGATGGTTAGTGCGTGGGGTGGGGCAGGTGAGAACCAAAGGCAAGATACGGACCGAGTTCCTTGATGTTGTAGACGCCTTCCGCGGTGGAGGAGTGACGTCTGTGCTTGGTGTCCTTGGTGTCCTTGGTGTCCTTGGTGACCTGGACGGGTTTCTCGTCCTTAGCCGTTATCGTCAGGCCTGCGACGGCAGAGTCGACTCGGGTGAGTTCTTCCGACATGGTTGATGATGGTATGCGGCTGGAATCACTGGCTGGTGATATGAAGAGTCGTTTGGTTAGTGATGTTGATGGTGATGATGATGAAAGATGGGGACGAACAAGGGTGGTGCAGATGGATAGGAATGGACTACGACTCCGAAAGCTTTTAAGCTACAGAGGGAAGAGAAGAGCAAGTGAGAGGAAGGAGGAACAGATGGGATGGAATGGGATGAAGTAAAGAGAAACCAGGGTCAGGGTCGAAAGCTTACCGAACAGTGAATTGAGTGGAAGTAGCGGGATGAGATGGGATGGCAGTGAATGAGAGATGAGAGAGTGTTCCAATGGATGAAGGATGAAGTAGGAAGAGAAGAAGAAGGAGAATGGAAGAGGCGAGGGGAAGTCCAGGAACTTTAAGAGGAGTGCGATGGAGCGGCGGAGGAGGAGGTTGTAAGGAGGGTGGGCAGGTGACCGAGGACTGGTTCAACCACTCCCCAGTTGGCATCCAAGCATGAAACCCCCGGGTTCCATGTCTATTGGGAGCATCAACGGGTCATCTACTATGAGGAGTAGTCAGAATCCAGTCGGTACATGCTGTGCATGGTAGTTCTGCTATACCTATCTTAGTACAGTACTTAGTAGTAGTAAACACCTTAGAGGTAACCATCGATTGTGTACTCTACAGACACTACAACATCATCTCCATCAAAAGAATCAACCCCAACATGTTCCAGCTACCATTGCCTGGATGTCGGATCGTAAGTTGTTGTACGGAGTACGTTCCATCTACATAGTAGTGAGATCACACGAGCAGCTCCTGACGTCGGAAGCGGCCACTAAGAGCTTCCCATTGCACTAAGAGCTGCACCCCGCATTCCCACCGCGGGCGGCTTTGCTCCACTTCCACTTCCATCGACAGACTGACTGATAGTCTGATAGTCTGACTGGACTGACACTGACACTGACACTGACACTGACACTGACACCTAGAACAAAGTACTTTTTTCCCAACTCAACGTACCACTCAAATCTCTGGTTACTGCCACTCACTCCCCGGTTTTCTGATGACACCACCAATCCAGTTTCCAAATTTACCCTGAAACCAGAGATCTGCTTCCACCCGCTCGCTCCTCTTTCCACTCTTTCCAACCCACACCCCCCTCCCTCCATCTTCCGATTGATCATCCTTTCCCTAAAAAAATGGATGACTTCATTGTCGAAGTTGCGTGGTTTTCCATCACCAAAGCCCAATCAATCGACACTGGCTTTCCGTGGTACAGTCCACCCTGGTTTCCGGGCAACACGTGAGCTTAAACTGGGGGGAGGGGGGTATTACCACCACGACAATGACCACGCCCACGTCCACAAGGGACATTCAGGCAATAATGGAAAAAAAGATGAGAGACAGAAGGAAAGTCAGGGATGCATAGTTGGTCGGGGACTGGGCCCCTCGATCAATCATGCCTTGGAGTGGTGGAGTGGTGGTGTGATGTGTGCGCTGATACCTCCCCTGGCCTGCGCTGCTCCGGTACCTTCTGCGACAAGCTCCGCCCGGGTCTGGAGATTCTCCAGAATGTCAATCCGAGGTCGATCGTATGGTGAAGGAGGTCGGCCATTGGTCTGCAGACTGTCTCAACGTGCAGCACCGGGCGGGGTTGGTCGCGAGCTGCGAATCACGACCAGCGACGCCTGCGGTTTTACCCCCGACGCTGTCGCCATCCTACTTTCCATTGAGGGGGAGAGGGGATTCTGGACTCATGGCTGGGTGCCTGTCCCGCATCTCCGTGTAGGTGTACAACGCGTACGAACGGATGAGTAAATTGGTAGACTAGGAAATGGGGTCGCAGAGTCGTTGTCAGTGGAGATGACTGGATATTTTGTAGCTTGTACTGTACTTTGTACAAGAACTGGTCCTCGCTACCGACAAAGGACCGCACCAGTAACAGCCAGCAACGATAAACAGTATACAGAGATGAGCATGGTACATGGTATGAGAGCAGGGTCTCTGAGACATCAACAGTCGAAACAATCACTCGCATGCATGAGTTGATAGATCTCTACGGAGTGCGCATCCATTCCACTGCACGCTAGAGGGTGACGACCCGAAATGGCCATCGCCTGCCGCATCGGGCATTGGCTGAGTCAGCAGCTGGGCCGGGCGGAAGGCGGTGTGACCCGGCAGGATCGAAGATATTCGAGGATTGTCTTGGAGACAATCCGGTCCGACATCGACAAACGAGCCTCGCTACTCCGTCAACAATTCCAGTGCTTCGCTCCCTAGCGCCTACCTCTACAACGAGCTCTGCTCCTGCTCTTAGCTTGCAAAAGTCAACGCAAGCAAGCATTGTGGAAGCCAATTCTTTGTCTCCAGCCGCCTGAGAATCCTTACCTCCAGATTCTGCCGTCCGCCAACCAAGTCATCGCGTGTGCTTTTCCTTTTTCGTCTCGCGTATCGGAGCTTGAGCTTTCGCTTTCCATCGCCTCCGGCCAACCGCCCTTTACCACATAATATACAACCTTCAGAGCGTCCGTCGTCATGTCGCTTTTCGGGAATGTCGGCGCTTCGTCGTCAGCGGGTGCCTCCAACACCACCGGTGACATCTCCAAGGATGTCGCCCTGAACCAACCTCCGGAAGACAGCATCTCGGACATTCGATTCTCGCCCGCCGCTGAACACCTTGCTGTCGCCTCGTGGGACAAGAAGGTGCGCATTTACGAGATCAATGAACAGGGACAGAGCGAAGGCAAAGCTTTCTTCGAGCACGAAGCCCCTGTATTGAACTGCTGTTGGTCACCGGTACGCGAAACCCCCCCCCTCCGGTCCGGTCCGCGCAATTGCTACCGAACGCCCTGCTTCCTCCCACTCGCGCGACTAACGCTTACTGACCCTGCCCTAGGATGGAACGAAAGTCGTCGGCGCCGGCGCGGACAAGGCGGCGCGCATGCTGGACCTGGCGTCGAATGCGACGACTCAAGTGGCGGCGCACGATGCGCCGATCCGCAGCTGCCACATGATTCCCAACCCGCAGGGGAATAGCCCGCTACTGATTACGGGATCGTGGGACAAGACGATAAAGTACTGGGACATCCGGCAGCAGACCCCGATCGCGACGGTGGAGTGCCAGGACCGCGTCTATACGATGGACGTCAAGAACAAGCTGCTGGTGGTCGGCACGGCGGACCGGTACATCAACATCATCAACCTCGACCAGCCGACCAAGTTCTTCAAGACGATGCAGTCCCCCCTCAAGTGGCAGACGCGGGTAGTCAGCTGCTTCGCCGACTCCACGGGTTTCGCCGTGGGCAGTGTCGAGGGCCGCTGCGCCATCCAGTACGTCGACGAGAAGGACTCGAGCTCCAACTTCAGCTTCAAGTGCCACCGCGAGACCCCGCCCAACCAGCGCGACATCAGCAACATCTACTCGGTCAACGCCATCTCCTTCCACCCCGTCCACGGCACCTTCAGCACCGCCGGCAGCGACGGCACCTTCCACTTCTGGGACAAGGATGCCAAACACCGCCTAAAGGGTTACCCCTCGGTCGGCGGCACCATCTCCACCACCGCTTTCAACCGCCAGGGCACCATCTTCGCCTACGCCGTCAGCTACGACTGGAGCAAGGGCTACTCCGCCAACACCCCACAACTCCCCAACAAGGTCATGTTGCACCCCGTGGCCCAGGAGGAAGTCAAGCCCCGACCCGGTACTCGCAAGCGGTAATCACCTGATCAGTGATGGGGGGGTAAGTTGGACGCCGAGAGAAAGAACGAAGGCGCGTGGACGGGAGGGCTCGGTGTGCAACGATATTTCTGGACGCATATGTGCGTGTCTGTGGGCATATCGGGGGACGCTATTTAGAGATCTTCGGAAGAAACAACAAGGTCGACACTGAGCAATCAAACGCACGGATTATCTCGGTCAGATCTTACTCACCTAACTGCCCTTCTCCCCACCCTTTCTCCATATTTTATGTATCTCTTTTTATCATCATCTTTTTGTGTTCTGGGAATAATGCATCTGAGCGTTTTATTTCAGGTTAGAAATGGTTCTTCTTGATTTCATAAGATAGAAGGTAGTGGGAACGTAGTCTGAGACGCCATTGCACAAGGTAGTTAGTCTGCAAAGGTCATACGGCTGGGGAGGGGATTCTAGATTCTTCGGAAGAAAACTTGATATCGATATCTCTACTATGACGAGCAATTCGATAATACCGAGAGACCCATGTTAAATGCCTCAACGATTGTTGAATAGAGCAGCAGGCCTGAATGGCAGAACCCGAAAATTACATAGGCCAGAACACCGCAGGCCACACACACTCACGCACCGTGCCCCTACCCTACCCGTAATCATGACGGAAAACCCCGAAGAACTATCCAGAAATTTGAAAGCATCACGACGATAGCAAAAGATAATAAAAGGATAATCTGGAATCAATCTGCATCATATCTCGTATCAACTCTGCGCATATGTATATGGAATGAGTAAAAGAAAAAGAAAAAGGAAAAAAAAAGGCTTCTAATTCAACCACACCCACGAACAAGACCCAAGTCGCTCTAAAAGACTTGCAAGAAGAGAGACATAAAACTTTCTTTCCTCGGGAAAACTAGCAATTCTTGAATGCTCTTTGAGGGTTGATTCGGAAGGAAGGGAGTTCAAGAGGTGGGAAGCGTCACCTGGGCGACACCGTCGGTGACCGTGTCGACAGCTTCGGTGGAGGACGAGGCATCGGATTTCTCGACACCACCTTTCGCGGAGGCCTCGACGGGTTGGCCGCCGGCAGCAGCAGCAGCAGCAGCCGCGGCAGCCTCCTTGGCCTTCTTCTCCTTCTTCTTGGCCTTGGCGGCGGCGTTGGCGGCCTTCTTTGCGGCGATCTTGGCGGCTTCTTCCTCCTTCTTCTGGCGGTCGGCCTGGGAGCCGCCGAAGAGGTCGCGCCACTCATCGGCCTTCTTGGGGTCGATGCGCGAGAAGAGGTACTGGGCCTTGCCGATCTTGTGGCCGGGCTTGACGGCGTCGGGCTTCCAGCCGTCCTTGAGGTCGTCGAGGGCGGGGATCAGGCTGAAGGGGACGGCGAGCTGCTCGTTGATCGCCTTGGAGGTGGCGGGGAGGTAGGGGGCGAAGACGCTGGCGAGCAGATGGATGAGGTTGAGCACGGTGCCGACGACGGCGGCGGCGCGCTCGGGCTCGTTGGCGATGAGCGAGTTGTCCAGGCGGTTGGCCTGGATCAGGCCGTTACCGATCTCGGCCAGCTTCATGGCGCTGACGACACCGGCGCGCAGGTGGGCGCCCTCCATCTCCTCGACGTACTGGCGCAGGGTGGCGGTCACCTCGTCCAGGGTGGGCTGGAAGGACTCCGGCACGGTGAACTCGGGCACCACCGACCCGTACGAGGCGATCACCAGCTTGATCACCCGGTTGACCAGGTTGCCCAGCTTGGCCAGCAGCTCGCTGTTGTTGCTGTCCACGAAGGAGCGCCACTCGAACTGCGTGTCGCCCGTCTCGGGCCGGTTCTTGAGCAGGTAGTACCGCCACACGTCCGGGGGCACGCCCGTCTGCTTGGCGTTGTTGCCGAACACCCCGATGCCGCGCGACTTGCTGAACTTGCCGCCCTCGTAGTTCAGGTACTCGGTCGTGCTGAGGTGGTGCAGCTTCGTCCACTTGTCGCCCGTGCCCATCTGGCAGCCGGGGAAGATAACGCTGTGGAACGGCACGTTGTCCTTGCCCAGGAACTGGTAGAGCTGTACCTCCTCCGGGTTGCGCCACCAGAGCTCCCAGTCCGGCGTGTAGTTGGCCGTGATGGACGGGTAGCCGATGCACGCCTCGAACCAGACGTAAAGCACCTTGTTCTCGAAGCCCTCCAGCGGCACGGGCACACCCCACTTCAGGTCACGGGTGATCCCGCGGTCCTTCAGACCCTCCTTCAGCCAGGACTCGGTGATGACGCGGGAGTTCTTGGGCCAGTCGCCCTTTTCGATGGCCTTGGCGGACCATTCCTCGATCTGCGGCTGAAGCTTGTCCAGCAGGAGGTGGATGTGTTTCGTCGCGCGGCGAACGGGGGTGGCGCCGTCCAGCTTGCAGCGGGGGTTGATGAGGTCGAAGGGGTCGAGGAGGTGGCCACACTTGTCGCACTGGTCACCCCGGGCGTCGTCGTAGTGGCAGCGAGGGCATTCTCCCTCGACGTAGCGATCGGCCAGGAAGGAGTTGTGCGTCTCACAGAACGGCTGCTCGGCGGTCTTCTCGGTCAGGTAGCCGTTGTCGTAGAGTCGCTTGAAGATGGCCTGGGAGATCTCGGTGTGCTGTTTCGTCGGGGTGCGGCCGAAGTGGTCGAAGCCAATCTCGAACCACTCGTATACTTCTTGGTGGATCTTGTTGTACTTGGCACACAGCTCCTCCGGGGTCACCTTCTCCTCCAACGCCTTGGTCTCCGTCGCAGTTCCGTACTCATCGGTACCGCAGATGTAGAGAGTCTGGTGTCCGGCGGCCTTGTGGTATCTAATTGACTGTCAGGTTAGATTGAAAGATCAGGCAATCGATGAGTGGGGGAGATTGAGGAGGATGAAGGGCAAGACGGACCTGGCGAAAACATCGGCGCTGAGCACGGAACCAACAATGTTACCCAAATGGGGGACGTTGTTCACGTAAGGCAGGGCACTGGTGACCAGAATATTGCGCTGGCCCTTCTTAGGAAGGATTTTGGAATTGTCGGACGCCATTTTTGTGGAAGGGCGAGAAGGAGGGGGGGGAGACGAGGAGGAGGGGAGGTGAAGATATTGGCGGGGTAAAGTAAAAGTTGCACGCCGGAGGGAGCAGTTTGGCAGTTTGTGTCGCTGCGCCGCTGCCGGAGGATGATTCATCGCCTCTTCCGATCTTTCTATTCTCCGCAACGCTTGCTTATCTACCTCTCTATCTACCGACCGACTCGCTATCGCGTTCTTCGCTCTATTCCGAATTTTTCTTTCCCTAGACTGCTCTCCGTGTCAATCAGTCTTTCTGGGTTGAGTTCCTTTGTTGTGTTTTTTTTTTATTTACGTTCTACCGGGTTCAGTCGTCTTTGCCCACACCCTCCGGCTTTCACCCCCACCCCCCACCAGGAAAAAAGAGGGGAAAATTCAATCCGCAATGGACGGTAATCTGCTGGAGAGTCTCCTGGACCTGGAGGAAGAATTCTATCAAGAGGGCTTCAACCTGGGCTCCGCGGACGGCGCCTTGGCTGGCTACACCGAAGGCAGTGTGTTCGCCGTCGAGAAAGGATTCGAGAAGTTCGTCGAGATCGGAAGACTGTACGGAAAGGCCTTGGTTTGGGCGCAGCGACTTGCAGACTCCGACCCGTCGGTCTCTGCCAAGGCCGTGCCGGAGTCGCAAACGGAGAATGGGACGAGTGACAAACCGAGCGAAGGATTGCTGGACCCATCTCTTTGCAAGGAGATGCCAAACCTGGTGACGAGCTCCAGACTGGCCAAGAATCTCGACACTCTGCTCGAATTAGTCGACCCGGCTTCTCTGCCGATGATGAACGATGAGGAGGCCGTCAACGACGTGGACGAACGCTACAAGGGCGCGGTCATGAAAGCCAAGCTCATCCAGCGTTCGCTGGGCGAAAAGGAAGACAATTCGGACATCCATCCGGACGCAAAGGAGACGTCGACTGCATCTGCAGGTGACGGAACAGGCAGCATCGAAGACATCAGCTCATTAAGTATTCGCCATTGAGGACCCTCGTTGCTGCCAGTCCGCAAATCCCGTCCGACGCATTGCTCTGCAAGGGATATCGCGGGTTTGCCTTGGCAACGGATCGGTTGCTTTTCCAGATCGGAGTTACTCCGAATCATTTGCTCGATCTGCCAAGTTGCAACCAAAGCCCCCTCAAGCTAAGATCCTTGATAGTCCATGACCTTACTGTGTTGTGGTTAGCTTGGGTGAATAGCTTCAGATACTCGGGCGAAACGCGAGGCCCGATCGCTCGCCACGCATCCCCGCAGCCGAGGTTTCCCCCGCCAAGTCGGTTTCTCACCCACATTTGGCCCTTCTTCACCCCCACGGAATTCTCTCGGATACTGAGAAGTTGGCTCACCGGTGTCGGTGTTGATCCCAGGCACCATTCCCTTTTTTGGGGTCACCCTCTCCATTTGGGGAGGCATGGTCCTCATCTATAAGTACCAGCCTTGGCCCGCTCAATTCTATCAGTTTCAATGCCATGAAATTGGATGCTCGGTCTTCCACCATATAGTGGGACTACCGCTTTTGTTCTCTAGTCCGGTAGTCATCATGCAGTCAATTTTTCTATCTTTGGTCTTTCTTGCCCCCGGACTGGCTCGTGCTCAAACAGGAGTCACACAGCCCATCTCAGAGGACTGCGGCCCCTCCGTGGTATGCATCAATCGCTATGGCAATGTCCTACCGTGAGTAACTTATGGTCATAGTCCAAATGTAGACCGACCATCTGATGCATAACTAGCTACCATTTTTTCCGCAATTTAACCACAATGGATGCACCCACCACATTTGGCGACACCACGGTAGCCAACGGGACAAAGCTGAACGACATCAAGTCGGCCGATTTCATTGTGTACAACAAGGAGAAAGGTCTCGAGGCTTTAGGGCCCAGCCCCAGTTACGAGTATGTCTTTGCGGTGAATGAGGCCGTGCACGAGGCCCCCGTCTATGTAGCGTCACAGAACAAGCTGTATTTGTCGCAGCTGGCTCCTCCTACTGGCTATCTCCCGCAGCTTGTGGTCGACCTAAACCAGGATCCCCCAACATTATCCGAGTTTCTGTCTGATCCACCCGTATACGCACCTAATGGTGGTACCTTCCACGATGGTAAGATCATCTGGGGTGCCTCTGGTGGCAACACCTCCATTGGAGGTTCCGAGCAGCGCGTGGGATTAAGAACCCTGGATCCCGAGACCAATAAAACCGTCAGCTTGGTCAACAACTACTTTGGCTATTACTTCAACACGGTTGATGATCTTGCCGTTCATCCCAAGACGGGAGATATATGGTTCACCGATCCTCGTGAGTGCACAATACATCCTTCCTCGCACATCTGCTAACGGTCTCCAGAATACTCTTGGTTCAATGCCCTAACCGATACACCTCCTCAGCTACCCGCTGCCAGCTATCGTTATAACACTTCGTCCGGCGCAGTTGTCGTCGTCGATGACAGTATAGGACAGCCGAATGGCATTGCTTTCACCCCTGACGGTTCAGTCGTCTACATCAGCGACACAGCTGCTGTCAGCGCCCCGGTTGACCCGAAATACGGACATCCTGGCAGTACCTTTAACACTACTCACCGGAGGTAACTAATCTCGAGACTTTGTCTTTTACTTGCACTGACTCAAGATAACTGACATCATCCACCAGAACCATCTATGCCTTTGACATGAGTCAGGATGGAGCTCACGCCTATAACAAGCGGCCCGTTTACCTCGCACCTGGCTTCGTTCCCGATGGACTGAAAGTGGCCGCAAATGGCTACATTGTAACCGGCTGCGGTTATGGCGTGGACATTGTAGACCCGTCCGGGGAATTGCTGTTCACAATCCAGACGAATTACACGGTTCAGAATTTCGCCTGGACTGGCCCGGAGCTGAAGACGCTGTGGCTGATGGGGAATGGAGGAATCAGCAAAGTGGAATGGGAGCTTGCAGGGCAGGAGCTGAAATAAGTCGGGCTCCAGGAAGATTTGCATGAACATTTAATGGCATGGCTATTCTTATGATTGACGTCTAGATTGCATGTGCGTTGGAAGACTGGCAAGCACTGCTTCTCTTGTATTTCGAAGCATGATTACATTCTATACCTAGTTTAAAGGCTCGGGTCATCAGCCTGGCCTTGCAGAACTCCAATCTGTTGCTCGATTACTGTGTGATCACCTGCCGTCGAATCTAGTGGAATAAAGGCGAGCAGGTTATCAAGGGCCTGTCACGTGGTGTAAAGTCCTTTCCCTCTTATATCCTCTGCATCGATGATCCTTCGTCAGCGTTTTATAGAAGGGACTGGCATTCATCGTTCCATGAACTCTTGCGACAGACGAAACGCCGACTAGACAGATCCATGCAACAGAAAAAATCTGAAAGATATATGATAAACATCGCCTGATTTTCCACCCGTTGCCGCCCGGAGCCCTTGGGATATATCAGCTTATCGACAACGACGCCGACGCCGACGCCGACGCCGACGCCGACGCCAACAACGCGACTGAGGCATCGACACTGAGACTAACTCCCAGCTCCTTGATCCCAAACCAGATCACGGTCAGCCCTGCCTGTTTCAGTCATGCCTCTATAACTCACTTCTGCTCGCTTGTCCTTTCGCCATCGCCGAGGTCTGTCACCGAGGAGCTGTCATGCGTGCAATCTGTCAGTTTGACCTTCTCCTTTTCGGCATTCCTTATCGCTCCAACTCACCGATCGTTTGCCCTGCTGCATGTCCTAAGATTCAAAGCTGTTAGACATCATCATGGGCGCCAATATTGGCATCAAGCCTCTTAGTCACAGGATTACTGTCAGCCTTCTCCTCTCTGGCGCCACTATATCTCTTGTCTTCGCTTGACTCACCACCTTTCGCTTTTCAAGATTGGCTCCCTGGTCCGCGGGAAAAGCCGCTGCGAGTACGCAGAGGACTGCCAGCAGTAGAGCTGGATGCATGATCTTGGCGAATGCAAGCATTATTGTTGTGGTAGGCAGCGGAAGAGAGGAGAAAGGAAGACGAAGTTGAAGCGATGAATAACCGGATGGAATGGTCTGGACAATGGGGCACTGACAAGATATTTGGAAACAATCACAGCATATTTATACCTACGATTCCCGATGTCCTGTTTCGCAATCGTCATAGCCTTGTTTCCCAGTCTATTCTGTCCATCTGGATTTCCCTACTTCGGAAGGGACTCGACAAGCACCTGCTCAATTATTGAAATCGTACTTCCACTCACGCATTCACAACACCTTCCCATGCCTTGCATGATTTACACAACTACAGTCGGCCGTGTATCAGAACCAAGCGACAGGATTGGCTGGATCCCTTTGCCGAAGAGCACCCAGGAAACGAGGCCTCTCTCTGGCTGAAGTATGCGGCAATGTTCTGCAGACCGTGTCTCAATAGTCTTTTCTGCAGGGATCAGACTTGCAGATACGAGCTCTGATCGAGGTAGGGATTGATATGACTATCAATCGTTAGTTATTCTCGCGTGCAGCACCGAAGCCAAGTAAGTTGGCGTGATGGGATGTGGCTGCATTTCGGGGAATTTTTCCAAGGATCGTCACCCAACCAGAGCTGAGACATCATCCATGCTAGCGGCACACGGGCTGCTTCTCACGATTGTGGTCTGTGAAGATCGATTTGCATAGATGCAAAGGCCATCGCTGATGCTTTTTAATTCTTTATCCTGGGATCCAATTCTGCAGGCGGACCGCATCCGGTGTAGGAAATTTCGGTGACTATGAGATTAGTGAATGAATGGCCTTGTGAGAGACGTCCAAATTGGCGTTTGAATGCAGCATAATAGGTCTCGAAGGGGGCAGTATTGAGAATCCTGATGGGGATGCCCGCCATAGCATCTGCGTCTACTTTATGATGCCTGCTGTCTACGTTGATCCGGACTTCTGTCTCGCGTTTGACTAACCGAACCTCCGTCAGCATGGTAGCCTCAACTGCCTGGTCAGTATTCCAAGTTCCACTGGGCATCTGTTTGTTCTTGTTTATGCTCGGACAAATCGGATGTCGACCGTGGAGCTCTGCTCTCGCAAACCACTCGAGCCAACCAGCAGTGGATCAAGAACAGGACAGACACAAACTTCCCGACTTCATCCAGTCCTGGGAGACTTACAAGAACTACACCAGCCATCACAGAACTTTTACCGGCCACGCGGACCGTCAGGCGACCATCGACATCCTCAAATCCCGCGTCCCGGCATCCCGCATCCAGGAGGACGATGACCCGGACCAAACAACGCTTTTCACCGACCGGTACCGACTCGAGATCGATCAACGGGGAATCCTCGGTCACGGGGCCAGTGGCTATGTCTATCCCGGCATCTTGTCCCATCTGAGGCTCAACGAAGCCCAGGATGTCGCCGTGAAGGTCTCGCATCACCCCCATGTGCTGTGGGAGGCTCAGCTAATGGATGTCATTCACGGCGATCACCTGCTCCATTACCTGGAGACGGTATCCATTCCCCAACCAGAAGATGACAAGGCGGCAAATGGACTGGTATATGCAATGGTCATGCCGCGCATGCAGGGGACTCTGCACTCATGGGCGGCCAGGTCGCCGTCGAGCGAGGAGTCAGAGCAGCGGACTCGCTCCGCTATGCTGCAGATGTGGGAAGGGTTGGTCCAGCTGCACGCGCAGGGGTTCGCGCATCGCGACGTGAAGCTCGCGAATATGGTGTATAGATGGAACGAGACGGGAGAGATGCACGTCCTCCTCTCGGATCTGGATCGCGCTACCCCTGCCCGAGAGGTGAGAGGCAGTGCAGGGACTTTGGGGTATCTATCTCAAGGTAGGTCATTAAAGTAAGGGATCGGAAGCTCTACTGACGCACGAGCAGAGATCCTACTCGACCATAAACACGACCCGATGAGCTCGGATGTCTTTGCCATGGCGATGTCGTTCCTGGGATTGGTCTCCAGCAAAATGTCGGCTGATCGGGACTTTCGTATGCTGGTGTGGAAGAGTGTGGTTGATGCTGCGACACAGTCGCGCGTCGAAACCACTCTGCTTGGTTTGTTTGGCAGCAGCTTATCTGCGAGGCAGGCGGGGCTGTTAGCGAAAGCGCTGTGCGAGCAAGAGGGGGAGGACGATGGCAGATGGATGCGGCGCTTCACGGCCGAGGAGTTTCTTGGTGAGCTGCGAGAGATGATGGACAGTGGGCTGTGGTAATATGTGTATTGTGTATTGCAGTTCTGCAGTGCGGACCACGTGAGTATCAGTCAGTTGTTGTGTGTTATCTAAGATCCTCTTCTACATTCCTATCCGCTGTCTGTTGTCTGTGTTTGCATGAATCTACGATACTCCTGTGGTTCATCCACTCTTTTCATTCCAACTTCAACATCCTTGTCCCTCCATCTGTTGGCACAAGTGCCTGGTATTCCATACCCTACCCCATTCATTGTGCCATCTACAACTTCCTTCTAGAACACATATGGAGGGTTTGTTTATCACTGTCACCGCTCGAAGATCTGATACTTATGCACACGGAAAAACAAACCGCCGACTGCTAAGTGAAGGCACAGCCTTGTGGACTAAATTACCCCGCTCCAACCAACCATGGCTGCCATACACCCCGCGAGGCGATTCAGTGCCCATTGTTGGCATCGGCATTGGCATTCAGTATGGACCCCCTAAGCGCCTTCTCGCTCGCGTGTAACATTCTTCAAGTCATCGAACTGGGTCAGAAAACCCTGACCCTGACCCTGAACTACCGCAAAGCCAGCACGGGCGAACCACGCGAGCACGAGGATCTGCAAGGAGTGCTGCAATGCCTGATCAGTTTGAATGTCGACCTGCACGCCTCGATCCCGACCTCCACCGAGCCAGGCAGTCTCACCCCGGCGCTGGCTCGGTTGAAACAGGCCAACGAAGAGTGTCTTCGTCTGTCGATCGAGTTCGTAGACTTGTTGAACAAGCTGAAGCTCCGCACCCCCCATGCATTGCTGGAGTCCATCCGGGCCAGCATCAAGACGCTATGGAACCGCGACCGCATGGAAGCTATGTCTAAAGCTGTTGGTCGGGCGCGGGAGAATCTCAACACCGCCCTGCTCTTTTACCTCAAGTATGTCCCTGGCCGATGCTTGACTGGACTGTCACTAAGTGCGTGGTAGAGATACTCAAGCCACCGTGGCGGGCCAGGATCAGATTCTCCAATCGACGGCTCAGCTAGAGGACAACGTCTTGTCTGCACTGGAGGAACGCTGTGCACTGATCCGAGCCGACGTACGCCAGGTTCTGGAGCAGGTGCAGGCACCCGGCGTGAACCAAGCGGCAGAAACTCAGCTTCTGGTCTCGCATCGGCATCAGCTCGACTACCTTCAACGTCAGATCCATGGCATTCTCGATCGACAAGAACATCTGAGCAACCTGGATGAGCAAAGAAGACAAGCAGAAACCCACCAAATGTTCTTGGCTAGCATTCAATTTCCGCAGATGCAGGAACGTGCTCAACAGATTCGTACCGCACACGAAAAGACCTACCGATGGGTCCTGCAACCCAAAAACTTGAGTTCGGTGGTGGCTTGGCTATCTGCTCCCACGGACAGCGAACCTATCTACTGGATTTCCGGCAAACCGGGTGCGGGGAAGTCGACCCTGTTGCGCTACCTGGACCAAAATCTGGATTATGAGGAGCATATGCTTCCCTGGGCAAGTGGGGTTACCGTTATTCGAGCTTCATATTACTTCTGGAACGCAGGAAATGCGCTGCAGAAGTCTTTCGATGGACTCGTGCGATCCTTGCTTGCTCAGATACTCGAACAGCAGCCTGAGCTGATAGCTCGCATCACGACACTCGGACCAAAGTACAATCCCCGAACTTGGGGTTCGAGTGCTGTGGAATGGACCCAGTCTGAGCTACTGAGTCTACTTCATATCTGCATTGGCGCACTGCAAGACCGCTACAAAGTTCTCCTTCTTATCGATGGCCTAGATGAATATGAAGGCACCGACGAGTTGCGGCGGGACGTAATCCGAACTTTGTTTGGGCTGAACGGAATGGCGAACGTGAAGATATGCCTGTCAAGCCGGCCTTGGAACGTATTCCGAGATGCCTTCAGCAGCACACCGCAACTACGATTAGAAGACCTTACTTATCAGGATATTAGCACCTATATCAAGACCGAGCTTACCAAATCCCTCCGCTTTCGATATCTTCACCTGCGCCAGAAAGCTGAGGCAGACAGACTAATCTTAGCGATGACTGAAAAGGCCGCTGGGGTTTTCTTATGGGTCCGGCTCGTGGTCCGCGACCTACTCGAAGCTCTCCAGGATGGCGATAATATGGCTGCCTTATCGCGAAAGCTCAACGGCATCCCCGCTGACCTGGATGAATACTTCCGTAGGATGATTGATTCGATTCCTTCCCTGCACAGACGAGAAGCGTCAAAAATGATTCAACTCGCATTGCATGAGGAGACCGCGTTCACCGCACTCCACCCGCTGCGGATGCTTGATCTCTTGTTCATTGACGAGCCTGTCCTTGACTTTGCAGACGCAGGACCGTCGAATTATCCCATTCTAGATCTAGCCGATCGTGAAGGACTTGCATTTATGCTCGACTCTACGTACCGCAGGCTCAACAGTCGGTGTATGGGACTGCTGGAGTGCGTATTTGATTTGGAGTTCTCTGGTTTTCTTGACCTTACCACTCCGGATTTCCTGGAGGCCTACGATGGCCATCAATTCAGTTCTGCGCTGTGTATACAGATTGCGGAGTCGGCAGAGATAGGACACACCTTCATGCTAACTATCAACTTCTTACATCGCAGCTGCCGGGACTTTCTTCGATCTCCTGAGATACAGGAGTTACTGCATCAATACACCGGCGGGCCCTTTGACGCAAGGCGGTACCTGGTCAACGCCAGAATCTGTCAACTTCAAGCCTTGATGGTTGCTGGAATCAACCTTGAATTGAGTTTTGGCATCGCTAGTTATTTGGCGAGCGCACTAGCAGTGCCCGGATGGAGGGAGTCCGCCCCAGCCATCAGAGCAGCCCGAGTGCTGGACCCAGTCATTGAATTTCTCCTATCAGCGAGCGACCACAACAGTAGCATGGATGTCGGCTGGTACATAGGCAAACTGGCAGGCAGATGGGCGGATGAACGAAGCTGTTTCCTGACTCTCGCTATCGACTTTGACCTGCGAGGCTATGTCAGGGCATGTCTCGGTCCGGCGCAAGTCCGCAACAAGGCAGGCCGCCCGATCCTGGACCATGTTCTCCAGCCAGAGTTCTGCCGGCGTCGTGGCTCCCTGGGTATCGGATACTCGTTGGTCAGCCCCGAACTCGTGCGCCTTGTGCTCGAAAACGGAGGCGACCCTAATGAATCTTACCGAGGAGGGACCGTCTGGGCACGATTTCTCGCGTGGACAGCAGGTTGCTTAGTTGATTATCTCACTGTTGACGCCGAATTTGTCCAGGCCCACGTCGAGTCTATCGCGCTGCTGCTACAGCACGGTGCGACACTCGTGATTCCCCATTCCTGGCTTGCAAGCAGCAGTTCCGGCTGGGCAAAGGTAATGACCCACCCGGATTCAGGCCTGCAGGAAGGCGATCGATTCCGTCGCCAGACATCACCCGTCTCAGCCCCCCCTCACACGGCTTCTATCGTGGACCAGCCATGTTATGCCGTTACCGATCTCCTGCAAGCGTTCCGCCCATGGTTCGGAGGAGAGATCGACCGGCTGATTGCTCTCGCGCAACGCTCTGCCACCGTTTCTGCCTTAGGGCAGGGCATCACGACCCTTCCTCTTCGGCCTAGAACCGAGTTTCTTCGACCCGGGGTAGAATCTGTATAGTGTGCAGGTCGGCAAGCAGAGCCGGGGGCCACTCACACACCTCGCACCAAGTTATGTTTCTGCTCGTAGGAACTTGGAATGGATGAGGTCAAAACGGGTGAAAACAGGTGGGGATGAAGGCAGCAATGAATTTACTGCTTAGTAGGGTAGGTCAAGTGAAAGGAACATCTAACAAAACGCTCAATCCTATCAACGAGAACTAAAGTCTATACTATCTCATAGCGAAGCTAGGGAAACCCCAGGCTCTGCCTCCTGGTTTATTATAGTGCAACCTATCATCCCCGAAACACAAAGTCGAGGATCCCGAACGGCGATCCGGCAGGAAGATAAACCTCCCGCAAGTCAAAGCGATCATCGGCTTGCTTAATCACATCTGTCCAGTCGTGGATGGTCCGCTCTTTCGAGTTACACGCCACGTGCATCTGTAGATCCATGGCCGCGACCGATTTCCTGACCGGCAATGGAATCGCCAGCTTGTTCTGGGCATCGTCATACTCCGCGGGCACCACGAAATCAAAGACGAGCAAGTGATTCCCCGGCTTCAGCACTCCCAGCAGGTTCCGCACAATCTGCCGCACATACTTGTCGGACCAGTCATGCAGGACCGACTTGAGCAGGAAGACATCCGCGGGACAACTCTGCAGGTCAAAGAAGTCATGAATACGAAACTGTATGCGGGACCCGAACGGCGTGGAGCTGATATTCGCCTCGAAGGCCGACTGGGCCGCGGCGAGATCCTGGACGATCAGGTTGAGCTTGGGATAGTTTTCGGCGAGGATGACGCTGATGTGTCCGGCTGAACCTCCGAGCTATGCTGCGTTAGCACCGTGCTGCACTCCCCATAGACCCACTACTGCGAACAGTCCCAAAGCAGCAGCGAGAACTTACATCCACAACAGTAGCCTCCCCCAACCCACCCCAGTCAAACCGCTTCAGCACCCCCTCAGTCATGACTCCACTCGTCTCCCGCAAACCCTGCATCGCCTCCGCAAACCGCTTCGCCCGAAACCCCCTCGGCTGGTCGGGCAGCCGCTCGAAATTCTCCAAAAACTCCCAAAGATCCGTGCCCCGCTGCCGGCCATCATGATCCGTCGCCAGCGGGATTGCGCAGGCTGTGACCTCTTGGGGTAGCGCCTCCCCATGACGCCCCACAAACCACTTCTTCAACGCCTCCACCCCCACCGTCGCGGCGGGCCGCACATCCTCCAGATTATGGGCGAGGAAGGCCTGCGCGTACGGGAAACGCGCCATATGCGCGGAGGCGGCGGTGTGCACGACCCGCTCGTTGCCTGGAGCCCCTTCCTCGGCGAAGACGAAGATGGTGAAGGCGAGCCGGAGGAAGCGGCGCACGATCGGTTCGGGGAGGTCGGTGAAGCGGGCGATGTCGGCGTAGCTGGCGGAGCCGTGGAGGGGCACTGCGGCCCAGAGGTTGAAGGTGTTGAAGACGTCGAAGGTGAGAAGGGCGTGGTTTGGCTTTCTGGGTTAGGATCGAGATTCTGGTGGACAGAGTGGAGGGGAGGGAAAGGGAGAACTTACAAACAGGCTCTGTTGGAACCAGAAGTCGCTGGGTCCTGTCACTAAATGGTGCAGGGTTTCAAGAGTCTCTAGGAGCTTCATGCGAGCGTCCTGGATCTTTGGGTCTGGGGGCATGGAGGCTGCCGCATTTGCTGCGAAGGATGGCTGCGGTTGCCCCGCGGCGTTGAGCTGACCGGCGAGAGAGTGGGTGAGGTCGGCGATGGTCGCGCCCAGGCTCTCGAGGCTGGGTTGTGTTGAGCCCATGGTTTATCTGCAATGGATAGGTAAGTAGTGAGGATTGGGGTTGGAGTTGCTTGTCTGGGTTCTGGGATCCTGGAGAAGAAGAAGAAAAGAACCGCCTTATATAGTCATGTTGCAATACCCTCCGGGGGCGGCAGCTTGACCCGCTACGGAGATATAGATAGACCATAGCATTGGTGGAATCTGGATCCCTGTCAGCTGTGGATGATCCCTAGAATCAGTTTGGGTAACCAATTCGCAGCAGCTGAGGCTTGATTCCTCGCAGAGCCTCTTGGTATGTCCCGTGCTATGGATCTGTACACGAGCACACGGGTTAAGCGACACTTAGCGCTCCAATCGCTGCGGCTTAGCCCGCAGCCAGTCCACCGGGCACAGGCCCACGCGGCTGACGCAGGTCCGTGCAGCCAGCAGTACTATCGTATATGTATAGGTTATTGTGAGAATGATGACTTAGTATGCAGATCAGCTGCAGCTTCAAGGTTACTGTATTAGGTATCCACATCGGTGACTCGGGGGACAGTCCCAACTACTTTTTGAGGTATAGCCCTAAAGCCCCCGGCCCATGGCTCACGGCACAGTGGACAACTTACTACTACTAGGTACGAGGGCCTGAAGTAGAAGCATCTTTCCAAGCACCCAAGGACCCAAGGACCCAAGGACCCTTTGGAGCATCACCTTACATGAATTATTGATCAAGACCTACCTCAAGGTAGTAGGTGCCCCCCTTCCTCGCCATTCGGCTAAGCGCGGCTCACGTGACTACAACTTCGAAAGTCATTTCAGGTTGTGTAGAAGCAGCCAAAATATACAGCCAATCAGCAGTCAGCATGCTCTGGCCCTCATAAGTACCACCTGCCCTGAGTACTAACTACATGTGTACCTAACTACAGCCTGGTAGGAGGTAAATTACCTGTGCTCTCAGCTTAGAGCCTGAGTTGGAAAGTTACTTAGTGCTCTGAAAGAAAAGAAATTAAAAAAAAAAAAAAGATAAATTAATGTAGTAAAAACTAGTCTTCAGGCATCATACTACACGATCCCATGGATAACTGAAGGCATACGCAGACTACATAGCTCGGGCTACTTACCACCTACTAAGTAGCTACATTGATGGCTCCTTAGAGATAGCCTCACATAGTCACACATTCTTGACAGGTCATTTGTTTATCCCGTGTCTCGGGTGATGGCAGAGAGGCATTTATTTTCCTCCTTCAGATTGATGAAACCAGGGAAACTGTAAAAGACATTCCGGTTTTATATTATACTTTCCTCTTCCTCTCGTATCTTCCGGCTGTCTTTCCTGATGTCCATTTTTGTGAATATTACAGGGTAAAATTGCAAGAAACAGGTCTGGTCAGACAACTGTCAGAGGGGCTTGCACCGTGAAGAGGAAATCACATACTGTATGTACTATTTACGGAAACAGTATACATCAACCTTTGAAAAAGGTCTTTGTCACCGCCACCAACAAAGACGGCGGCTCGATCTAATTCGGCTCACCACCATGAACTGCAAGCCTCAGGTATCTAGTGATTTCTATCTAATTATGCAAGACGAGTATCTTGAGTAGGTAACTAATACTAACTATTGGTTTCTAGTCAACACGCTGTGTACAAAAGTGTCTTATGCGGTGACTGCACTTCCCCAGCTTAGACAGTGTATACGATATTTACCCTCGAGCAAGCCATCTCGCAAAGCCGCGTTCTTATTTACCTTTTCTTCTCTAGTGCCTTCGTCAAATTTTCATTGCTGTATCAGCATAATGAATGACTGACCGACCCCTGTTTCCATGTATTTTAAAAGCGCTGCTGTTCCTCTGCATCCTCTGCGGTGTGTTTCTTCCAACACAAACAACCCTAAGTGTCTTCTACCTCGGCATTTTTCACTACGTACCACGTACCTTATCTTCTAATCGAACACGATGGCAGCCAAATCGCCGAAAGACAACGTCGACCTCGACTTTCAGTTCTGGGCCAACTTGAAATACAGTGGCTGCGGATTCGATAACCAGGCGGACTGGGGTAAGTTGTTCACTGCAGCGCTGAACAGACCTGGGGCTAATGCACCCTTCTCTAGAGGACTTTCAAATGCGCTTCTCTGCCTCTACCTCTGGCCCTGGCACACCGCTACGTCCAGGCCTCAGGGTCAGCCAAATTGGACATCTCGAAAGTCCGGGCCCTCTCGCGGTGGCTGCTGTAGCTTTCGCAGTTCAGGACGAGGCCACCCTTCGCGAGACGGAGTTCTGCATCCTGATCATCGTTCCTCCTCCGTCCCCGGACGACCCGCACGAGGGCTCTGGGAAACAATTGTCCATCGCTACCTCGATCTCTACAAGAGGCAGGCCTGGGTGGAACTCCTCGAAGGGTTGGAATCAGCCTGTAGACCGGTCTTCACGGCGACCAAGACGGACGAGGCCAGAGACACTTTTGAGTCCGAACTAACACACGGCTCCCGGCTTTTCCAGCTGGTTCCGGGGGAGGACGCAGACACGCCCGGATTCGAACCGTTCCAGCCGGAGCCCCCGAGAGTCGACTGGGGCCTGGTCAAGGAGGATGTCAAAGACGTTCCGGTTTTTGCCTTGTCGGATGTCGAGCGGTTCCGCTCGCTGACGAATCAGGTCCACGAAGTCACCATCAACGGGCGGGCCTATGTCTACAAGCTTGCCAGAGATCCAGAGTTTGTCCGGGAGATCTCGATGTTGCGGAAGCTGGAAGCGTTGAGCAGGAAAGGACACACCACTCTCCGGGCCCCGAAGCTGGAAGGGGTCATCGGCCTGGATACGATATTCGATGGGATTCTCATGACGTGCATCCCGTCCTCCCGCAGTCTGGATCGTCTGATTCTCGGTGATTGCGAGATGAGCCTCGCCGACCGTCAGAAGTGGTATGACCAGGTCTCCGAGGCCGTGCAAACTCTGCATCAGGAGGGTCTCTGCTGGGGAGATGTCAAGGCGGCATATGTGGTGATTGATGGCGAAGGCGACGCCTGGCTGATCGATTTCGAAGGCGGTGCCAGTTGGGGCTGGATCGACAAGCAGCTGAAAGATACCATGGCTGGAGATTTGCAAGGCTTGAGCAGGCTGCATCAGGTATTGGGCCTGGGAGCCTCCTGACTCAGTGCTGTGCTGTTGTAGGACGCGCATTTGAGAAGGACTTCTCTTGTCTCCTGTCCTTTGTTTCGGCTTTTCTTCTCTTTTCGCTGTGCTAGTTCATAGATCTGTACCAACTCTCCTGCAATTTGTTTTTCTCTTCTCGCTCTTTCTCTCTCTCTTTCTTTCTTTCTTTCTTTCTTTTTTTTTTTTACCCCTTCTTGTGGTTGCTGTCAAACCTTCGCCATTGCGCCGGCCTGTTTAATCTCATCGTCGTAGATTTTGGTTCTTCACGGTCTGCTGTTTTCCCATCTATTCACTTACCTGCTCTCGGCTTCTTTCAATGCTCTTTCGCCCTATCTCTCGGGAACTATTGCCGTATCTATATAGCTCGCCCGAGTGTCCGGAGTCAAGTACACTGTCAGCAGCACGCTGCCTAGAATGGTAAAGACCGCGGAGACGCAATACACGGGCTGGTGGTACTAGACTCGCGCAATCAGCGAGCCAGCGCCCAGATTCACGAGCACCGTCACCGCAATGTCGGGCAGCAGCCGCACCGCCGCGTCCATCACCGACTCCCCGTGCAGAAACTGGAAATAGATGGGTACGTAGTAGACGACAATGAAGAGTGAGGTAATGGTGCTCGAGGTTGCCACGTACAGGAGAATCTGAGACCGAGACCGAAATCACCGCCACCGACCCCAGCGGAAATCCAAAGCCAATCCACGACAGCTCATCCACCTCCCCCAAACTGCTCCACAATCGTCAATTGCACATCGGCGGCGATGGTCGCGTCCAAGCCGTAGACGAACAGAGAGACGTACAGCAGGATGATGCATACCCCAATCCACCGTATCCCCGTAATGGCGCGCATTGAGGAGAAGGAAGGGGAAGAGGTGGGCGCCTGGCTTGGCTGGAGGATGGAGAAGGCAATGTGCTATCACTTGTGGACTCGGGGAGATTACTGGGTCCCAATTGGATGGATGATTTGAATGCTAACTAATCCTCAGAGCTGAGAATCAATCCAAAGACTCCTGTCACTTGGGCATCCGCTGCAAGAGGTCAATCACTTCGCCGTCGGCCACCATGACCCCTTGGCCGCGATAAGTAAAAGACGGTGCTGGGCTGATGATCCCCCCTTCTGGTCCATGCTTTAACGGGTCGGAGCACCCACATGGCGTACTTGGATACCAGCAGCACTGGACCCGGCTCGATCAGGCGGTAGACGTGGGCCAGGGGATAGGGGTCGAATTGCACGACCTTGTGGTGGTGGTGGCTTCGTTTCGGGGGCGGGGGTCATGATTCGGCGAGCTGCGATCCGGATTCGTGGGCGAAAGATGAGGGGAAGGGGAAGACTGGTCGAGAAGGCCATAGAAGGACGATCGGTTCTGAAGAGACTTCACAGTCGACGGAAAGGGGCAAGAAATAGTCCGGAGTGGTGTCTCTTTCGTCCGAAAAACATCGGGGAGACAGCAGACAGCCACCCCGAAATATTTCGGGGTGTGGGTGCAGCGGATCGGCTGGGGCCGTGTATAGGATATGCTGTTATACCCACGTTGCACTGCTTAAGCATCACTAGTCCGAAAACTACTGCAAGCCCTGCCCCCACTGCTTCTGGCTGTAATCCGGTCCATCGGCTAATATCTGCTCATTGCAGTAACGTGACAGCTGGAATTACTCGAGATACTGCGTCTATTTCAACCATGGCTGGCCACTCACTCTTCGACTGTGACCGCCGTCTACATCTTAACCCTAACTTCTCTCCCGTCATGCTAGGCCTGCTAGTATGATAACTACTAGACTTTACTCCTCATAGCACTGCGCACTCTATACTATATCCTCTCCTTTGTAAACAAGAATCAGAAACAATTGATCTTCCTTCTCCATCAGAATATGTATGTCACAAATATAGACGCCATTCGAACAGATAGATTGTTAAATATGTCTTGCCCTCTCCCAAGCCACAGCAATGTGGTGTTCTCCGAAGCAACATAGGCCTCTGCCTTTACTCAGTCTAAACCCCCCCCCCACCCAGGTCTTCTAACCAACAGATGGACCTAGGCGAGGACTGTACCTATTCTAGGCGTCGCCGCTCCGATTAACAGACAGTAAGCACTGCAGAAACCGAGATATTTGACTCCCTATGAACCGATTGGCATGTTCCCGGCTCGCTTGGTTTACCCTCAGCATGCCCTCCAATCAGTAATTGCCTTTGAGTACGCGCCGATCAAGCGCCGCAGAGTCGCACGTCAAGAATCCCCGAGACCTGGTTCGGGCTCCGGAATACATTCTTGATCTCCAGCATAGGATTTGCAGCCTTCAGCAATGCCTCCCATTCGGACAAGGTCCGCTCTTTGCCGCCATACAAACACATCATGTCGATGTCGTACAGCACGGCCGCGGTGGACGGGTTCTTTTCCTCCATGATTTGATCGCAGATCAGGATCCGGCTCCGATGGGGGTTCAATGCCTCCACGGTGTTCCGCAAGATCTTGATGCAGGCATCGTCCGGCCAATCGTGAAATATATGACGGAAGAGATACGCCGCAGCTCCTAGTGTCCAATCAGTTTGGGAGACCCATCATATTCGTGGCGCTTCTCGATCACGACCACGCGCAAAGCACTCCCAGAGATTGAGGATTGTCATACCTTGCACCGGCTGTGGGCCGAAGAAGTCGTACGTCTGCATCTCCAAGCTGGGATGCGTACTACCTTCCCTTCTAATCGCAAACTTGTCTTGCACGATACACTTCAGCCCAAGTCCAGACCAGTGAGCGAGAATGCTCTGGGCAACCTGCCCCATGCCGCCCCCGACATCGACAATCAATCCACCGTCGTCCACCAGCTGGTCAAACGGGTACAGCTTGGGAAGATCACCCAGCTTGTTCACGGTCACGGCTCGCATGGCCTTGGAGAACCGCTGCCCGCACTCCGGGTCGTCCTGCTCCACATAGTCCCAATAGTTCCGGGGAGTCGAGAAGGCCAGTTGAAAGCCCAGAATGTCCTCTGCGGTGGGGTCCCGATAGTGCAACCTCGCCAGCGCCTCCGCGTGTCGGCTTGCCGCGCGGAACCCATCCTCTAACCTGCTCAGCGCGCATGGAGCGTTAGCGTTTCGAGTCCACAAAAAGAAAGAGAGCGTAGGTGCAGTGCAGTCACCAACCTATGACTGAGAAGATCCGTCATGTTTGGCAGACCAATGACCCGGGACACCGGGGTGTGGGCGTAGAAGCCGGGTTCCGGCTCGGCAAAGATGCTCTTGTTCACCAGCATTCTCATGATTCGCCCTGGGTAATTTGCATAAGTGGGATCGATTAGCGTTTCTGTTCTGAATTCTCTGAAGGATACACAAGTTAGGTGTGTTTCTACACTCACGGAGCAGTTTCTCGTCGGCACCGACGGCCTTGGCCAATTGCTGGCCGTCGACGGTCCCATGTGGGGGGACGTGTTCGTGAACTCGGAGGTCCACGGCAGTTTTCAAGCACGAACAGAAGTGGAACTGGCGTGGAGAGAGAAGTGGCCTAGTTAGTGAGCCTGTCGCATGTATAACCTTGAATCCGCTGTTGCCGTACCTACCTGTAAGGACGTGGTGAAGAGGTACATCTCCGGGTCCATGGTCATGGCGATGACCTTCTCGCAGAGGGCGACAATCGTCGACTTTTCGGCGACGTTGTTGTTGCAAGGGAGCACCTGAGGAAGTGATGGCGGCAACTGGGCCAGTTCCAAGCTGCGTTCGAGATGCTGGACATAGCTGGCCAGGGCACTGGTAAGATTGAGGCCCGGGTCTTCACGGCAGACAGTTCTGCCATGGTCCAATGGCTCAACAGGCTCTCCGAGCGATCCCATCGTTATGCTTTAGGGTGGCAGAGCTGGTTCAAGTCGGGTGAACCTGCAGAGTTCTTGGGAGGTGATGGAGATAGACTGCGGACTGGGGTTGAACAAAACCTCCCCGAATATGTGGCCATGGTTCGGAGTATCAAGTGCGTGTCATCAATTCTTCAGTCCCAAAGACCGGTGAGTTTGATTGACGTAGAAGCAAGGAGCTTGCATGGATGTAGGTATGGGAAATTTAGATCTGGGGTTGTGTAGGTTGACTCGGCACAATGCGCGGGCATACTTTCGCCCCTGGCTTGCGGAACTGTACAGTAAGTGCGGAGTACTCCGTACGCATACCTTACCTCCAAAGGTCCTCCCACATAGGGTAGTTGGACCCTGCAGCGGTATGTGCGAGCGCCGATCAAAGATGTCATGTAGCCGATCGCTTTGAAGACACCTCTCAGGGCGGGCCTCGCCGAAGTTTTGTGAGATATCTTATGTATGCTAGAGCAGGAAACGAGCCGCTGACAGAGTGCCTCGGACCCATTCGCATAAGGGCGGTGAGGAGATTTACATCATTCTAGTATGATCATGCAGTCGGGGGAAAATAGTAAAGTAAGGGATAATCGAACAGGATCTACATAGTACGCATGTAGACACGACCAGCACCCCCTCCAAATGTACTCCGTAGTCAGAAAAGACAGTACCTATTAATATTCCAGAAAAGGGATCGTGATACATGTAAGAACTACTCATATTAGTTAGGATTTATAACATATTGTTCGACCATTGGTTTGTTGATCCGACAAGTGGGTCTCGGGGACTTTACAGTATCCTACCTGTCATACTGATATCAATCACTCCGCAGCTCAGCCACAGGATCATTGCCCCCGATGTCGGAAATTTGAGCTGAGGGAATGGTCTGACAACATGATATCCTGCCACCCCACGAGGTTGAGGGACTATTGGAAAGCTCGCAGCCCACACCAGGCAAGTCTAGGCGTCGTTTTCCACCCTTGTTTGGGAGCATTCTCGACAAACAATTGACTCATGGTCAAGACAGGAGGTAATTCTATCAATGCATTGGATCCCCAGCTATCTCTAATTCGTGTCTAAGCCCGTCCACGGGGGTAATTCTGCAGCCGGGACCATTCCTTGCCCTGCGTCCCACGACGGGAAACTGACAGCGATCGATGAAGCATTGCAAGGCCCTGACCTGACCTGACCTGACCTGACTACTCCACGCATCGGAATTTGGCCGCCTCCGACCAGGAGGGCAGGATCTCGAACTGATCGCCGGCTGCATTGAGGGCTAGGAATTGGTTGCTGTACTGGCCATCGGGCTCGATCGGGATGAGTCCGAACTGTGAGTCCCCCACGTATTTCTCAGTTAGCTTGATGCACGTCTGGGCGCGTAATGGCGGTGTGAAGGCAAATCGCAAGGGAATTTGATTCAAATTCAGTTGGATAAACTTGCCTCGTAAGCACCATCGCTGAAACCGCGGGGTTCGACCCAGATGTGGTAATTCTGGCCCTCGAAGTGCAGAGTCACCTGCGGAGGTCAGGATGCGCGCACTGATTAGCTCCAATGATCTTCAAGCCGGAGCATGCAGAACAAGGTCTCCTTCAGGTTCCAGGCTCGGGAGATCTACTACCTTCTTCGGAGATCCAAACTTGCCGATTTTCTGCCAGAGGGGAGGAGTTAGTACAGCGTCCTCTTGCGCTCGTAGGGGGAGTCTGCCGGCAGAGTTTTAGTACTGACCCCATCGTCCTCACAAAGCCAAAACTCTGCATCTGCACGCAGTTTGGTCTTTGGTTGGTCGCCGTGAATGACCCTGAGATGGCAATGCTCGTCTATGGCCAATGTTTGACCGGTGAGCGAGGTGTAAATTCCAGAGAGCGTCGGCATGGCAAGTGGTTTAGAATGGGCGAAGAGGATATATGAAGTAGTGTGAGGCTATGAGAGATCATCTGAAGAAAGCCGCCGGGCTTCTGATCATGCCTGTACGTATATATATGTTTACATGTTTTTTTTTTTTTTTTTTAAGAGAGATTGTCAAGCGACACGCGCGGCGCCAGTGGACTGTACTCCTTTCTATCTCTGCAATAGGCCGGCACGTGCCGTGACGAATTATTTTTCCGCGTCGGGCAAGAGAGGCTAGTACATCCATCAATGATCTACACCCCTCCCTTGCATCTCGCTACGCTTCCACCTCCACTCGACCTGTGGCCTGTGGACTTGCGACGATGGGGACCTATCACATTGGTATAGCGGTCCAATCTGATGTGCGTCAGTTTGTTGTGGTTTCGAAAGACCATCTCATCTCTATTCGGGCGGAACCCGAAGTATAAGTCAGTATATCACCCGAGTGACTACCGGTTGTTCAATCCTTGTCGAGACTGTTACCTTAGCTACCACTTTCTTTTCCTCCTACCCGGGCTTTTACTCAAACCGTCAGCATGGGTTCAATCGGAGATTTGCAATGCCCATTACCAGAAGGCGTGCAATCAGTGCACACGCCCTCGGGCATGCAGGAGGAGATGATCCTATCTACAGTCGCTGATCCCGCCCACGAATCCTATTTTGAGACCTACCACTTCAGCGCCCCCGGGGTTGTGAACCCAGACCAACTCAATGTCGCCATACACGCAGTAGCAGGAAAACATGCGGTACTGCGATCGATCTTTATCCATCAACACCAATCGAGTACGGCAAATTTGCGAATTGCGGTGCTGGACCCGGCGTACGTTCTTCAACGAGCAAAGCTCCTAAGCCTGCAGCCCATAGACGATGAAGCACTCTTTGGCATCCTCCAGCTTGAAGCCATAGAGACAGATGAGTGGGATGGAACTATGCCGTGGAAGTTCTCTTTGACTGTCAGTCAGCAGCAACAAAAGTCTTCTATCACCCTCAGATATCACCATGCACTGCTTGATGGTTGGTCTGCGAGGGCTCTTCTGGAACTGGTACAGCAGCAGATGCACCTCCCAGAAAAGATGTTGCAAGAGTCGGATTTCTTTTCTCGAGTGCGCCCGCCGCTCAAGCATGATTGGAAGCAGGATGAGACATTGCTCCGCGAACGACTGGGGAAAATTGAGACATCGCCCGTACTCAGCCCGGGGAGAGTGTCAAATGGTGGTCTTGGCGTCGGGGAGGTGATCCATGAGGTTTCTCTGAGGCTGAATGTCAGTTCACCGGATCGACCAGCTGGTCCCGCACGACTTCTTCGTCTCGCTCTGGCCATGACAGTGTGTGTTTTTAGAAACAGTGAGGACTCCTTGTTCCTGGAAATTACTTCCGCGCGAAACATGCTCCTCCCGTCGGACCAACATGTATTGGGGCCGGTATTGAGACCCCAAGTGCGGAATATTTACCTGCAGGAACAAACGAAGCTCGGGGAATGTGCGCAGCTCTTGCGCTCCTCTCGCGACCCCCCGCATAACCTGAGTGTTGGCCAGCTGAAGTCCTTTTTGCCCGAGAGTAGCACAGAGCTGGACGTATGTCTAGTCTGTCAAACCAATCAGTCGTACCCTTCGAATGGTGTCGGTGACTGGGGGTGGACCAGCGGGGTAGCACGGAACGACCTCCCATTTATCGTGGAGATTTTACCCCCAAGAGAAGGAGCATTCTTTGTCAAGATCCGATACCACCAGGAACGGTTTCGGGAGGATTTTGCATCTTCTTTTCTTGATTTCTTTTGCCAAACCTTGACGTGGATGCAAGCCACTGGTGATAGCATCGAGTACCGGACATTTGCATCCGCTGTATCGGAAATATGTCACCAGGGGGGTTACAGAAGGCGCTATCTAGAATTGAACCCAAAGGAAGTCCTCCTGGATGACCCTGCATGTGCACACGACCTAATCGAACAAGCCGCTGGCAAATGGCCCAGCAAGATCGCTTTGGAAACAGAGCATAATCAGTTTATGACATACACTGAGCTTTCAAGCGCGAGCAGTAGGGTAGCCCAACGCCTGAGACACTACTTTCCCCATGACCGGAAGGACCAGGCGCTTGTCCCCATTTGCATTGACAAAAGTGTTGACATGGTCGTTGCCATTCTGGGAGTGCTCAAAGCAGGCGGTGCGTACGTGCCGTTAGATCCTTCTCTGCCCAAGGAGCGCCTTGTGAGTATCCTAACCGCCTGTCATCCCCCTGTGGTTGTCGCCGGCCAGACGGAACTCCAAGATATTCTGCATTCAACATGCGCTGAGCTAGGTATCCTGGTGACGTCTATTGAGGGCCTTTCCGCGCATGATGCATCTCTAAATCAATTAAGTTGGCCGGATCATTCAACTTCGTCATCCCTGGCATATATCCTATTCACATCCGGGTCGACAGGGACTCCGAAAGGAGTCATGGTGGAGCATAAGAATCTGGTTTCCTTCATGAAAGCAGGGGAGGGCAATGCAGATGGTACATGGAAATCTACGCGGCTGCAGTTGGCTGCGTACAGTTTTGACGCATCCATCGGAGATATCTTCGCCAATCTATACCGCGGTGGCCGTCTCGTATTGGTACCGCGCAACAAAATGCTTTCGAATTTGAACCACTGGCTGGAGGAGCGGTTAATTACTCATCTCGCATTGACTCCAACGATTGGTGATCTTATCATTTCGCATCTGCCTGCCCGGTTGCGCACGCTTATGTTCGGTGGTGAGCCTTTCCACCAGAGCTTTCTGGCGCAAGCCCCAGCCGAAACGCGAATTTGGAACACCTGTGGTCCTACGGAAACTGTGGTGGATGTTGCCTGCTGCATACTCGACAAGACCAAGACTGATGAGGTCCCCATTGGTCGACCATTCGGCCAGTGCCAAGTCTATATCCTACGGCGTGGGACAAGCAGCGATACAGCGGTTCCTCCGAATGCGGTCGGAGAGATATGTGTCGCTGGTCCTCAGGTTTCACGCGGCTATCTGGGGCGACCGGATCTGTCCAGCCTTGGGTTTGTCACGGACCCATTTTGTCCATCGCAAAGGATGTATCGCACTGGGGACCTGGGTCGCCTTAATCACAAAGGCATGCTTGAACATCTCGGCCGAGCCGATGGCCAGATCAAGCTGCGAGGACTGCGAGTGGAAACAGGGGAAGTGGAGGTGACAATCAAGCAGTCCCCCATCATTTCACAGGTATCTGTCAGTGTCGACCACCTCGAGGGCCATGATCGCGAAGCTCTAGTTGCTTGGATAGTTCCAGGAGCCGGTCAAAGTACGCAAGCCATTGAACTTGCGTGGAGGGAAGAAATACTGCCCTGTTGCCAGCGGCGGTTGACACCGTATATGATCCCGGAGGTGTGGATCATGGCCTCACATCTTCCCCTTACAGTCAGCGGCAAGCTGAACCGGGGTACTCTATCCTCGTGGGTGAAAAGTGTGGCAAGGGCCGGAACCCACGAAGGTCTCCATGTGATAGCTGCACCATGGAAAACACAAGAAACCACAAAGAGGATGCCAACAAGCCTGGCCGAAAAGCTCATCGTAGCCACCTGCGTGGACGTACTGGGTGCAGCACTCCATGGCGTATCTGTGGACGCAACATTTATATCCCTTGGCGGTAATTCGCTCCTGGCTATGCGTCTCTTGGCCGCACTGCGACAAAAAGGGGTACATTGCTCCTTACGGGACTTGCTGGGCCCCATGACGCTCGCTGATGTAGCAAAAGCCATGTATCCGTCCAGCAGCCCTCAAAAGCAGCTTACAAAGGCAATTTACCGTGAGGACAGTTGGAAACAGATTGTTGCTGATACCAGTATCGCTGTTGACACGATTGAGGCAATTTATCCATGCACTGCACAGCAAGAAGGCCTCATCCAGAGCAGCCTTCGAGGAGGAAAGTCCACGTACTTCGCAGCCATAACCATACGTTCAGGTAGTACCATCAACCTGGACAAGTTCCAGAAAGCCTGGAAACGATTGGTACTTGGGTGTGACACCTTGAGAACCGCCTTTGTATCATCCTCGCAAGTTCAACAACCGCCGTCCAGGGAGTCCAACATCCTTCAGGTCGTTTTGAACGAATCCGCCGCCGACGTGAGACGGGTGGCCAGCCTGAACAACGGAGATGTTGTGTTTGAATTTGGAGTCGTCCCTCTCTCGGCAGAAATCACCCAGGAGTCTGTTGATGAGCCGTGGATGTTACACCTCCGAATCCACCATGCTTTATATGATGAAGCATTCCTGACCAGAATCACCGCCGAGCTCTCCATCCTGTACGAAACACAGGAAGTAGGAAGCCCAGTCACTGCTTTACCCCCAAGCCGGCCGTTCTCCGCTTTTGTGGAGTCCCTCTGCAACGATGATCCAGAGCTCCCGAAGGAATTCTGGAGGGACTACCTGCACGAAGCGGTTCCCGCAACTTGGCCCCTGGCAAGTGGGATTCGCAGAACGCGAGAGGAAAAAGACCAAGATATAGAGATGTCTGTCTCCAAAATATGGGCCGGAAATGCTGTCCTTTTGGGCCAGATGTTCCAAGCAACACCCGCGTCACTTGTTCGAGCTGCATTGGCTCTGGTACTGGCACAGTACTCTCAGACAGATGACGTGGTATTCGGTGAAGTGTCCAGTGGCCGATCGGATCATGATTGCTTTACCTTGGGTCCTTGCCTCGCCACGCACCCTGTCCGCATCCGGATTGATCGCAAATCGCCATTGTCGATGCACAAGCTTGTGGCCGACGCACTGGAATCATATCTAACCACGATACCGCATCAGCATTGGGGGCTGGCCAATATTCACCGACAGATGTCTGATGCTGAATTGATGGCCTTCCAGGTTCTCTTTGCCCACCAAGAGACATTTGCAGATTATAGTGTTGCTGCTGGTCGTTTCCACGTGGAGTCGGCGAGGTTGCAAAACCTCGGGTTTCCCCTCATACTGGAGTCGAGATGCGACAAAAGCACTGGTGAACTTGCGCTGGAATGCACCATTGACCGGCGATACTTGAGTGAGCA